TTTGCCTCTTTACCTGAAGGCCTTTGGGCTGCCTTCAGGTACTCTGTGTTGCTTCCACTGTTTAATGATCCCCTCACTTCAGGTAAACAACCCCCACCCAACCCTGCTTCGATCTTCTCCACAGGTCTTTGTTGAGGTCTATCGAAGTGCAGTGCTATAATCTTTGTATAGTTTTGGTATTAGCCATCAACTATTATCATTCAACTCCTCAAAAATATTACTTTTGACACAGACAGTACATTCCCATCAACTTCATGAGACATATTTGATGGTTTTGGTGACTGTATGACTTTGAGCCACATGTGTGTCACTACCAATAATCCATGAAATCAAAAAGCATGTTAGAGGACTCAGGAAACTTTTATTTCTTTGGTCAAGGAGGCGTCCGGCACAGGCTGATAGACTTGAAGTTAATCAAAAGCAAACACTCAAGACTAAGTATGTGTAAATGGGCACAACATATAGCTTGCAGACCCTTTTCTCTTTCACAAATCCTGATAAGAACCAACAAGAGGGTCTTATTTCCTCACTTTAAATGTCAGAGCATAAAAGGGTTTGTTGTTTCCTCTGAAGGCCAGCTCAAAGGGTGTCACCCCGAGTGTTTAGAAGGTGCAAAGATATGAGCCTGATACGGAGGGAAGCATAATGTGCTTGTCCTTTGAACTCTTACAAGCAGACAAACATACAAAGAGGATAACTGTACTACAGCTCAGGGTGTCTCCAGGCTATCATAAAAGATTTCTGGAGTAAGAAGTTAAATTATTACCAGAATGTTTCTCTGAATTGTTCGTTATCAGGAGTTGGGTTGATCTGATCTGCTGTTGTATTGGTTTATGGTTTGTTGGATTTGTCATCTTTTTCATATTAGTCATTTCAGGCGGATGTTAAAACTCCTTGACAACTGATCTTGAGTTGTTATGTTTTCACATTGTGACATAGTGACAAAGACATTAAAACCAGCATTGTTTGGACAGTTTGTGGTTTTGAATAAAATAAGACTTCCTCCCACGGAACCAGCTGAAACTGCTTTGGGACAGTTTTAGTCATTATCTCATTTCTTTGAAAGGCTATTTCAAAGTTGAAGATAATGATATTACTCAAACTATCCAGAATTATAAGTGGTGTGTGTTTCAGCTAAGATATTGTCTACAAGTTCTTATAATTAACTTTCAGAGTGAAAGTGCTGGAACAAACCAAGAAACACTCCTGAGCTGGAGAACAACCTCACTCAATGATAGTTGCTGTGTGCCAGTTAATTTGTGTTAAATAACCATTAAATAGTAGGATATATAAAACACACCAACTTAGAATAGAAGAGGAACTCTGGGTAACACTGGTTAAGCTCAGTGGTGAGAATCAAACACCCTGTGCACAGAAGCTGCAGACCCCAGATTTAATTCCCATACTCTGCCCTTTGCCAAATGCCATTTCAAAACCCACTTTCCCCTCCCTGATCCCAACACTCTCCATAATCCCATCTTTCAATAAAGGCATGTAAAAAAAGTTTGAAGGAAAAAAAAGCCTGTCAGAAAAATGTCTTGTGTACTTTTGTTAACAGCTGAAATAGAGTAAAGATCACCTGATTTGTTCTTTTCTGACTCATGAAACACTCAAACGCAAAATCTTCCTGACCAATTATGTACAAAAAAAGTGGATATTTTGAAATCAAGTGCAGTGAGAGTGTTATCACACATGAGCCATGATATTTTGATGACTATTTAAAAAGAAGGAACATATGCCCCTCTTCTTTTCTTGCTGAGACTAGTTCTTCTTTATTTGTGCTAAATGAAATAAACAGTATTTGTCCAAAGAGCTTTACTACCACTGATCCTCAGTCAGTCACAATCACACATACACATTCAAAATCACAGGTGGCAGTAACTGTTGAGAGTAAATCAGGATTTAGTGTCTTATTCAGTCTTACTTCAACATGTTGACAGCAGTCAGATGATGAACTACCAACTCTCCTGTTAGTGTACAAAAATGTCCACCTTTTCAACCACAATCGACCCTGAAAGTCATAGGTTTTGAGCTGTAGCATTCAACTTACTGAGTTGAACCTCCCTGAATGCTCAGGTTTGTACAGACCAAAACAGAGCAGATTGTTGTGGTGGTTTGAAGAACTCATGGTTATAACTTCTATGTCAGAGTTTGTTATATTTTCCCCACATCACCCCTTCTTCACTCTGATAACCCAACGAAGAACGCTGCAGATCATCTGCATATAAATCAGCATTATAAGAATGACATTTTTTAAAAGAAGCATGTTTGAGCACATTTTACAACATGTATTTTATCTGTTACAATGAAGAAGGCAGGCTTTATGACCGTTACTACACCAACAGAGCGTGTTTTGGTCTAAAAGAGGTCTAATAGACGTCTAAATGTAGCCTAGATGACTGGTCTATAATCAGGCTACCACAGGTCTAAAAATGAAAGTTTTCTTAGATGTCTAAATTTAGACCAAGTTTAGACCAAGTCTAAATCTGGGCTATATCTATACTACACTGTATATTCCTCAACAGCTATCATAATTATTTTGGTTAAGTACTTGGAGATCATTTATGCGACTCACAGTTGCTTTTTTGAAATAAATAGTTATCGAATAATGGGTTAAAGTGCAACATCTAAATCCTGTCTAAAAATATACAGAATCTAGACGGTTGAAATTAGGTCTAAAAATAAAAACTAGACGTCTAATAGCTGTCTATTGCTCAGTGGGCAGCCAGTCAGTGGTGAAATCTGAACGTTTTGGCCTCACTTTTTGAGAGCTGATGTGCTGTTCATGGTTTTATACAAAACAGTTTGATTTATGTCTTTTTATGTTTAGTCAAGATGGCTGCCAATGTTTCTATTAATGATTTAAAGGAGTGCCATTACTACTGCTCAGGGGCTATTACTGCAATTGTTGCTATATTGTTGCCCTTAAACATAACACATGACAATTTAGTCTTTGTGTGAAATCATCTTTATCTGGATGTTTGCTGCTCAGTCATAACATGCTCTGTGTGATCTGTTAAACTTACATACCAAGAATAGGCTCTACGCACAGCTCCACTACTTCCTGAACTTAAGGCAGCTCCTTTATTGCTTGTCTTACATTATTGTGCAATGATTAATCCAAGTGTGCCTGATCATTGTGACTGCTCAGATACACCTGGATTAATCGGTTTGACCAATAAGGTAAGACAGGAAATAAAGGAGCTGCCTTAAATTCAGGAAGTAGTGGAGCTGTGCATACATATGGGGGAGTTGTCTTAAATCTTAGTGCTTACTGTATGTTTTTCTGGACTAACTCCCTCATGTACATTCCCTATAGAGGACACACGTGTTCAGTTCATCTTGGGGTCTAAGACGAAGCTCTGATATTTGATTTCAAACTTTTTATAATTTCTAATTACCCAACAGTTCACCTGAGGCAACATTTTTAAAAATGAACGTAGCGTCTCGTAATACAACCCTCCCAAATTTTTGATATTATCTTTAACTTTGTGATAGCATGTCAGCTGTTGTGGTATCTCTGCAATCTCTGATAACAACATGTTCTATTCTGAGAATTATTGGGACAGGTTGACTTTGGAGCGAGTTTTGTGTGTAAGTGTGTGTATGTCTATCCGGGCTCCCCGCGGTCCTTCTATTGGTCTTCTGAGTGGGTGGTCTGTTCGTAGAGAGGAGCAGTGGAAACATTATACCTACATGCACACATACACACAAATACACACACAAAGGGAAACTGGGAATCACACCAACGCAGCACAGCAGAGGGTGGAGCAGCAGCCTTCTTCCAGATGTGTGACATTAATTTAGCTGATCCAAAACATGAACCGGTAGCTCCCACTCACTCATCACCACTGTGTGTGTGAGAGCGTGAGTGTAAGTGTGCGTGTTTTTAAAATCTTTATCCTATCTTTTAAAATATTTGCGCACTCACAAGTACACCTGCAAGATTGCATTTCCATGTGTTCTCAAAAACTTGGCAAGAGGAGGAATCAAGATAAGAAAGGAAAGAGGAGAGGGAGTGAAATAAAAGTTTAAGGAGGAGGGAAATATGGAGAAGAGAGGATTTAAAGGAGACAAGGTGAGTGATTAAAAAGTGGGGAATAAGACGAGGGGCAGAGCAGGTTGTGAGAACAGTCTCCACTCTGACCTGCCGGGCAGCGCCCCTGGACTTTCATACAATCCTGTCTACCCGGGGAGGAGAGGGGGATATGGTGCATGGAAAGACAAAGAGAGAGAAAAAATAAAATTAAATAAAAAGAGCGGAGGAGGAGAAGAACGAGGAGAGAAGATGTAGGAGGACGGAAGTGGTTGATTGGGTCTCCCCTGAGATCCTTTTGTTTAGATTGTTCTGCATTTCGCTGCTTTCACTCTCTCCCCTCTACCTCCCTCTTTTTCTGACATCTGAGGTAGATTACAACAGAGACCCCGGGTCACATTTATGACTTAAATCAGGAACATATGGTGTGTGTGTGTGTGCACGCATGTGTGTATGTGTGTGCAGTACATCCAGTTCAATGCAGTGGGATCCCCCTAAAGTCCCAGAGTGGTGGTCAAATTTATTTTCTTGTCCATTGTCTCTTGCTGGGACATCAAAGAGCTATTGTTTGCTGATCAGCAAGGGTGCTGCAGGTTACTTGCAGGTCCTGGACAAGAGCTTCATCCCTCCTTCTTATCTCCTTTTGGTGAAACTGAACTCTTAAGTGTGCAGGATCTCAACAGAAAAGAAAAAATCCCAGCCAGAGTATCAGCACTCCCACAGAAACAGTATTTAGATTTTAAAAGATTTAGTGCATTTATGCCTCATTTGTTTCATTCAGGCCAGAGGGAAGCTTGTTCTAATATCCCACACTAATCTGTCTCTGGTTTCATCTTTAAATATAAACCTTATGGAGGGGAAAACTGAAATAAAGCACACACATCAGCCCCTGCCACAAGCTTTAATATTGAGTCTTTTCTTGTGAGTGAGAGAAAATATCTCCGCAATAATTTCACCACATCTGTAAAAGTGTCAATCGACTTTATTAGGTTCAGTTTCACTCAGTTGAAGAAAAAACAACTTTTGTCTTTGGAACGTTTACCTAGGAAGAAAATAAGTCTATAAAATAAGTCGCTGGAAGGACAATATATAAAACAATGGCATCAAAAGTCTTTAACAAGAGAACATAATCAAAAAAAGGCTCAAATATTTTTTGGATGCAGGGCATTTTCCTCTTTTGGCCCTTTTGTTTACAAAATCATAACAAAAGAGGAAATGAAAACTAAAAAAATCAAGTTATTTACAGTGCATATATTTACATTAAGGCATTTTTGCTGGGGAGAAAGACGGTTGATCTGATTCAACCCCCACTTCTACACAATCAAATAAATAGTCAAATTTACCATGTTACATTACAGTGCTATATTATCTTTACGCTACCTGCAGTGAAAGAACAAATACAGTTAGAGGCGTGGGCTGAATCACACCATCAACAGGGACGGTCGAGTATAAATTAAAGGATAGGTTCACGTTTATTCAGGTCGGTTTTAGGACTAAGCTCTCATGCCCATAACTCCAGCAACAAAGGGTTTCTTTTTGCGTGTGACTCTCTCAAACCTAATGGGACCTCAGAAAATGTACTTCTCAAATTCATCCAAAGAAGCCTGCCTTGGTTGCTTGTACTATAACTTGTACAATGATCTTCAAGCTCAGGGAAAACCTTGAGTGACTTCAATGTACGGTTATTTTATTGAGCTATGATGCAGAACTTGTAACCGCTATATTTTTAACAAGCCTGTGTACAAGCTCATTAAATGAAAGTCAGTACAAGTTGTTTGTACTTCTAGGCTACATGAGACTGATAACAACCACAAAACACAAAACTACAACCCTGCCATCCTCTGTTATGTAGTTGTTGTATGTTCTGTTACCAGACAGCTTACACATTTATGGTTTTTCCATTGGTTTACACTGTCTATATGCTTTTACATAGGCAGGATACACGCCTGATACACCTGGTCTACTGTGTGTTAGTGGAGAGATGTTGTTATTCCACCTCTAATCCACTATCGGAGCGGACGGACGGGAAAGTGCTGTGTGTGTCTGTGCATGTGAAGCTGTCACTGAGTGTTTACACGCCATGCCTCTTGCACTTCTGCACCACCATAACACAAAATAACACATTGGGACACCAGCATTACCTCTTTGCAGTGTTCAGTTTGTAAGCGCAAAGGCGTACTGACAATGGGACTCTGTTTTGGTGTTTAGCGAGATGGCAAGCGACTTGTGCTTAAAGCGGAAACGTCTGATCTACCACTAGGTGCAAGAGGAGAACACTTGACAGTAAATCTCTAAAAGGACACATGGGCAAGTGAGGAAGACCTGAAAAGAATGGACCAACCCTTTAACGAAACACACCTCCATGTTTGATGATCTGATAGAGCCCAGTTGCAAGTTAGTTGTGTACAGAATCAGAGAGCAAGAACCCCCAAAGACAGGACTGATTAACAAAAGCTCGATACAAAACAACAGGATGTTTGTGAGGAGGCCTGAGCCGATAGAGCCGTTAGATTACAATGAATGATGGGTAAACCTCTTTTTTTTTTTTTTTTTTCCAAATTGAGACTAATGGATGAAGAGATAAAAACAGCACCATGTGTGTTTAAAAGGTCTGTGTACATTGACCCGCTACCATTGAACACAACACACATAAACCAGAGAAGGAGGCACTTAATAAGGTGTTGATGATGATGATGATGATGAAGATGGTACTTTGGTTAAAACATCTGATAGAAGTAAGAATGCTGGATAAGAAAGAGAAATTGTTATTTCAAGCTTGTGCATCAAATACAGTCGACTATCTTTGCACTGAACAAAGTCTCGGACTTGTCGAAGGGTTCTGCTTACATCTGCTTGGAAATCCATCAAAAAGACGGCATGAATTATTCATCACCTAATTGCTTCTCTTTAGCAACAACCCGCCTCCCTCTGTGTCTCGCTTGTCCTCACTCTGAAATCTAACATCTGTCTATCTCTCCATCTCCTCCCCTCTATTGTTTTTTGTTTTCATGCGCTACATTCCCTCTCTCCGGAGTATAAATGCCTTCAATTTTTGATATCTAACACAGCAATGACTTGTTGGGCGTTCATAGAGGTTCAGTCCAGTAGTGATAGTGATCGTTCCAGTTGCGAATGAGATGTACGGGCTAGATAGGCTCGGACTTGGATTTCCAATTCTAGTGCAAACCAAAGGATCAAATCTGGATATTCCAGTTACATAGAAAAAAAACTAACAAACCAAGGAGTAAACAAAGGTTTGGCTTGGCTAGTTTGAGCAAACAAACACTTCTCCTTTATAATAATAATAAAAAAAAATGAAACCAATTCTTTGTTAGAACAGGAACAAAAGATGTACAAGTATTGAGTGGTAAGTGCTTTCATTCCAGTCATATTACAGAGTTCAAATAGACCGGAGACACGTTTTAGAGCTACCATTTTCTTTTTGTTAATCTTTTTCTTCTCTGTCATTGTCCAAACAAATATTTACCAACTACTCCCAGAGGTTTAGAGACCGTCTACTAGGGTCTTTCTACTTCAAACCTCCATATTGTCCAACTCTGGGTTAAGAGCCACATATCTGTTAGGCGTTCATACCATTTAAGCACATGGTAGCAGCACCAGGAGGAGCTGTGGTGTCAGTGAAAGCTGCTCTGCATCCCGCAGCTTGTAAAACTGTGGCCGTTGGAGGGAGGGGGACTTGAATGAGTGTGTTATTGGTGTTGGTATAGTGCTTGGGTTTTTGGTAGTGTGTGTGTATATGTGTGTGTATGTGTGCAAATGCTGCTAGTTCTGGTGTCTCTTCATGTGTAAAGCAAGATGGTCGGACCGTGAAAAGGAGCGTGAGCAGACAGCGCACTGGAAGGGTTTGGCCCCCGTGTGCTTCCGGTAATGGCGGGTCAGCTCGTCGGAACGAGCGAAACGCCAGTCGCAACTGTCCCATGTGCACCTGTACGGCTTCTCACCTGAAATAAGAGAGAGAGAGAGAGAGAAGAAAGTGTGACTAACTGAGTGCAGGAGGAAAACTCTGCAGAGCTGGGCTGAGTTTCTTGCTCAAACATGTGATCTCCAGCCCTTAATGAGCAACTTAAGATGCATCATTGCGTTTAAAGGCACAGATTATCACAGATTATCTGTAAAACAAAGGCTAACTCCCTGAATTACATGATTCACACAGTTGGGTGGAGGTACCGGGGAAACAGGCTGTACTGCAAAGTCCAGTCATCTAACAACACATACAGTCACAACACTGTCACAAGCATCCATCAACACTAACGCTGTACAAGTTTCCCACGAAACACTCTTCTGTATTGTCTGACTCTGCGTACGGCTTTGTTGGATGTAATTTGTTTCTCTGTCACTCTGCCATTTGAATAATCTTTGGCTGCAGCCTTGGGCACTTTGTTAAAGAAAACTAGTGTGACCTGTCTCCTGCAGTCTCAGCACTGTCTTAAACTTTCACTCCACCCTGTAATGCGCAACCTACAACCAGAGTTCAGTCACCTTAGAGTGGGTTTGTGTGGTTTTGTTCACCCATAATGCGAGAATAAAATCACTTATTTTCGCTGTGTTGTTTGAATTTAAGTATTTCTTCTACCACCAAAGTCAAGAAGAGGCAAACAGGATGTCTTTATGGATGTTTTCACATGAAAAACTCTTATGCAATTGTGCGGGTTAGCTCTTCTACCACTGGCATGTATTTGATTGTGTCAGGTCCACATAAAAGTGTTCTTTCTTAGAGTTGTCTCAGTTTGAAAAAAGGCGTAGGCGTGATAACCCCCTATTTAAGGTAACACTTTTTTTTGCTTCTGTATGCATGTGACATTGCCGTGGGACACAATTATGATGGAATCTAATATAAACGCTGTGGTTAGGAGGCCTGTCTTCTTTTCATTCCTGTCATTAACGTTTATATGCAAGAGATCTTTGTAGGTATCCTGCAAATCTTAGAAGTATGAGTGGGAGAAAACAGATCTAGATCTAGACAGAAACTAGAAAAATGCAGCATGAATTTCCCTTTCAGCTACATGAATTTAAGGTTGAAGCTCAGGTTTTAACATAGGCCAATAAAAAACAAATCATAAGCATGTTAGATACTTCAAGAATTCACATGAAAAATCAATGTTTTCTTTAGTAATTTGGACGAACAAAGCCTTCAAACAAGCTCAGCAAGCTCTTCCGCATCTCTAAAAACAACCACTGTAAAACCTCTAACCTGTAAATTAAGCAGAGCGTAACCATACTTAGGAACACACACTCACACACACCTGAAACACAATGAGGAGACACAAAGGACGGCAAGAAAAAATAAAAAAGAGAAAACTGGGAGGAGGACTTGTGATTGTACACATACACACACACACATACGCACACATACGCACACACAAACAATCAGGGTAATGGATGTTGATGGAGATTAGAGTGGGAACTCCCATGGGGAACCAAACGCATTAGGAATCATCTCATACAGATTACTGACAGGTGTGTGTAGGCATATGTTTGTGTGTGTGTGTGTGTGTGTGTGTGTGTGTGTGTGTGTGTGTGTGTGTGTGTGTGTGTGTGTGTGTGTGTAAGCATTCAGGCAGCTGAATAAGAGAAGTAGAATGAGTAACAGACGAAGATAGAAATGGGGAGAGGAGGAGGGGGTTTGAGGTGTGAGGAATGCACAAAGTAAGAAAGAGGATGATTTCATGAATAAAAGCGAGAGCATAAAGGGTTAAAAATAACAAAGCACTACTGACAAAGGCAGAGAGGATACGGAAGTATCTGCTACATCCCACTTTACGTGTCCTGTTCTCATCTTGCGGTCTGTAATAACTGCAATAACCACGATCAGCCTGCAGCACGAATGACGCCAGATCTAATTGTCGTGTCATGTTCCCAAAGCTGAAATGCAAGGCACGCACGCCCACAACCATGTTCTGAACAAGTCGTTCACAATCAGAAGAAGTGGGACAGACGCAGTGGTAAAAGTGAGTTTTATGTCCATGTGTGTTCTGATGAGTGAGGAATGTGTAGATATCAACAGAAGCCCTGTTTTGTTAGCTGCACTGAGGTGCGGCCCAACACCTAAGTTCTGTTTGTTGACTTTTTTCATCCAAAACTAATACTTGAAATCCAAAAGTGAGAGACGGGGATGGATTGAGAGAGAAAATAGGGAAAGGGAAGTAGGCTATTAGGAACAAGATGATCTAAGATATTTTTATATCTGCACGGACAGATCTCGTATTTATTTATAGAGGCAAACAAGCCAAAACTAGTCTCAGGAAGGTGTTTTAAAACAAAATAAACACTGATGTCTGAAAAGGCGTGGGGATCCTAAGAAAGACGGCACCATGCGAGTGGTGCTGCCCACATAGTCAGAGAGTCATCCCCTGGCAGAAGTGTGTCACTTCCACCTGTTTTGATGGAATAGTATATTGGGCAGAGGATGGGAATGGGGTAGGATACATTTACACACACATGCCAGGAACACAACACTCTGCCTAGCAACATAGTGCCAGCACAGACACCGAAATATGAGTCATGTGGGCTGCGTCGTTTTTTTGACGGCTGCCGTCTAAAAAAACGGCATTAATTAGATGAATGTCTTACCCGTGTGAGTCCTGAGGTGGGCTTTCAGATGGGACGACTTGGTGTAGACCTTCTTGCAGCCTGACGACACACACAGATAAACACAAACAGAAGGCTGAGTCCAAATCCAAAATAATAAATAACGTGTCAGATATGTGTTTACCCAATAAACCGAGCTGCGGTATGCAAGAAATGTGAGCTAACGAAGAACAGAAGCTGTTTGGAATGAGATATAGAAAATGTTTGTTTCTGTTTTTCAAATTTTAAGCGAGCACACAGTCTTGTTTGGTATAGTAGACGCTTACATTTGTCATATTTACAAGGAAATTTACTCGACTTAAAGCCATATGCCTCGATGAAAAGTTCTGTTTACTGCACCTGTTAGTTTGGCATCATTTAGGAGACGTTTCAGGTTTGGGTTAAAAACAGTGTTACACCCAGAATGTAGATTATAATATCAAAAAGTAAACTTAGATTTGGAGGTTTTCAAATCCAAGATTTCCTGCAGATTTATTTAGATTTGAAATAAGGAGATAATAGCGTTTTATGTGTTGCAAAGATTAGCAAGTGAGGAGATTTAGCAGCAGCGTGACTAACAGACACTCGGCAGAGTGTGGATCCTTGTGCGCATATGATGGATCCGCTTCATTTGACTTTAAGAGGTTAGACATGTGCTTACTTGCTGCAGGAGGCTCTGCTTAAGCCTATTTTACATGCTGCCACAGGCTGGCTGACATTACACGTCCTACAAGTAGCTGCACATCATAGTGTGTGTGTGCATGAGTCAAAAAAGGTAATGTGCGTAAGCAATATTAAGTGTGACTATATGCAAATGTGTGTTGTTTAAAAAAAGACTGTATGACTTAACATGTAGTTGATTAACACATGCCCACACACGCACACATTAACAGGTTCGTTCCACAAACATGCCAGCGATGGCACAAAAGCCACAACAATGCGAGCACGCCCTAAGAGTGTCGTTTGAGGTGAGTTGATATATGCAAATTAGTTTCTATGCAGACAGTGAAATGAAAGGTTTTGTCTTCTGATGTCCATTGCCAAAATATTTTAATTCCAGGTTAGCCTAAGCTCTGTTGTGGTTCAAGAACAAAATGTGACTCACAGGCTTGGGAAAGCGTTTCAAGACAGACAGCATATAATTTTTTAGAAATGCACGGATGTCTTAAAATAAAACTGGATTCTTAAAGCTGAGTGACCAGATATTCACCTGACCACAGCGCAGAGTAAGAATAAACACACCCCAGTGACAAGAATCAGCGTGCATTACATTAGCGGTGCTGTGTTGTTGTTCTAACCTGGGTAATCACAGTGGTGGATCCGTCGTTTCTCCAAATCCGGGTTGTTCCTCCGGTTGTAGCGAACAGGCACAGTGGTCTGAGCTGTGGTTGGTGCTGGGGTTGCTGCAGGGGCTTGTGGGAGGCCTGTGGCCTGGCCTGGAGCAGAAGCGGGACCTGTAGTGAGGGGCAGGGCTAAGCTTCCTGGGCCAGGGCCCGGTCCCAGTCCAGGAGTGCTGCCTGCCAGCTTAGAGGCAATGGTGGCCGCATATGAGGGAGGCGGGGACATGGCGTGAAGCAGCTCCTTCTGTCTGTCAGGGCTGCCGGGCTCCGAGCTGGGCGGAGAGGGAGGCAGGTAGGGCTGCTGCTGCTGCTGCTGGAGGAAATGTGGGTGAGCCTGAGCGTGAGGATGCGTGTATCGTCCTCCACCCAGGCCGCAGTAGGCCGGCTTGGTTGTCTGCTCTTGTTGGGACGCAGAAGAAGCAACCGGCAATTCGTGGAAAGGTGTGTGGATTGTGGAGGCGGAGGTGTGGTGTATCTGCTGATGATGATGCTGCTGATGCTGAGCCTCCATACCATTACCATGGTGATGGTCCAAGCCAGAGCTAAGTAGCTGAAACAGTGAGCCGCCGCCGTCATGGTGGTTGAGGGCATGCTGCTCGTACTGTGACGACATTTCCTGTTTAACAAACACCTCCGGCACTGAGTCGCTACCGCGGCTGCCTCCTGATTGGTTGAAAACACTGGTGAAGTCTGGTAACCCTGCTAGCGTCATATTTATGGCTGAGGTTTCCATGGAAATGCTGCCAGGGCCGTGCCCTGATGTGCTGCAGGTACTGGTGGGTGTAGTGTTGGGGCAGTGCAGCTGCAGGTTAGGGGAGAAACACGAGGAGGCAGACTCTGTTTTGATTTGGGTGAGACCTGTGTGGTTCTGGTGCTGAGGGGGCCTCGTCTGCTGACATAAGCCCATCCTCAGGTAGGTGGCATCAGGGAGGTAAAGGTTCATGTTAAGAGTGTACGGAGCTCCGGTGTGGTCATCTGTAAAGAAGGGATCCACAACGGAGGCGCTGTCTCTCTGTGACTTCTGCTGGCTGTCTGATGGAGGTGGAAGGGGAAGAGACTGAGGGGAAAGATACCTGTCCATCTCACACTTTGCCTGTGGATTAAACAAACAGAGAAAAAATGTCTGGATGAGTAAAATTAAACCTCGAAACAAACGCATTCAGCCTTTAGCACAGCTGCTCTTCCTGTGATCCGTCATAAAACTATTCTGAGGGGCTCTTTTGAGAAGACAAAGGTTTGATAGGACAGTCACCGCTAAAACATTTATCAAGTAGTCATCAATATGCGCTTGCCACATTCCCTCTCTGCCTGCAAGGCTGAACTCAGAAACCTTCCAGCTGTGCGGCCAAGCTGAGGCTTGGGTCACGTTCTCACAGGAAAAAGAAACAAATCTTGTGCTTTTTGTACAAAAAAAAAGAATCTCTGTTTAAGATATCTCACAGCTTATCACCAGCATTGCATGTGGGAGACTTCATATCAAAAAATTGCAATGCACTCTGCAGTCTCATGAACACCGAATGCAAATCTCTGGCTGAAAAGTTAGAGAAGCCCTGCAGCAGAGGATGAAACAGCAACATGAAAGGGAATGGGGAAACACCCATGCCTCCCTGTCCGCTGCAGCAGGAGTAGCAGCAGCAGCAGCAGCAGCAGCAGTCTGGGGATGGGCTGCTATTTCTAGGCTCCTGATCACACCAGCTGTTCCACGGGACTCTACTCTGCTGCTGCTGCTTCTGCACAACTTTCCTACTAACTGTGGGACAGAGTTGCCGGGACCTTTTCTGTCCCGAGGCCGGAGTCAGTTGTTGTCAGCGTGGTATGATGGTGAGGAGGGGGGGGACGCCAACAACTGCTGGCCAACTGGCTGGCACAGATAGAAAACATGCGGTGAATGCGTTTGCAGGCGGAGCAGCGGCTAGGATCCGCGTCCAGCTGGTCGCACGCACATTACCGCAAATAGTCGCAAACAAAGTGATGATTAATACCCCGCAAAGGAAGAGGATCGTAATTTAGAGTCCAGCGTCCAAACAAGCAAACAACAACCTGGATCTACAACAACTCTGCCACGCCCATTCAATGAAATACATCACTAATGTGTAAAGTCGGTTCATGTTTCTACCTGAGTGAAATCGTTTTGTCCAGCCTTGTCCGAGTCTGCGATCTTGCAATCCAAGCCGAACAACGCCGACTCGTCCAGGGAGAATCCAGCGGGGAGAGTCGCCTTCTGCAGCGGATAGAAGGGATCCTCCTGCCCGCCGCCGCCGCTGCTCATCGTCAGTGTCGCGGCCATGAAGCTCCGGTGCAGACGAGACGAGCCTTGGTCTTGTTATGCAAAGAGGAGGATGATGATGCTACAGTCGTGTATTGAGAGGAGGGGGAAAGCAGTGGAGGCGACGAGGTGAACGGTGCGGTGAGGTGGTGCGGTGGTGGTGGAGGAGTTCCGTCTGCTACATCTCCTTCTTCCACTTGTTTCATCCCCACAGCCGGCCCGCAGACAGTTTTCTATCTGCTGTTTGTAGGGCGGAGCGGCCACAGTGTAAATACAGCACATGCACCGCCTCCAAACCTTTAAAAAGGCTTTGATCATTCATTCACCGGCCACCGCCCTACGCTCCATCTAAATACATTAACAACAGCGTCGTAAAGTGCACACCGGGCCAGACAGCCATCACACAGGCGGTGAAGGTTAACTCAGCCAGGCTTTTTAAAACACCATCCAGACAAATATAATAACAATTTTACAAATAGACACATGTATTTTAGAATAGCTCTCTTATTGGCACGTTCTCGGGGTATAAATCTCTCCATTTGGCCTAAGTCAGATGCATCTCAACCCAGGATATCCAGAATTTCTCACCTTATTTCACGTTTGTATCCTTTATCTGACAAATAACCATAATTCTTACATTTCCCATAATTATATAAAACTGTATTTAGAGGAGTGACTTCAATAGCAGCTTCTTTTAAACACCACCAGTTTGTAATGTGGTCTTTGTTTTTGAGATCATACATTTCCAAACTTTTCTCTCACCCCTACATGATATCATTTTAATTTTAAAAGCTTGAGTAATATTTAAAAGGTCCACTAACAAGCATTATAACAAAATAGTATACAGTATAATAGTATACCAGTACAGCCTAAGAATTTTACTGTAATGACTTACTGTCAGTTAATATGTATACTGTGTATACACAAGGATTATTTGTACTATTATTTGTTTATTTGTACTATAACATACAGTGTAATCTACTTTTGTGTCATATCTTAAATCTTAACTCTTATCTGCATGCTGCACTTACAGTATTTTTACAGTTTTCTATTCATGTATAAGGTTTCTTATGTATGGCTTAAGTTGTACGTTCCGAGGGTAAAAAATACAACATTAGTAAAGGGGGGGACGTATGGCCAGAAAATCCAAATGTTCTTGGAGCTGAAATGTTTATTTCACTTACAACTGAAAACCAAAAAAATCAAATGTCCTTAAAATTTAACAAATATATGCTTTTTATCTTATTTGGTACATTAGATGTTTCTGGAAACTGATAAACTACAAGAGGACATTTTTATCATTTATTGGACTGTATTGGGGTGTTTTTTTTTTAGTAATTTGTTGATCATATTGATTCGATATAAGTATATAAAAGTATGTATCAAATATGATACAAAAGGCATTAAAGGGTTAAATCCAGCATGCTGCACTTGCAGTATTTTTAAGAATTTTCTATTCCTGTATAAGGTTTCTTATATATGGCTGAAGTTTACTTCTGTACTTCTTGGGACTTTCACTCTTTATTAATCTGCAGATGCCCTCTGGATAGCTAAGTATTACTATTAAATTTAAATTTACAATGCTTTGTGTGTTCCAGTAGTAAATAACACATTTGTAGCGGGGGCGCATGGATAGGAGTAATTCAGCTACAAAGCAGTGCTCTGGCCGAGTTTAATACGACACCGATAAGAACATGGTCTGAAATGATAAAGGTATGCCCACTATGTCTATATTTAAAGCCAAAGGACCCTCTGCTCTGGCAAATCAGAGACCAGGCTCCCTGCATTGCTGTTTGTCTGTAGCTACAAGTATTTTCAAACCTGGAATAGATAAGGAAATAATGATAGACAGACCTAATCGAACAGAGCACTGCCAAGAAAGAGGAATTTTTGGGCAGTCAGTTAGCGAGGAATGTGTACCCTGTGGAAGGTAATACCTCTGTTTTTAGACCAGTATGCAGGGAACTCATCCTCTCTGAACAACGTGCAAACAGAAATGAAAACAAAAAACTCTCGGACACAAGTAACAATTTCTGTTTTAAGTATATTTCTAAAAAATGAAATAAGAAAAAGGCGTGTTATTTACAAGTTCAATACACAATTACCTGGATGATCAATATTGCTAAGGCCCTGAGTTGTAATAAATAGCACCAGTAGTCGTAACAAAAGTGACTCCTCAGTTGGTTTTCTGCTTTTGGTACCAAACAGGAGCTTCTTTTTTGGTCTGAAATGAAGAAGAGAAGGAAAGATGATGGTAAGAAGAGAATAAATTGCATAAGGAAGGAGCTTTTGTTTGAATATATTCTCAATTTTTTTGACAGCTTCATTTATCAGGGATACACTATACTTAGAGCATATCTTTCTGCGAAAGGCAATTAAGCAATTCATCATTTTCTGTCAAGCACTTGTGCTTCTTTGTCTGAACCTCAGTCTGAGCAGGTGGAGGTGCTGTGACTCATTTGAGGGTGTTTCCATTTCAGACACTTACAAACACAGTGGGTTTCGGTTTGTTTGGTGACTCTTCCTCTGCGATCCTGTTGAGACGTTTAGATGACTGTTTTCCTGCTCCAGAGGTCCTGATACCGGTTTTATCTGCTTCCAAGGGGTGGACAGCGTCCCCTTGTCTGGACTTCATGCTGATGAGGACTTGTTTCATCATCGCTAACTCCTGCAGAAAAACACAGTTCATGAAAATAGAAACGTGAAAACAAGAGTAGAACAATAAACAGGGATTTCCAAGAACAATAAATGGACTCAAACTGGAATAAAACAAAGACCCTTGACATCAGTGGTAATTTAATTGTGTATTTTGAAGAATTTATATGGATGCTCTCTGATGACATGACTGTCCTGAACCACAGGACCGCACAGCTGAGATCTTTAGATCCATCTGTAGGGCAACTCGCAATAAGCTCAACAAGCTTAAGGGTCTGCAGGGTGGCAGCAGGGCAGAGGGGAGGACTCGGGGCCATTTCACGGTTCTATTTATCAACCCTGAGGACATGAGCCCCGGCATGTCGCACACACGCAGGAGCACACACACGTATGCAAACATGCACGCGCACCCTAGTGGCATCCCAAACAGCCAGGCTGAGGAACAGCTGTCTATGACAGGGCACATACTTCATACAGCAAACGGCTGGCTGGGGGGGCAGTCCTGCGTGCATGAGCATACGAGCACACACAATCTTGAGAGACTGTACAACTACGACTGTAGAATACATAATAAAGAGAAAAATAAATTCTATTATAGAGTTACTTAAGTAAATTTAGACGCTGCCCTCATCAATTTTTGTTTCTATTTTCTCTTTTTTAGCTGAAATTTTCTGTTTCTTGCCACGTGAAAAACAGCCCAATATCATCTGAGCTGAATTCAATCAGTGCATCTCTACACAAATAAAGACAATGCGTGGAAAGCATGTGATATCGAACAAAAAATAGCAAACAGCTGGAAGTGAACATTATCTTGAACATGCGCACCTCTCGATGGTTGAGTAGTCTTTCCAAATCGGCCGCCATGTTGTTTTTCACCTGCTGCAGAGCGGCCCGTTCTTTCCTTAGAGAACTAGAGTTGAGGTAAGTAAATAAAAACCATTACTAAAAATCCTTACGAAGCAGTGTTACTACACATGTGACTCAAACCTTAAAGGGATATTCCGGTGTAAAATTAATTTAGGGTCAAACACGCCGTAACACTGAGGTAGACACCCCCTTGAGAGATGAATGCTGCCGACCGCTTGCTTCTCTAGTTTTACCAACTTTAGTATCGACTGCACAATACAGAGCGGTTTGAGGAGCCATAAACAAACCTCAACCAAAACGCCACTTTATAGCCACAAATTATGCTCAGAACAGCACCTAACTTCATCAACAGTACATATAGGGTCCCAGCCACAGCACTAGCCACCAGAGATGGGAATTGTGGAGTCACCAAGTCATCTCCATGCCATGTATTTGATCTGCTCAGTTACTGAACCAGGTGCCTTCACTAATGAGCTCACCTTCCTGGCTGCTCATTGAAAGCAGCTGGTTCAGTGACAGAGCAGAATAAGTACATGACATGGAGAGGAGTTGGTGACTCCACAATTCCCATCTCTGCTAGCCACCAAACATATTTTTAGCTTTGCCTAATTTCTTTAGCAAAGAGACTAAACACAACTCACCGACTCTCTTCCAGCAGCCGCTTGTTTGTAGCAAGACCTCAGGTCAGTCCATTACAGACTGCTGCGGGGTGACACAGCTCAAGGAAGAACATTTACGATCATCTTTTTGGTCGAGGTTTGTTTATAGCTCCTCAGAACGCTGTGTATATGCTATAGTGCGGTCATCACTTAAGTTGGTGTAACTAGAGAAGCAAGCGGTCGGCAACATTTATTTCTTGACGGGGTGTCTAACTCTGTGTTACATTGTGTTTGACCTTAAATTAATTTTACGCCAGAATATCCCTTTAATGTACACAGTATTCAATGATATATCTGATCAAAACATATTTCAGTACCAGAAATTCTATAGCTGTGAGAGTATACAAGTATAGTACATGTTTATTTATATGCAGTTTTGCATGACTGGAATTACAAGCTTGATGAGGTGCACACTAAAGTCGCACAGTCCATAAAATGAAGAAGTGATCTTACATGTTCGATTTATTAAACAGCATAGTAGCACCAATGTGCTCAATTTGAATATATCCACTGAGTTCTGGTCTTTGCTGAAATCCTTATGCGGACGCACAGAAACAAAGCACTTCACTCAGATTAAGTTTCATTGGCTCACTGTCATTTGCTGTGCAACTATCATTCATTGGTGGCTAATGTTTAAAAGAAAAATACGTTGAGTTTGTCTTATGTAATTCCACTCCCAAGTCAGATTATCCAGAATTTTACAACCCTGGACATGTTACCTGTAAAAGCTTGTAGGTCCAAGCCAAAGTCATGAAACATGTTTTTGTCTCAAACCTCTAATCAATGGTTGATGTGATTCTTGATGGGAGGATTGAGTAAGAGTGCAGCGTAGAATACAGAAGATTCCAAATGAAAATTAAGATGTGTTTTTATTTTGCGTTGGGTGGAGTCTTGTTAAGAACATAGGATTAAGACAGAGGGTGCGGTGTACGTCGTAAATTGAATGTTATTTCGCTTGCATGGCTGTAATTAAGTTTGGTTTAAAGGGTAAAAAACAAACAAACAAAAATGCTGGACAGTTAATTAACGAAAAAGTAATCAGCCATAAATCAACCAGGTTAACTGACAGATTTACCAGTACAAAGGGTTTGTACCACCAGTCTGAAACTTTCAAAGGCAGAACATCAATTAAACATGTTAGTCATGAATTTCTTAAACATACTAAATAATCAATAGTTTGTATTCCGGCTTTTGTCTTGTTGAGATCTTCTTTCCTGGGGCAAATACAAACCTGTGACGAGGATCTTTAAAGCAAATCATCATGCAAATCTTAACACAAGAGCTTGTTAGCTCTGCTGCAATGACCTCTGAGAAAACTGAGTTTCTTAGGGCCGAGATCTACCTTTTCTGAAACACTGTTGTAATCGACTGAATAGTATGAAATGAAATGAAACAGTGAGATTAAATGTGACTTCAAGAAAGAGACTGGTGGTATTCAAAGTGAAGATCTCCAGTGAGCCATGCCTAAACAGATAGAAAGTGCACAGCCGCAGAAACACTTCAATATTTCTGTCAGATGGGAAAGTTGAAGATAAAAAGCATTTTTGAGGACTTTTTTTTCACTCCCCTGCTTGCCCCAGGTCAGCGCGCTGTGTTCGAGAGTAGCAAGAGGAAACCTGCTTTCTGCCAGTTTGCATATTTCTCAGGTAAAAAAAATATGGGGGAAGGGTGGGTAGGTCAGTGGGCTGTTGATGTACTGTAATGTAACATATCCAAACTCAAAGGTACATGGAGGTCTGAACTTTGGACACACAAAGATCATGGAGGTAAAGTCAACTACAATGCTGACTGGAAAATCTTATTCCTATTTGCACACACTGATTTGTGTCCTCTCTCTGATCGTGATCGCGTACCTGATATCGTCCTCGAGCGAGGTGACACACTCCTTCAGCGTGTTGATCTGCGCGTCTCGTTGCCTCACCGTTTCTATCAGGTAGCTGTAGGGCTGCTGCGACTGCTCTAACAACTGGTTCGCTGCCAACAACTGCGAAAAAAAATATAAACCAGTGTATCAGTAAAGCAATTACAGAGACATTTACCTGATCTACAAGGTGATGGGTTCAACTAGGGTTCCTTTCTGTTCTCCACCCACCAATTCATCTGAATCTCAGGTCTATACTTCTTTTAATAATATGTTATGAGACTGTAGAGGCATGTGTGATACAACAGAAGGACGTACACACCTGTCAACATGACGCCAGTAAAAAACTACTTGGAGTTAAATTACATTTTATAGATAGTGCAATGATGAATATACTACTAATGCTGAGTGTTTACATGCTATTTGATCATGACTAAATGACAGATTTATTTGAAAGTAAATTCATTCTCGATAGGTTCGCTGACCTATATATATGTAAAATCAAAAGTTACACTAGAAAAAACACTTATTAGAATAAAAATGATCAGGCTGGATTACTTCTTTTTGTCTTTGACATTACTATGAAGTATTTAAAACATATACGTATCAAGTTCACTTCTCCTGACCCTGTAATTAACTTTGTTTTCATTTGGTCAATGTGAATTCACAGGATCATTCGTGGGGTTGAGCACATGCCTTCGTTGGTTGTTTTTAAAAAAGTGATGTTTCTCAATAAATATCAATATCATGTTCCCATACTTGCAAAGACTTATATATGTGGTAAAAGCTAAAAACTGGTTTGCGGTGTCAGTTCTTCGATTAAAGGGTTATTACCCACAGGGAGTTCAGTCTTCCAGTTGAAAATCAGACAGAGAACTCGCACAGTAGCTAGGCTTTCAACACCTGCAGATGGAGTCACTCCTTCCACATTATGACACAAATTTTATAAACTCCTACAACACATCTTTCTAAGTGTATCAGCTTTTCTTTGCCCATTCATACCTGGAATATTTGTGGATATGACACAGCTGGGAGAATAATAAAAAAAAAAATCACAACCCCTATCACTTCCTCCTTGCTTGCACAGTCAGAAAAGCACATCACCAGGCATTTCATAAGAGTTTGCATGTATTGTACCTTAAACAATATTAGTCAGTATTAATTTTAATCTTTGTGACAATGGATAAATGTTTGGGTGTTACACATTAAGCCACTTTTACAGCCAGCCAGTGGTGAGAAGGACTTTGTGGGTGGGGAACGAGCACAATAGTTAGTTAGTCAGGGCATCTGTGTGGGTGGCTCAATGGTTAACACCCTTTCTGGTGAATATAAAGTAAAATACTTCACCTCTTCCTTTCATTCTCGATGAATAATGAGGTATTCCAGACCAGTGCCAGTCAGTCACAGCTGACAGTTGAATAGCTGGCTTATTTAGTCTCAAATCTAGTCGGCCTCTCTGTTCTAGCTTGCGCAATTTCCCCTCTCGTCGAGATTGTAATAAGGAGAAAGGGGAAAGCAAACAAATTGGCTGTGAGAGCTGTCATTCACATCACTTCAAACCCTACTGGATGAATGTTAGCATCAGTGCACGAGTAGTAGACATGTGACTTCACACACACACACTGAGAGTCACGCATAGACAAAATACGTGTACACACCCAAAAAATTAAAGCCTTAGCTTTGCACACACAAGCCAAACACAACAAAAGCCTCAATGACTGGAGTGGTGAGTTGTTGGGAGAGTAAAGAGCATAGCCGGCACTGTTTTTGGCACTGTTTCCCACTGTGTCAACAAGTATGACAGGTACTAAAGACTCAAACTTCATGCTGTCCTGGTGTAAGGACTGCTGGGCCTCTGCTGGGGAAAAAAAAAACGGTCACTTCTATAACATCGCTGTAAGAGTAGATGAAGAGTTTCAGAAAAAAAGGGCCTGATATTTTTTAAATGTGTAGAGCCACTTCAAAAGCAGCTCAATTTTTTTTCTTGTTCTTTGATGTTGGTCTTTGTGTGTGTGTGTGTGAGAGTATATATGAGATGGTGTGAGAGGGTAAATAGCGGGTGATGAGAGAGGAGCTACCAACTTTGGCCCTGTGATAATGGCTCTGTTATGTCACAAAGAGAGATAGAAACCAGCTGAAATAAATCATCACAGCTTTAATAGAAGCTGTGTAAAAACCATAATCTGAGCTGCTGTGGGAGGTTTGCCATGGTGTGAAAACAAGTGTGTGTTGCAGGCACTGGCATGCAGCTCTTTTGTTCGAAATTCTTTCAAACATGAAATTCATTAACGACTGTCCCCGGACAGGCACACACCTGGATGCTGTTTGCATGCAGCGTACGCGTGTTTACCTCTTCAGATATCTGTCCTGTCTGCGACTTGTGTCTGTCCAGCTCTCTCCTCAGTGACGTGTTCTGCCTCTCGAGCTGCAGCACCCTGCGAGCCAAGTGAACGCTGTACAACGACAACAAACAGCGTTTTTGAAATACCAAATCACAACAACACCAACAAGTGCGTACTAGCATGAGTCGTGCATGCGTTTTTTTTTTAATCAATGATTGAGTTTTATGAGTGCAGGAGTATTTAGTGCACCGGTTTCTAGAAAAAAAGGAATTTAAGCCAGATAAGTGTTGGAACTTTTACACCAAATCTGAACTAAGCATGTCTAATTTTCTTCAGTAGAAACCTTTTAGGCAGCTACTCTATCAGATATACAAAAATCAAATAGTGTCACACCTGATTCAAATGATTAGCTCGTTATCAAGCTCTGTAATGGCTTAATAACGAGCTGATCATTTGAATCAGGTGTGTTGGAGCAGGGAAACATCCAAAACATGCAGGACAGGGGGAGCTGCTCTAGACAATAGTCCTGGCTCTACCATCATCATACTGTTCTATTACCATTTTGACTCCTTAATGTTGTGATATTGTTGTTCTTGTGAGTGATATCCCATTGTGTTACTGCATTGTAGATTAGGAACTCAGCACACAGCAGGAGCTCTACTTTGAAACAAATTGAGACATGCCCACACACACACTCAGTGCTGTTCTGCCCTGCCTGCTTGGCCAGCTCACAGGGATCCCATATCCTCCTGAGACACCTCTGTTACTGATTCTGATGCCAGCACAGTGGGATGACTTAATCCCACCTTCCTGTCCCACTGGCATTGATATTAAAGCTGAAACGTTACAGAGGGAGTAAATATCACACCTTGGACTGGTAAAATGAAAAAGGGCAGAAGTTTATCATTTCTTTTAGTCACTCAGAATTTATGTATGTCCAAGTGCTGAATGTGGAAACAATCAGAAAAGTTCAGGAATTGATAACTTATTTTTCACCCCGATACTATGTGAGCTCTCAGGTTATGATTCTTGTGCAACAGCAGCAGCAGTCCTGTGATCACTCTGAAATGTAAAGTGCGTGATGTACTGTACCTTTGTTTCAGTCTTCTTTTGGCCGTTGTGGGAACGTTGGCTCCATAGCCATAGGAGAAAAGAACTCTCTCTGCTTCTTCTTCATTTTCAACTAAAAATGTTAAATAAAAACATATTTAATTACAACAATGATGGAAGGAATGAACTCCTTTATATTTTCTGTTTTCTTTCCTTGAACAAGTTCGATGAAACGTATTGAAAGTGAAAATATTCAGATTATCCCTTTAACATGACAAAACATTTTTATGTACAAATAAATAACACACATTTACAATACCACAGCAAAGCAGTTGGTGGAACAAATGTTTTTTTATTTGTCCTTTCATCATTCTGACATCCCTGTCATGTAATGACCGTTAAAGAGCAAATACCACGTCCTTACTTTCAGCAGCCTGCATGGTGACCTGGTCCAACTCCTGCTCGAGCTTTTCATACGTCTCAAGCCGAGCGGCCTGCTCGGCATTCTGAGCTTGCAGCTCTGCTGCCCGCTTCTCTGATGACGTCTGCAGCCTATAAAACTCCTGGGTCAGGAGCTGAGGGAAACGATGGCGGCGGAGTGAGAACAGGGCAGAAGCAGGGAAGGAGAATTAAGGGACAGAGAGTCAATCATGGAGTTTATATCACAGTTTTCTGGACTCTGAATTTTCACAGTCTTCTGTGCAGTTCACTGTTACACCTGATACGTCCCTCTGACAAGCAGTAAAGGAGGATACAAGGTGAAATACAGATGAAGAGATGGGCCTCAGCTAAGACATGGAGAACAGTCTGGACTAAATGAATATTTTGTGTGTTTTGGATTCTCTTCCGTGAAAAGAGATAAAGAAGAAGCTACTTAAGTGAAATATCAATTCCAATGGGTGGGACATTCATTTTTAGTATAACCTCAATTCCACAAAAACTGTGGTTTCAAAATGTGACTTTTTTTTGTCTTTGCACTGCCTTCAATAGAATATAGACAACAAATGATGAGCAAACCATTAACAACCAGAGCAAGGAATAAACTTTGGTTTTATCAGTCAACTTGATGTTTGCAGCAAATACGTTTTCTTAGCTGAAACCCATCCATAACATTATTTCAAACCAATCAAGATGAAAATGTATAAATAAGACAGTAAATAAAGAGGGGAAGAGTGAAGGGCTTCACAGGATGCACTAATTTAAATACAGATGAGAGTTTCAAATTGTTCAAGGTAATCAAGATTACTATGAGGAGCTGCAGGAGGGCACTTAAAATTGACAGTCAACTAAGTTACATCAAAATCTCTCTAATAAAAACATGATTACGTGTTCAATTAAAACTATGAAAGAGTTCAGTTTCAAAAACCAGGTGTAATCAAATTAATTTTCCCATTATCAAACTGCTTCAATTTAATTATCACAAATGATAAACCTCTACATCAAACACAAACACATTAAACTGTTGATCGTTTGTGCCACTGGATGTGTTTGAGGAAAGTCAGTCTGATATAAAACAGAAGAAAAAACAGGTAATACATATGTTACTGAAGTGTGGCAGCAATACCATGTAAAATGCTGACAAACTGGAAAAACCTCTCAAGACAAAGACAGTAAAATACCGTTAGTGTCCAGGAGGATGTGAGTTTTAATCATCATTTTAAACAAGATTGTTTTTTTAGTTAAACAATCAGACACTAACAAAGCAGCACTGTACCTGAACTCTTTATAAAAATGTCTTTCTCCTCTACCAACAGTATCTTACAGTAGGGGTTAACGGTAAGAAAAAAACTTGGGAGATGTAAATTGATGAAGATTTGTTGGAAAACCACACTTCGGGAATACCTCCAGTTTTTTCTGCTGCTTTTCACACTCCACCTGGCACTGAGCCAGAGTCTTGGCCGTCTCATCCTTGACCATCTGAGCACGTTCAGCTTCAAATGAGTGCAGTTTAGCCTGGTTGGACAGTTCTGCTACACGGCTGTCAGTGCCAAGCTGGAGATGACGAAATCTGAATATTTAAAGACACACAGGTAGAAAACAGACACATACAATATTTAGATATAAACTATTGTAAAAAAGTGAGATTGTGTATGTTTTAGTGTTATTAAGAAGATAAAGGTCACACACTCAGCACTTTGGCCCTGGTTGAGCCCCGGCATGCCTGGTTGTTTCAAACTAATGGCGCAATGTCTTTCCTCTTTTGGCTCCAATTATGTTTGGAGATGATTTGCATGTTCAAATTGTTCTGTGGCACAGCCTGGCAACAACTTTATAACAATAAGTCACAAAGCAGGAAAGCCAAGTCTAAAATCACTTTGTTGCAGAAGAGGGTTTCTCAACGGTGCTCGCGGCGCTGTTTGCTCTTGTTTGAACTTTCATCATTTCAGTTGGCAACTGAGGTGTTCCTATTTAATATTTCAGATAAGGTAAAAACTTATCAAACAATTCTGCTTTAAGTAGTAGCATTAATACTTTACTCACAATATAAGAAGTGAAGTCAACACGAATTGTGGCATACATGAAAAAAGGGGTTTTGTAATAATATCATAATTGGCTAAGTGACCAAAAAACACATCTCTGCGCCCGGTGCTCCCTCTACAGCAGCTATAAATCACACACACACACATACTCTCATACTGTATCAAAGCATGCAGGATGGTTGGATAATATTAATAACTCGATTACAGCTGACCTGATAGGATTTCATCATCCATAGAGCCCAGGCCTGAGCTGGGGTGCTCAGACAGACATGTACACATGGTGGAAATTTTATGCCTTCTCTTATTAGTGGCAGCTGCAATCTGGATGCAGAGACGCAAAGTAAACTTCTTCCAGAGGAGTGTGACCAGATTTACAGGGTTATGTTTTCAGTTTTCATGTCTATATCTGCAGCTCTATTAAGTAAGAGCCGCTGACTCGGCATTTTTCTTGTAGCAAGTTTTAGTTTTGATACAGAATAGGAAATAGAAAGGACATACTCAAAACTTCCTCTGTGTTTTGGACAGGTTGATCACCATAATTGGCCGTCTGATACCGAGGTTCAAACTGGCTCTCTTTGCTACAATCATCTGACGCCATTTCAAGCTTGTCCGCCTCATTCTTTGACCCAAAAATAGGGGCATGCGTGGGGTTAGGGGTTAAGGGCTTGTGGCGAGCATCTGTCGTTGCTGGCTTGCGATGCGACATAGAGAGGGAATGTGATCGCAGCGGAGAGAGTGAGCGCAAGGGAGAGTGAAGACTGTGTGTATGTGTGTGTGTCTACGTGTGTGTCTGTGTGTGTATGGAAAGAGCAACAGCTGGTGGTTTGGATCTAGAGAAATGACCGGCATGTCGTAGTAACCCAGGACAGGGACACTGCTGCTGCGGCTGCTGCTGTTTGTGAGTCCATGCTTGTTAGTCGCAGATATAATATTGAATAAGTAAATATAATCTTGAATAAATAAATCACTGCAACAGTGAAAAAAAAATGTTTGGAAAGATATTTCTCCACATTTTTGACTTATCAGCTGCACACATTTGAAACACCTCCTCCAAAAGAGAAAAAAAGTAGGATTATATGTGTGTGTGAGAGAGAGAGAGAGAGAGAGAGAGAGAGAGAGAGACAAAGAGAAAGAGAAAGAGAAAGAGAGAGAGAGTAGCAGTCCTCATAATACATCTGTTGCAATTTCAACATTAGATATGAAACTTCCTGCGAGGCCATTATCCAGAGATCTTTTTCAAGGCTTTACTGAGATGGGTGATGTTGCCTTGGGCAGAGAACTGGACTTGTAACATTGACACAGATCACTTAGAGTAGGTATGAAAATGCGTAAAAAACAACACCTCAAAACCAGGCAGAAAAGAGAGGAAAAAAAATCTTTTTTTCTGGAGTCATATTAAAAGAAACTGAATAATACTTGACTTGTCCCAAATGATTTCCATTTTTCAAGGCGTTTTATCATGTTACAGCCAACGGCATGACGTCTCTCCAACTTTAGTGACCTTTTTTTCTTTTTTTTTTAAAACACCAAAGAGCACCTTCATCATAATTTAAGTTTCCAAGTGCCCTAGAGACTGAAAATAATAAATCAAATATTTAATTACTTATTCTTTCATAGTTCATTGTAGCTTAAATTATAGTTCCCACACAGAGACAGTGTTTTTCAATATAGGCCTTAATATATTTTCCAGCACATTTGTCAGCAGGGTTGTCAAAGTTTTTAAATTTTCATTTTTTAAATCATTATTTTATCTTTTTTATATTATTTATTATTATTTTTAAATACTTAGGACCTGAAATATTGTCTCGAAGAAAAAAACTCAAAACATCTTAGACTTTGAAAAATGTAATCAAAGAAAAAAGATGAACAACTTCATGTTCGTATTGCAACAGTAGATGCAACAATAAATGCTATTAGTTGCTGCGTGGGCTCAGATTCTTTGAGCCACCCCCGGCATAAGTCAGTGCCCCAGCTGGGACACCCCAGCCAAACAAGTCTAGACACGCCCAGCTTGTACCTCCTTGTAAGCACATCATGTTGCTTTGCTCGATAACAGATGGATCCATGCTGTAATGGAGGGCTCTGACGATGGAATAGGGGGAGCTAGAGTGAAAGACAAGGACTCAAGATTCACCCCAGGTAAAAAAAAAAAAAAAATAGACAACTTTTCAAGCTTCTATATCCCTGTAATGAGCTGCTCTCTCTCCTTTTCAAAGCCCACCTGTGACTCTTTTATCCATCCACAGTCAATAAACATTAATAATAATCTATTCAAGACATCAAGTGGAAGTAGAATGACACAGCACTAAAAACAAGAATGAAGTCTGCCTCCAGGGTGAGCTCTAAGTCTTTTGGCTTCACTTTACAACAGTCATCATGACCTCAAACTTGTTACACAGTCTTTGGTTATTAGTCACAGATATCATACATCCTCTTCAGTAGCTTGTACAACAGTGCACTTTAGTACATGTTGAACCTGCTCTGAAACTATTTTGCCCCTGAGATGCCAGCGAAGAGGCCACTGACACCAGTTGGTGCAGACCTCCAGTGAACTCTGACTTTCATGTGACCTCCCGACCCCTCCGTTACAGCAAGCATTCATGTGATCTTTAGCAAGAAACAGACCACAGCCACCAAAGTCCTGCCGCTCCCACAGCACGCGCTGATGAGAAGCTGCTGCTGCAAGTCACACATCAGCGGCAGAGTGAGAACAAGCTCACAGCTTCAAGGGAAACACTGAGAAATTCAAGCAAAGGGGGAGGAAGAAATGAAGAATGAAAATGGCTGTCTTAATAATTACAGTAGCTTGACTGCGGCCGACCTCACACTCACCGAGTCAGCGCGTCCCTGATTGGCCCACGGAGACAGGGAATGAATTTGAAATATGATGTGATTAACCCTGACATAAAAAACTGTACCAACTGGCCTGACTTTGACAGGTTTAACAGTTGCCCTCAGGTGAAGTTCCTGATATACAGCCTTTTAACAAAGCAACCAGGAAGCAACTCGCATTCATGTGAGGCAGCTTGACTGATCGCGTTTAACTCTTCAGAGGCTACAAGTTGATGTCTACTTAAACTTTACGCACTGAATGTTCCAGGGCCCCTTAAATGTTTTCTATTATTTACTGCACGGTTAAGACAGATCCTGTAGCAGCGATTAGAGTGTGCATGAGGTGAATTTGTCAGAGCAAGTTCATTTTTTCATGGACATGATAGAAAATATCGCTGGATGTTACTTCAAAACAAGTAAAATGGTTGTATTGTTGCAGTTTTCTAGTTATGTGGATAGAAAAGGTTTGATTGTACAGGTGTCTCTTTTTCTCACCTCTGTTTCAAAATTTCTAACAAATACATATTGAAACTACCCTTTGTTGCTGTTAAATGTGCAGTTATCTGTGTCCTTCTAACTGGCACTCCAAACTTCATCCTCTATTTTCCAGGCACAACAGAAAAAGCAGGAAAGAGACAAACAGAGCCAAATGTACTTTTCTGTGAATATAACCAGAAATGATGATCAGACATACTTTAATAATCCCTAGGGGGAAATTGCTCTTTGTTACAGTAACTCCAGTGCAAACTAGAAAAGCACTTGAAGAGCGCAGACCTCCGCCAAGCAGCTCATGTCCCCCCTTATATTGTGATTCACACCAAAACTTCTACTGTTACGTGTCTTTTATTAACTTCTATTTGTGTTTAAACTGGTATGTTCACTGTTCATAATGTTCCTAAAACAAGAAATGCCCTGATCCAAATTCGAACCAAGGACCTTCTTGCTGTGAGGCGACAGTGCTAACCACTACACCACTGTGCTGCCCATCTACACCACTGTGCCGCCCATCAACAGCATTGAAAATTCCAACGACACTCTAATTTTTGTGTGTTCTGGATCACACTATCTGGAATTTTGTCTGGATCAGGATCAACCTTTGACACCTCATAAAACTCATTGAGATCCTTTTGTGTAATTTTTTACTAAAGACTCTGGCCATTTTTATAGAGTTAAATGCAAAAATTCCAAAATTTGCCCTATCTCACAATGACGAAGAATCCTTAAAAAAATTCCTGGATCCAGAAGGCGATCCGCATCATCACCAAAATGTAATGGGATCCTCCTGGGGCTGAGACTCACTTCTGGTAAAAATTTCAGGTCAATCCGTCTGTTACTTTCTCCGTAAAGTTGTTGACAGACAAACAAACAAACAAACAAACCAACGCTACCGAAAACATAACCTCCTTGGCGGAGGTAATAAAGTAGAGAGAGAAGATACATAATAGATAAAACAAGTAAAATAAAGAGATAAATAGATAAAATAAGTAATATAAGTAAAAATAAAGAGATCATATACAAGTATGTACATTATGTGACAGATATGAACTGCGTGGACACCTGTTTTAAATTCATATGTGTGCACTAGTCGGTTAACTTACTGTTCCAGCAGCTGATCGTATCTGGACTGAGTGTCTCTCTCAGCAGCAACAGCTCGGTCCTTCTCCAGCACGGCGTTGTCTCTGGCCTCACGCAAGTTCCTAACCAAACAAACCCACACGCACACACACACAGCCGAACAGTGATATGTTAGAGAAATATGCGAGTTCGTCTTTGCTTTGAATAGCTCTCCGGATATTTATTTACTTTTCCAACCCACATACACTTCTTTCAAAACATATTTAAAAAAAGAGAGAGAAAATAATCTGGTACCTGTTCTCTCTCTCATACATCTCCCTGGAGGTTCTCTGCAGGTTGTCAATCTCCTGACCTGTTTTCAGCCTGATGTTCTCCAGCTCATCTCTTAACTTGGTCTCATATTCTGACTTATAATGATCTCTGTTGTAAAATAAAAATAGAGAAAAATTAAAATAACAAAGTAACAGAAATGACACTTCATTGTTATGGATATGAAAATAAAGCCGAAGCTGACCTGGATGCCACATATTTTTCATAGGCATCCTCCCTTGCTTTCTTAGTGTCCTCTAATTGTATCTATGGAGCAAAAACAGACGTGAAAGAACATCAGCTGAATCCTTCTTAATAGAGGATGCATTTTATGTTTTTGTATATAAACCTGCAGCCTCTCTAGGCGGTCTTCTTCATGTGCACAGCGGATGCTCAGCTCCATGTTCTGCTTGTGTAGGTACTCCTTGTCCTTCTGCAGGAGAGTAACTGACTGCTGCAATGTCGCCACCTGGTGGGGAAGGACAGGAAATGAAATACTGCTGCACCGAACACAAACTATCCAGAGATTTTGGTTTGCATAATAAAGACGCACAGAAATGATATGTATGTTTAAATGTTTGATGCACCTCTCTGCTGAGTGTGTTCCTCTCTGTGGTCAGTGCAGCGTGAGATAACTCGAGAGTCTCGAATCTCCTTTTTAACTCCTTCAGCTCTGCTTCAAAGTTGTCACGCTCCCTGTTAAGTCAGAAGGATACTGTTGGCACACGTTTGAACTCGGATGCAGAATTTCCAAGGACTGTAAAACTAGAATTAAATTTATTCAGTTTTTTGATTCAACCACATAAAATATTCAAGTATAGCTGATTAATAATACAAATGGATAAATAAATAATACACCGATCATTTCCATGTTCAGAATAAGCTGATATCCCTTTGAGAAACACCTATAAAAACATTAAAAACACTCACACAACCATTTGACATCTGATTATTATTCAGAGAACAAACATCAGGTTTTTAAGGGAACCTTCTTTGTGTGTGTTGCATCACAGACATAGGAAATAAATTGGACCAGTGCCTGATGTTGCAGATCATTTCACAGCAGCATAGTGGCCTTCAGATATAAAACATATCAGTAACTCCAAACAAACACAGAGTTAAAATGGCAAAATGTATAAAAACTTCAAGAGAAAACACAAAGTCAATCTTTCATGGGTGTGAGGATGTTCCCCTGTGGTTGACTTGGTAGTATAATTGACTGAGAAAAGTCAGCTTATTCTAACCCTCAAGAGGTGTGTGCCACCAACAGTAAGAGATAGTGCACGCACCGTTTGACGCTTGGGTAGTTATCTCTGCGGAAGTCTCCTTCTTGGATCAGCTGCTTGGTGTCGGCCAGTTCAAGGGTGAGTCTCTGGCTTCTCAGCTCCAGCTCGGTGCGCAGCCGCCGCTCCTCCTCATAGCTCTGAAGATTCACATACACAGAAGAACGCACAAAATACGCATTGGATCAGTGGTTCTCAGCTGGTGGGTCCCGACCCAAAAGTGGGTCGCAGACACGTTCTGGATGGGTCATGAACAGCTGGTCAAAAAAGGAAATATTTAATGTGATATCTATTAGATCTTTGATTTTTTCTGTTTGTGCAACTTCAGTAGTTGTCGTCCTCATGTTGTCCCCTTCATGTGCTCTGAAATGCTTTTAACTCAATAAAACAAGTGGATTTATGTTAAAGATTAGAGTCTTTAAAGTCTTTTTTTTTTATAAAAAATAAATTTGCTTGGTTTGAATTCTATAGAAGAGGGTCACGACTTCAGGACCATGGGAAAATGTGGGTCCCAGAGTGACACCAGTCGAGAACCACTGCATTTGATGGAGGTTGATATTGTTGTTAATGCATTTGTCATAACAACATATGAGATTGCAGGAACAAAACACAAAAAGCAGATGAAGTTTTAGTCAACCTGTCACTTTCAGAGTGGGTTTTGCAGCATATTTATATTCTAGTGTCTTTAGTAAACTTGTTTGCTTTCCTGGTTTTATTGCACCATACTCAATTATTTTAATTTGCATTTTCAAAGCTTTACTAGGTGCAAACCACTTTAGGTGAAGAATTTCTTAAACCTCCTAAATACACTTAATTCACACAGACAAATTCGATATTGAAAAACTCCAGTTGCTCACTTCAGTCTTCACAGTATCATACAGTTCCTACAGGTCCCAGTCTGCTCATGCATATTCATAGATCAACTCAGAGTATTTTACCCTCTAGATAAATTTGAGTGAGTACGTCAGGGACTGTGGAAACTGTGACGAAGGAAAATGAAAGAGCCAGCTCAGTTAAAAAAAGGCTTTCAAGCTGCACCCGTTTGGCCTTAGAAGGTCTTGTTTATCAAGAAGAAAAATCTCCAGGTCATGAAAACCTCAAATGACTTTACCTGGATTTTACCTTTGACTTTGATGTGATTCATCATTTTCTCATCAACTTGTCATTTATGCCCACGGGGCTCGTGGTGCTAGGCTGACAGGTTTTTTTAATCACTTTTCTCAAATTCTAAAGACTGCAGGCAGAGATATTAGCATTTCAAGGACAGAGTAACTGACACCACTCCATGTTTGAAGGTGACTCTGTGCTCATTGCTGTGACACTTTTTGATTTAGTTTAGAGATGAAACACGAACTCTTACCCTTATTGCAATCTTGACATCAACACTTCAAAAACTCAGTCTGAAAAATTCAGTCTGGCTAAGAGAGAGTTTAATCTTCAGATCTTCAAAAATATCTACTGTCACGTTAACGTGTTCCCAAACACATAATACTTTTCTTAATTTAAACACGTTAATCATTCATGCTTTTTAAGTTTTCTATTACAATAAAAAAGGAGTCAAATAAAGCAACAATCCCCATGAAAGATGTATAACCCTACACACAGAAAGAGCTGAGACGACAGCATTTAATGGTGAGAAAAGTATGTGTAAGTATGTTGTACCTCCAGTAAAGCCTTCATCTGTGTTCTGTGTGTATCCAGCTCATCAGTCAAACTGCCTCTTTTCACACTGAGCTCAGCAAGCTGAGTCCTCAGAGGAGTTACCACCTCATAGAAACGCATCTGGACACACAGGAGGAAAAAAAAACACCTCTTAAGCATATTTTCTCTCCCACGCCACCATCATGGGGGTCAAAAATTAGTTTTCAAGATAATGCCCTGGTACTCACAGCTACATATTCCTGTATGGAGATTTTGTCATCAGGAAGGTCTCGGAGCTCCTGGTATTTTTCCTGCGTGATGTCCAGATCTCTGAAGGACCTTCGCAGCTCTCCGGCCCTCTCACAAAGCTGTCGGTTTGTCTCCTCTAGCTGCTGCTGCCTGAGCAGGATGGTATCCATCTCTTGCTTACGCAGGGCTTGCTGCTTCCTGGTGACATCAACATTTGGTAAGAACAGTTCACATTTGAGATTATGATCTAAATATCAGGACAGAAAACACGGGTAGGTTGTGAGTGGTTTTTTTTTGTTCATATTTAAAACAGATTCTGCAATAAAAACAAATTCAACTTTATTTTTTATGGCACTTTTCAGACAGGAAGTACGCACACACCCACCCATGGACCCACACACACCCACCCTCACTCACCCACACATACACAAACACAAGCGCACACAATGTAGGAATTTAAGATATAATGTTAAAGAGACACAGCCTGACACTGAGACATTTATGTGTGGAAAGAGCTACCTTTGGGAAACACTGGAGATAAAAAGATAAAAATGGTAAAAAGAAAAAGAGTAAAACCTGATGGACTAAAACAAGAAAATAATATTAAATGAACAGATGAGTAAGAGCTCTTTACCATGTAAAAGAGGTATGAAATGAACATTTGCTATAAGAGAAATATAAGAAGGCAATTAGTGAAAAGCCTGGTTAAAAAGGTGAGTCTTGAGCCTCCTCTTAAAAACATCATCAAAATGACTTAAAGTCGTCTGCCTCTCCTGCACATGTTGTCTTTGACTTGTTATGAATATGTGTATTTTATCAGAACATCTTTATTATGTTATGTTTGTTAATTGCTAAGGAGGATTACTTTCAAACACTGCAAGAATACAAAAGAGGAAATGTACATGTACAACAAAACATGTGACAACTAACCCCAAAATGACTGAGACATGTTGCCCCAAACTACCGTGTTTACTACTTCTAGCTCTCGCTTAAAGCTAGCTTACAACAGAACAGTGACTGAGGTATGATAGGATGCCTTAAATTAATTCAAAATATATAAAGTAAAAGATTTTTCTTTGGGTTGTGTGAAATGGTGAATTGGCACTCATCTCAGCTCACAATGTGCTCTTCTCTTCTCAGACAGGACACAACCCCTGACCATGTAAAGGAATAAAACTAGTATTCTAATTTTTAGTTGCGCCCTCTGGCAGCAAAGATAATTGCAATGTGACAACAAGCCCCGGTCTCCCCTACCCCTACCCTACCATTACAGACTGCTGCTGCCACCTTCCTCACCTGTTCTCTTCTTGAGCCAGTTTCAGCTGGCTGTCCAGTCTCAGAGCCAAAACTTGTTTCTGGTGCAGAGCATCATTCAGCCTCTCCTCTAGCTCTTCAACCTGTTGAATAAGAATAAGTCAACAATCATGAGATCACTATTGCAGAAAACACTCTCCTCCAAAAGCCTCCCTCTGGCTCGGATCACTCCCCCCTTACCTTCGACATGTGGTCGGCCTTCATGTTGTCTATGATCAGGTTTTTCTGAGAGAGCTCGATTTTTAGCAGCTGGACACTGTGCAGCAGCTCCTTTCTCTCGATCAGCTGTCGGGTCACTTTTTGAGATCCGTCCCGCTGCTCATCAGAGGAGGAGACGTCCTCGGTGGTGGGGACGGTGGTCTCCAGGCTGATGTCCTCAGACTCCAGGTCCAGGGAACTGGAGACATTGGCTATTGTGGGCCTCAGGTGTTGTCTCTTTGGAGGCATCTTGTTAAATATTGTCCAGAGCAGTAACCGGTTATTGCGAAAAGACTACTGGCTTATAAACCACTTGTGGATGTTGCTGACCAACCTAACAGGCAACACAATCAAGAATATCGAATTGAAGCTTGCAGCAACAACCGAAACGAATACCGACTTCACCGCAGCTTTGCTAATGTGAATTAACACCGTTTATTATCAGCCAAAGGATAAAGTTTAACTCATAGAAGCATTTCAAACCCACGCAGTTGCCGTGACATCCCACAGCTGTTCTTGTTTTCAAGGGTCCCGCTTTGAATCGCCTGCTAACCGCCAACGGTTCCACACTTACGCTGTATAATGTACGCGAGTGCAGCGCCCTTTGTGGTAAACAAGACGTACTACATTAAGAAACCGCTTGCCTCCCGTCCGTTTCAATGAGCACTTCCTGCAGTATTTCCTCCAAAGCATAGGTGGCGCTGTTTTAAATGATCACTTCTTATCAAACCGGCCAGCTACTTCCTTTTTGTGCCTTTCTCTGCTTTGTTTTCATTGAAGAAGCATTGGATGGTCAACCAAAACTAAACACGGAAACTTTCAAACAAATTTTCTCATTAGTGACAAGCCTTCATTGAAGATTATATTTTTCTCCATTTCATCTATATTATTTTTTAGGAAAAATACACGGTTGTGAATGAAGGTCTGAAATCAACGCGTTATTTTGTTGAACTCGGGAAAGGTTTTTGTCGGCCCATAGATTCAGTTTACACATGGACAGCTAACTGCGTGTCTGGTTGATGGTTTGGTGAAAACATTGAGATTTAACAGTCTGAGGATTTCATCTTCATCATGTTGAAATCTAAAACCTTCGTCAAGAAGACCCGGTCTGGCGGGGTGATGAAGATAGTGCGTGAACATTATCTGAGGGATGATATTTGGTGTGGAAGCGAAGTCTGTACGGAGTGTAAACAGGAGTCCACGGTGCTGCAGAGAGATGCGTGTTTAGAGAGCAGTCTGTGCTCTTATCCTCACTATCTGATCCCTGACACCAATGTGGTGCTGCATCAGGTAAAAAACTAACAAACCTAAAATGTAAAGAAATAAGAATACGTGTGTGATCAAGGGGCGGTTTTTATCATATCAACATGTTCCAGTCTTCCAGGTCCTGAATAGTTAGACGCCTCTCTGTGATCCATCGCGGGTGATGAAGCCGGTCACTGAAGGAGCTTTCTAGGGCTTTTACAGACTCATATAGCGGGTGGGAGACATTGTCCTCGATTGATGACAGCTTTGCCACCTTTGCCTAAAGCAGAGAGAAATCATCTTAACAGAGCTATGGAAATAAATGAATTATATAAATAAATAAAAAAACAGACCTGTAATGAGGCAAACGAAAGATCACCTGTACTTCAGCCACATAATGTTTGCAGTGCACTCAAATCACAACCGTGATTTTTTTGTGTTAATGTATGTATACATATTTTTCCCGCAGATTGATGTGCTTGAGGATCCTGTGATTCGTAATGTGATCATCCTTCAGACAGTGCTGCAGGAGGTCCGGCACCGCAGTGCACCTATCTATAAACGCCTGAAAGACATCATACATGAGAAAGAGAAGCACTTCTACACCTTTACCAATGAACACCACAGGTGCCAATACATTTCTAGCTTTTCTGCATGAACAGCAGTTTATTTCATGGATTTAAAAAAGGAAAATTTAACAAAAAAAAAGTTGACAGTGCCCAGGAGGCTGCTACTAAAATATCCCTTTTACCACTGAAGTCAATTTTCATCATGTTGTATATTTACTCTGTAAAAGCATAACACTTTCTTGGCCTTCATGCTGTTATACGATCACCTTTTCTTCAGAGAGACGTTTATTGAACGTGAACCAGGAGAGAGCGCCAATGATCGTAATGATCGAGCAATCCGTGTGGCGTCAAAATGGTATAGCCAGCATCTGAAGACATCCAAATCTGACGCAGAGGGGCTCAAGGTGGTTCTCCTCACCAATGACAGTGGGAACAAGCAGAAGGCAGAAGAGAGCGGCCTGCTGGTGTATAAATGTTAGTAGTTTGTTTGTTTGTTTTTTTGAGAAATAGTCTCTCTAATTACACCTTTTTTTCCCCAAAAACGCCTCTTAAGGCCTCTTGGTCAGTTAAGCAGGATTCAAGAACTCCATGTATGTTTCACTTTGACACAAGCATTTATTAAATTCTGTTTTAGGTGAAGAGTACATCAAGAGTCTGATAGCAAACCCTGAGCTTGTGGACCGTCTGGCTTTGTCCAATGATGACAAGGTAATCAGTCTTTATAAGTTATCCCCTGTTCTAGCTCTCATGCCTCGCCAAAAAATATGTCTCTAACTCCTTTGTTTGATGCATTTGTCTCCCTTCCCTTAGAATGAGATCACTGCTAGTAAAGTGCTGTTTCCAGAGCATCTTCCTCTGTCCAGGATCCAGGCAGGAATTAAGAGCGGCTCCTTCCTCCAGGGCACCTTCAGGGCCAGCAGGGACAACTACCTGGAGGCTACAGTCTTTGTGCAGGGAGAGGGGGAAGACAGCAAAGAGGTGTGTGTTAAGGTCTAAAAAGAAAATCAGAAAATACAAGGATATCTGAGACCTAATAAAGCATTTAATGAAAATGTCTTCTTGTGTTGTGGTGTAAGTTTCCAGTCAGAGGATTTATGATGCTCTAGTCAGGAGCACAAATTTGTATGAATCTGTAAACCGTTCTTTGTCTTGCTGCCAGGTTCTTCTCCAGGGTCTCCAGAACCTCAACAGAGCAGTCCACCAGGATGTAGTCGCTGTGCAGCTTTTGCCACGTAATGAGTGGGTGGCACCCTCTTCAGTTGTCCTGCAAGATGAAGGTGCAGCAAAAGATGATGAGGCTGAAGAAGAAGAAGAGGAGAAAGCGGTGAGTTTGATTGAACCAGCTCACAATTATGGATTTGTTTTCTTCTTGGTTGCTCAATGGATGTAGATGCTATATGCTAGTCACTCTTTCTCAACACTTTTTAATTTAATGACAAACTTGCTGTTAAATCATCTTCATGAGTTCTGTTCTCTTCTGTGTCTGGGCAGTTGAGGATATCAGCAGCTGAAGCAGCCAGAAAACCCACAGGGAAAGTTGTCGGGATCATCAAACGGAGCTGGAGACCCTTCTGCGGCATGCTCAATCTCTCCCAGATCAAAGAGGTCCATCTAGAGTTGTTCTATTTTAATTTATTTAGAAACTTGAAGCTGTCCAAACATGGTATTTTCACACTGAATGAGTAAATACGTCTACTGTACAGTTTGAAAACTGCGTCACACTTCCTTGTCTCATTCTCTCTGTGCTCACCATCGCTCCCTTTTCTTTTCCTCTCAGTCAACCCGACATCTCTTCACCCCGGCAGACCGTCGTATCCCTCGCATTCGCATCGAAACACGCCAGGCAGCCACATTGGCTGGCCAGAGAATTATGGTGGCCATTGATGGCTGGCCAAAGAACTCAAGATATCCTAATGTGAGTGAAAAACTGCTGATACTGCTACTGTTTCTATATTCTGTGTACAGTAAGATAAACCATTTTTTCCCCTTTTGTTAGGGTCACTTTGTGCGCAGTCTGGGTAGTGCAGGGGAAAAGGACACAGAGCAGGAGGTGCTGCTTTTAGAGCATGATGTCCCCCATCAGGCCTTCTCTCAGGCTGTGCTCAGTTTCCTCCCCAAGATGCCTTGGGGTATCACACCAGAGGTAACAGCAGCGTTTCTGGAGAGTTAATGAGCAGGATCCTCGTCTCATTAATGTTGATCCATCATCATTTAGTCTGTCAGCCCATTTTTTGGCATTTCTTTACTTACTAATGTCTCTGTGTTGATAAGGACATGGTGAGGAGAGAGGACCTGAGGCAGCTGACAGTGTGCAGCGTCGACCCTCCTGGATGTACAGACATAGATGATGCTCTTCACTGTAGGGAGCTGGACAATGGAAACCTTGAGGTACAGAAATTGTTCAAAAGTAAAAGCAGTAATTATGTAGTAATAAAGTTTGATAGTTATTGTATTGAAATTTAAGAGAATGTCCTTACTTGCTTCAGGTGGGCGTTCACATTGCTGATGTCAGTCACTTCATCCGACCTGGCAATGCTTTGGACAAAGAGGCCGCAAACCGAGGCACTACCGTCTACCTGTGTGGCAAAGTAAGAAACACACGCACACACATGAATCAGATGTTTCCAACATTAATTTACAAGTTTATTCTGAATTAAACGATTTTAATGGAAAACAAAAGTTTGCGTTTAAGGTGAAAAGAAGATCTGTTTACACTGAAGTAAACTTGACATGTTGTCAACCAATTCAAATCAGTTTTTGCTTTGCATTTTGTTATAGTACAGATCACCACCATGGGCTGTATTGCAGCTCAATTGCCTTTTTTATTGAAGCTTGTTATCTAAAGATGCAAAACAATCAAGATACATTTGGGTTGCATCAAAATTTTGCATATTCTGATCATTTCTGTTTTGATTGACAGTTAAACAGTAAGGAGATCACTATGTAAATGAAAAATTTCACACTAAAAACTAAAATAAAGCAAATTTAATGACTCTTTTTATGTTTGTGTCCATCAGAGGATTGATATGGTCCCTGAGCTGCTCAGCTCCAACCTTTGCTCTTTGCGCTCCAATGTGGAAAGGTGCAGACTTTTGAATATACACACTTGCACTGAGGCTACATTCATTATTACCAATGCTTTTCCTCCCCAGTCTTCCCTAAACTTGCCTCTTACTCTTTTTTTTATATACCAGGTTGGCTTTCTCATGTATCTGGGAGATAAACCACCAGGCTGAAATTTTAAAGACCAGGTTTACAAAAAGTGTCATTAACTCAAAGGTATTGTTCCATCAGATAATGTATTATTCCTTGAAATTTAGTTTTTGAGTAATGTTCCTTGAAGTTAAAAAGAGAGCAACAGATTTTATTAACTATTTCTGAGACATAAAATTACAGGATCAAGATATTTTCAGGCATCATTTGGGTTTACTACTGTCCTGTTTACCTTCGGCTCTTCTATCTGGTTCAGGCGTCTTTGACCTATGCTGAGGCCCAAATGAGGATTGATGACACCAGCAAGAATGATGATATCACCAAGAGCCTCCGCGGCCTCAACAAACTTGCTAAAATCCTCAAAAGGAGGAGGATAGAGAAGGGGTAAGGAGTATAGAAAGGGTAAACATTCACTTCATCTTATACGCTGACAACTGAAAATCTTGTTACAGAGAGAAAATTAGATTTGTTAATCTTGAATTATGTGTTACAGGGCACTGACGCTGTCATCCTTAGAGGTACGGTTCCACATTGACAGTGAGACTCATGATCCCATTGACCTCCAGACCAAGGAACTCATGTAAGTGACTTGTGAGTGAAAAAGGAAGCATATTTAAGTGCTTTATTTATTTATTTTTCTGAGAGTCATGCCACTTCTTATGTAAATGAATCTCTCTGTGTCATCATAGGGAGACAAACTCCATGGTAGAGGAGTTCATGTTGCTGGCCAACATTTCAGTGGCCCAAAAGATCTATGACGAATTTCCAGACTGCGCCATGCTGAGGAAACATCCAGCTCCACCTCCATCAAACTACGACATCCTACTCAAGGCTGCAAAATCCAAGGTGAAGACCTGGAGATAGAGGGTCATATTTAAAACAGCTTTTGTTAAATTTTTTAACCACCTAATTTCCCTTCAGTTCTCTGTCACAATCTGATGGAATATATTTGTTATTACCAGGAGGTTAACATCCACACAGATTCAGCAAAAGCACTTGCTGACTCCCTCGACGTCGCCAAAGTGGACGGCTTCCCCTACTTCAACACGTTACTCCGCATCCTGGCCACTCGCTGCATGATGCAGGCCGTCTACTTTTGTTCAGGCATGGACAGCGATTTCCACCACTATGGGCTCGCCTCACCTATTTATACACACTTCACATCCCCCATTAGAAGGTATGGAAACAGATGTTCTGCACGTCTTACATGAACACGTTGAGTTGAATCTTTTTGGCCTTAAAGTGGGCGTATTTCTTTATAACCTTTTTTGACAGTAAGATTCTCCTTTTCCGTCTTCTCTGCACAGGTACGCTGATATCATCGTACATCGCTTGCTGGCAGTGGCCATAGGGGCAGACAGCACCTACCCAGATTTGATGGACAAACACAAACAGTCAGCCCTCTCCAACAACCTCAACTACAGACACAAAATGTCTCAGTATGCACAGAGGGCATCTGTGGCCTTCCACACACAGGTAAACACTGGTTTGCTTTCTTTTTAAACTTTACTGACCCCAAAATTAGGCCCATCTATGGCCCCTCTGAATGAACATCGTGCTTTTTTAAAACAACGCTCTCTTTTTTTCAGTTGTTCTTCAAGAGCAGAGGCATACTGAACGAGGAGGGATTTGTTCTGTTTGTGAGGAAGAACGCGATCATTGTTCTCATCCCTAAGTTTGGCCTGGAGGGGACGGTCTTCTTTGACAGCAAAGACAAGGCTGGCCCAAACCTTGTTTTTGATGAGGAGGTATCAACACTAGCTTCTTTTCACTGATGAAGGAACTTTGAGAATTTTTTTTATAAAGCAATCTTGAGGCTTTAGCTAATTCTTCTGTGTGTTTAGGGTCCCACTCTGACGATCGAGCAGCACACCTTCCACATATTTGACAAAGTGAAGGTCACTATCAGCCTGGATGACTCCAACATTCAGCACCAGAAGATCCGCATGGCTCTGATTGACCCGGTGGTAAGGACCAATTGAACTGTGTTCAGCTTTCCCAGCATTACTTAGTTACAGCTACCACTGCAACAAACAGTTGAACCTCTTAGATTCTTCACACATTTGTTTCTTCTAACACTAATAAGGTTTGTTTCGAAGAGATAAACATGTTTCCAGTATGTTCTTATGACAGTCTTTCTAACTGAAAACCTTCTGGCTTATTTTTCTTTTTTTTATTCAGATTCCTGGTGTGAGCGTTGCAGTCCCAGAAATTGAACCCCAGGCCAAGAAACCAAAACTGGACCGCTGAAACAGACAGCAGCAGAGTTGTTCCTCTGAACCTGCTCATTGAGAAACAGAGGTCTATGATAGAGCCGCAGTGAACTGTTCATTACATATCCTGTTTAAGCAGAGAGGTTTTTTAATAAATGTACCACAGTGATGCTACACTCTGCTCTTTGCTTTTTTTATGCTTTCTGGAATATTCATAAATGAGATCTGTCAGCATTGTTATTGTGTCTCAGTCATTAAAATGTTACCCTTTTTTCCCCCACTACCAATCTCAAACAGCAAAGCTACATCTCGCTGCTACGCGTAATTGCATATGGTAGGAATACTAAGTCGACATCCTTGTTTCCAAACCCAAATTTGATGAACTATCAAAGCATGCTATCTGCCAGAGTGACGAAGGAATGATTGCACAACTATAGAAGCTCTTATTTATGAAAATAATACATCATTAACTTACACTGGCATGTTTTACATAAACATTAGAGCAAAATTGAACCACAGAAATGAGATTTGCCACAATAACATGGACACAATTACAAATTTATTGCAAGCTCTGATGTAAATGTGTTACATCTGTGTGCAGCAGAAAAACAAACAATGAGGTTACACCAAACGAAATAGTAAAATAGGATTCAAGTCAGAGAAGATTTCAAGTTTGTTTAATGCGACAATAATGCAGCCTGTGCCCTCAAGTATATAAAATATAGGAAACAAATTGGCTCAATCAGTGTTAAACTCACAAGTGGCATTATTCAGGAATAAATATATATTCTTCTAACAATCCAAAAATGATCCACAGATAACCGGAATTAATCAGTCACTCGATAAAAAATAGAAAGCTTTCATCAAATTAAAACAAGTTTTATAAAAACATACAGTTTCATATCTTTTATCTGAAAGTCAGGCTCTCATCAGATCAGCATGAGAGAAAACTGAAATGATAGTTTACGCATCAATACAGCATTTATGAGGTTACTGCTGAGCAGCTAAGACACAAATATACTTCTTCCCCTCATCCTTCACTGCACCAGCAGAGTGGATCCAAACAGACTCATTGCTTACAGTGTGAGCTTTTCAGTGTCTTACAGTGGACCTAACAGGACGAAATGTTAGTCTTCTGCCTCCTGTAAAAAAGCTGAGGCAATAATTATAAGCTTTGAAACTGTTAAAGATCTTATAACCATTTGTGAGGTTCCTTTTGTTCTCTTAAAGCTCCAAATATAATTGGACCCCATGCACCTTAAACAAAAATTCCTTTTAAATAAATTCTCCCGGGAATAGTGTAAACTTTGTAGTATACAGTTGCAAAAATAAAACAAAAAGTTTAAGCTCCCATAGGTGGAGGCGTCCCTTTTAACCCATTACTCAGAGGGCGTGGTGGTGAGGATAGAAAACCTGCAAAACAAGAAAGGATTTTTAATGTAGAGGAAAAATTTTAAACAATTTTAAAGGGTGCTTGATAACAGTAAACTAGGTCTTAAAACAGACAAACGTATGCTTGTATCTAAGACTGTGATTGACTTGAGAGGGTAAGCAGTACCTTTACTTTAGCGTGTCGTGAAACTTGAAAGCCATCGTCGGCGAGGTTCGAACTGAAGGACTCTTTGCTGTGACAGTCTGAGTTGAGGCCATCAATAAGACTGGCTGTGCCTGCTGTGTTGTACCCGCTGTCCACCTAAATTTGAATGAAAAAAATCAGCTCATTACAAATACTCCATGTGACAAACAGAACAATATGATGCCACCAAAAGGAACTCTTTGTACAGTAAAAGAAACAAAACAAAAAGGGGATAGAGAATCCTTGAGTTGTGTATCAATGACAATGGTCACACAAACCTGCATGCTGGAGTCATAGCGTATGCTGCTTCCATCTGCCAGGAGAGACACAAACATCTGAGAGCTTTCTGTTGCTGACACATTTCCCATACGAGAGCTTGTCAGCTGTCCTGAAGGCCCTCCACTTTCCTCCTCTTCATCCTCTAACCTCCCCTCCATCCCCATTTCCTTGTCTTCCTCCTCCATTTTTAAAGGCTCCATAGGATCTGGACTTACTCTCTCTGAGACAGCAGGATGAGAGTTTCGAGGCAAGGGGGAAGAAGGGTCAAGCTCCATAAGGGGTAAAGAAATGGAGGAGGACGAAGAGGAGGGGAGATGCTCCTCAGAGTCCTGACTGTCTTGGAGTCTGTGGTTGATGATCGGAGAGATAAGGGGAGGAGACGCCCAGCAGCGGACTCGGGGCCGGGGCTTTGGTCTGCCATTGGGTTGTGGTTCATTTTTGCCTTGAAGTTGGTGTGGCGAGCAGCTACGAATGGGAGAGCAACCCTCGACAAACGGGCTCTCATTGCAGGAAGCGATGTCTACATTCAGGGGAACGCCGTGTGGAGTCAGAATGCTTGCCTGCTTCCTCTCAACTAAAGAAAGAAAATAGGTTTAGTTTTACTTTTAAGAAGAATTAATCGAACATCCTGAAGGTATGTCAAAAATGTAACTCTCTACCTGAGTCAGTGGGTGTGCGTATTGTATGTGCAACTATTGGAGAGATTGTAGGGGAGGCGAGGCCAGCAGGAGACGACCCATCAGGGAACAGAGGGCTGGTGATGCTGCCAAGGCTGCAGTCCCTGAAGCAGCCATGCTGGATGGGACTAGATGAGAACTGACCCTATAGTTAAAAAATGCAGATTTATTTTTAGTCAACATTTTAAGAGTTAATTAATCCTACAAAACAGTTAAATCCATTTGCTGTTCCATTGTTCTGTCTTAAGCATGTGAAGTAGTTGATTTTTTAAAAATACAGTATATAAACAAATTTATTTATGCCATAAAGTAAGGTAGATAAAGGATGTTTTTCTTTTTCAAACTTACTTGTACTAACAAAACTAGTCTTAAGGAGAATATTCAACGCTAATAATGTGCTTCAAAACTGACGTAAATAAGAATAAGCATTTGCATTCTTGAACATCTCCCCATACCGTGGATGGGGTCCGACTCCGAACAGATGCACCGCAGGGCAAAGGTGAAGCAAACATGGATGATATAGCTTCAACCACCTCTGCAGCGCCCTCTCCTTTGTTCAGAGAAGGTCTCTCCTGCGTGACATGGCTCCTCTCTGGGCTTGGAGGACTGGAGCTGTCAGAGCCGCTGTAACTGCCTTGGCCATCGAGGAAGAGTTTTCGCCTCAAAGAGGAGGAACTGAGACTCTCCTGCACTGCATCACATGCCTCTTCGTGGCGGTAATGCTCCCCTGAAGAGAGGAGGGACAAACACAATGCTTTGATCCAAAACTCTCTTCAAACCAGATTTTTGATTCTCATGTGTAGATTTTGAACACTTACCTAGTATTTTCTCCAGATCAAAAGACAACGGTAACGTAAGAGTCGTCTGACAACCAACTGTGAAGCAAAAATATTACAGAGAGATTAATAAAGCAAGATGATAAAGTCAAGATGATGACATATAGCAGCATTTGTCACAAGTCATGTTTCTGTTTCTGTAAGAACAAACCAACCTGATACTTTTTGTGTTTCCACTGTAATCACTGGGGACACATAACCTATGAGTACAATGACATCATTAGGTAACAAGAACACAAAATGCTCAATTAACAAAACAGAAAGATATACTTTAATCTAAAACAAATTACAAGGAGAGAAATCCATTCAAACAAGGCTGATGAGTTTTAAAAAAAGCTGTATTAACTTACTTTTTGTACTGCTCTGGGGGTTTTTACGGGTGTCTGGTGCTGCCCACGGAGAGGGAACAATGGTTCTTTGGGTGAAAAACTTGATTTGGAGAAGGAAAAATGACATGATTGCAAAATTAACCTTCAAATTTTTGATGGAGTAACTACTGTAACAATAAGATTATGACAAGATTGAAATAGCATGCCTGTTCGATGGCATTCTGGCGCTTTTCCTCAATGTCAGAATCTGTCCTGGAAAGATAAAAAAACAATTTGTTTTGTAAATCCATCTGTAGCTTCAGATCATACAAACCAAGCCCATCTTGACCAATGCAGTGCTGTGATTTTGTTTTTAATCTTCAAGGATTTCTAATTCTGCATCAATTTCATACTGAACACCTGACCGTGACTATAGAGACTGAAGTGAATTAGCACGAACCTTGTCTGGCTGAGGTAAAAAGATTGTCGTTGGATTTCCTCTGGGTCGATGTGTACTGGGAGGAGACTGGCCATTTCGTCAATAGACCAGTTAAACTTGGGAGGAGTCTAGGAGGAACAAATGAGGAAGTCAGCATAGGGCAGAGTGGGGTAAGATGAGCCATTTTTCATATTTCAGATCACTACATTAAGACAATCATAGTTTTGTCTCTAACTAGTGTATTTGCATATATCTCAAGATGTTGTGCATCCCTGCAAACCAACAGAATGAGTGTAAACATAACTGTCTTGATAATATAGCATGCCAAAAAAGTGGTCTCCTATGGTCAACTTACCCCGTGTGTGGGGTAAGTTGAGCCGTACCCCTTCTATCCCCCCACTCTCCACCCCAGCCCTCACTCAACTTCTCTCTCCCTAAATAACAGTCACTTATTCACATTCATGTGTAATTTTTAGCTATTATACGCTATTCAACTGGTACAATAATTATTTTTATTATTTTTGCATTTAACTGCTAAAAAGCTGTTTTATAAAAAGTCATTTTTAACATGAGAATGTCTTTAAGTTATTCAGAACATTCACAGCTGTATTTCTGAAAAGAAAAGTAACACATTTCAACAATCTGAACTGAAACTCTGATCCTCTCATCAGACACCTTTACTCTCTCAGTTGAGCTACTGGTTTAACTTACCCCAGAGCTACTATTATGACTTTGTCAGTCCTCTAAGCTAAAATGGTGGACTTTTATGGTAGGTTTTTGACCTCATGTTGTAGCTCATAGATACCACAATTGATGTATAAAACAAATTTAAAATGATCTCTTTGGTGTGAGCACAACTCTAATAAAACCCATGTGCTTCTAACCTTCACAAACTCCATGAATTGATGCCCATCTCCTAAACATTTGGTCACATGATCAATTTCTTTTACAATTTCCAAGCAACAGGGGTCAGCTCAACTTACCCTTTGGCTCAGCTTACCCCGGTCTCCCCAATAGACATTTTAAAAAAGACATGCCCCCCACCTCACAGTAGGTAAGTGTACAAACTTACAGCTTTACAAGGTTTTAACTTGAAGACAGAAGGACTTGGCACCAGGGCTTCTCTGAGGTGGTGGTAGTCATTGGGACTTTCAAATGGGTTTCTGATGGAGGGTTTTCCTGGGGTCTCTGGGGTAATGTGGAGCTCATTATGGTCTCCCATCTTTCCTGACAACGACAAACGGACATTTCTCACATAGTTAACAAACGAGACCTGTAAATGCATGTTTTTCCTGGATTGACCAGAGAGTTTACCACATCCCCTTTCTTGTTTCTATAGTTTTACTAACCCTTCGAAACAACAGTAGGTCTTTCTCCCGGGTTTCCGTACACTTTTCCCACCTTAACGAACAGCTTTCCTTCAATTCTTTCAACTGTACACGATAACATTAACCATAATCTTTTCCTTTGATACTCACATCAGTTAGCGAGCGAGACCTTTACTCCACAGCAAGAAACAACGATTATTGAGAGGTCAGCAAACAATCAGCACCGAGAGTGTTCAAACGTTTATTTCAATTTTGCTCACTAGGCCTGCTGACCAATAGGAACAAAGCAGGAAGTTCTAGGGAACCAATCGATCAAACGTGATGTCGTCACATCCGTATACTAGCGACGTTGCCTTAGCCTAGCAGAAAAGTGGGCAGCTAGCTCAAAAATATTGACCCGTTGAGATTACACATATCTGTGTTTTTTGGAGGGCTTACCTTTAAATGAGCACGAGTATTATCAATTTTCGGCGAAGAAACGTATAACTTCGTTTTGTGTTGTGCGGGGGCAGCTCTGTGAGTGTCACTCGTGGGCTACTTGCTAATAAGCGTCGGCTAACTATCTTCGTTTATCACCATGGCCAGCGCTGCAAACACAAACTTAAACGCAGTCAGGGAAACCATGGACGGTAAACTAATATTTTATTCATGCTTTAACTCAAATGATGAAACTCAAGGTGTAATTCTTCAATGCAATGTATTGCTCTATGAATTGCATCTTTGTGTTTTCACCAAAAAGTAAGTCTTTGCAATGATGATCGTGTCTCTCTCGTCTTGTAGTGCTGTTGGAGATCTCCAGGTTATTGAACACTGGTTTGGATATGGAGTCTCTATCGATATGTGTGAGACTGTGTGAACAGGGCATCAATCCTGAGGCTCTATCAGCGGTCATCAAAGAGTTGCGGAAAGCTACGGAAACTCTCAAGGTACATTTTCTCTTTTATACGATTAGAAAGATGGTTTTGATTACTGTGATCACATATACACAGCCTGTACAGTAAACACTTGGGCAATCAAATACAGCAGTTCAACCACAAATCTTTCTTTCAAGAAGCCTTAAAATTTTCAGTTATAATTGTCATGATCAGACAGCTGACTGATGTACTTAAAGGGATATTCCAGTGTAAAATTAATTTAGGGTCAAACACACATAACACCGAGGTAGACACCCCTTCGAGAGATGAATGTTGTCCACCACTTACTTCTCTGGTTATACCAACTTTAGAAACGACCGCAGAGTAGCAATACACAGCGGTCTGAGGAGCCATAAACAAACCTCAACCAAAACGCCACTCTATAGTTGCAAATAATGCTCAGAACAGCACCTAACTTCATCAACAATGCATATAGGGTCCCAGCCAAAGTACTAGCCACCAAATATCTTTTTAACTTTGCTTAATTTCTTCAGCAAAGAGACTAAACACAACTCACCCACTCTCCTCCAGCAGCCGCTTGTTTGTAGAGACCTCGGGCCAGTCCATTACGGACTGCCGCAGGGTGACACAGCCCAAGGAAGAACATTTATGATCCTTTCTTTATCATTTCCTTGAAGTAATTATCATCATATTAATCAATTTGCACTGCCGCTTTGGTAGTTCTTCTGCCTTAGCGTCTCGGTCTGATTGCATTTACATGAAGAAATGATCATAAATGTTCTTTCTTGAGCTGCATCACCCCACTGTAATCCATGATCGACTGGCCCGAGGTCTCGCTACAAATAAACGGCTGCTGGAAGAGAGTTGGTGAGTTGTTTTTAGTCTCCTCGCCATAGAAATTAGGCAAAGTTAAAAAGATGTTTGGTGGCTAGTGCTGTGGCTGGAACCCTATATGTACTGTTGATGAAGTTAGGTGCTGTTCTGAGCATTATTTGTGGCTGTAGAGTGGCTTTTTGGTTGAGTGTGTGGCTCTTTGTATTGCTATCTGCAGCTGTACTAAAGTTGGTATAACTAGAGAAGTAAGCGGTCGGGAACGTTCATCTCTCAAGGGGGTGTCTAACTCGGTGTTATGGTGTGTTTGACCCTAACTTAATTTTATGCCAAAATATCCCTTCAACATTGATTATTGAGGTCGTAAAGGTCGTGGTGGTGCACTGTAGTTTGACATATTGAAGGTGTGTCTTATATTTTGTTTACTTCATTAACAAACGTGAGAGGGGCAAAATACAAGGAACAGATTTTCATGTAGAGATTCTCCTGGTCATGAAGCAGATACCAAACAAAACCTAAAATAAAAATTTACATTTTGGGGTAAACATAAGGGTCAAAATAACTATACGTATTGGAATATACTGTAAGAAAGTTGAACGAAGGGGGGGTGGCCTGAAAAATAAAATCACTTAGGACAACACAGTGAGCGTACAGGTAGCAGAGAGTGCTCTCACTGCTCTTGGATTAGTTTATGAATCAATCGAAATATAATCAAAACCTTAACATCAAAAGTCAGCAATTTATTATTGTGACTTTTCACAAAATATCTACACAATTTTAACCGTCACGGTGTCTATTCATTTTCTTCTTCAGGCTTCTGAAAACTGCACTAACTGAGGATGCCGCCTGTTTTATTTTGTGGGATCTTACATGGGAAAATCCCAGATCTGTACTTGTCATGGATTATCCAGCTTATCAGACATATCTGTGCATTTGCTCAGGGTTCACTGAGCCTTTTTGCAGACTAACTTCTCCCGTTCTGTGCTTTGACTTGTTTGTCTGAGTCTTTGTGTTGAGGCTCAGTCCTCTTCCTCAGTACAACTCCTTTTTGGACACTGGGACATGTTCAGCCATTCTGTCAAAGATTAGCCTTGCTTCGTGTGAGTTCAGAATGGCCAAGCGTGGACATAACTCCTCAAATGAACAGCCAACTTCTGTTTGCCTATTCTCATCTTACAGAGCAGTTTTCATGAGGACTTTTTTAAGTGCTATTTTGTAAAATCCATTATTTATTGTTGTTGTGTGTATTTCTTTTTTTCAAATACAATGCTTTTGTCAAACAACCCCCAAAGCTGTTCCATTTTCTATGTAACCATCAATGATGGACTAAAGCCTAAATAAAAATGTTGCAGTGGATGGCCACTAGGTGGTGTTGTGTCATTGTTATTTTTATCTGAGTCAAAGGTATTCAAAGGATGTTGGGGTCCGTTTGAGCAAGCTTCCTACCTTAAGAGCTTACCTAATGTGTAAAATCAATTAAATATTATGAAGCTATTATTTACCTTTTCCTTGGCATTGCTGAGTCTTTCTGGCTCATTTAAGAGCACAGCAAAGATCATTTCTAATTGATATTGAAAGTATAATATAGGCTTTCACCAAGGACTGGGAATTTGATGAAGGATTTCACTCCGGAAATGATCTTTCCTGTTGTAGTAGGTGAAAGGAACATTAAATTGTTAAGCCAAATTCACAGTACTGATCAAATCCAAGTGTTTAGAGGAAGAAAACACATTAACACGGGTCATTTTCTATAGCCACAGGATGTTCTGTTGAGCCAACACGTTGCTCTTGTTTTTGTCCCACAAAAAAATATTCGAGATTTATTGCAAACTTGACAAAAAAACATGTCTTTGATCAAGAAGAAATGAAGCTCCTACATCATATCTAACCACAAGAAGCAGCACTGTGTTGTTTCTCCACTGTCTGTAAAATAACTCTATTCATCTTCAGGACGAGTGGAAAATGCTGAGAGCACAGAACATACCCCCACGAGCCAATATAAAAGCAGGAGACGACCCCAGGATCTGTGAGGGCTTGATCAGAACCTTTTATGGTATGTGTGTGTGTGTGTGTGTGTGTGTGTGTGAGTTTAGGGGTTCCTGCAGTGCTGTAGATGTCTACAAATGAGTAGCCCCTAAGCCATCTGACAGTTACACCTCACACCACAGAGAGAAAGGGAGCAAGTGAGCAGGAGAGAGTGTGTGTAAGCACTTCTGTCTTCTTGCTTTGTCTCGCCATCTTGAGTGACAGGCTGTGAGTCTAAATCTCTGTTCTGCTGCTTTGATCTCTTTACACAGTATTTCTCTGTTCCCTACAATACCAGCACCATGTTAGCACAGAGGCATACAGATACACTACACTGGCTTTCCTTGATAGCCAGTAAGTCAACCCCCCCCTAAACCTGTATGGGGGGCAAACTACATGGGCAATGATGACAGATGAAGACCCACATTGGGCGTCTCATTCTTTTACTAAGAAGCAGAGTTTTGCATGGCTTGATTGGCTACTGTGGGCGTGGGATTCAGGATGCATTGCTCTCTTGTTTGATGTGTTTTGAAGGGTAGTCCTGATCCGAGCCAGCCACTTTGATCTCTGTAAGACAAAATATTCACAAATCCCATAGTCCTCACTGAGAGATTAGCGTCCATATATGCATAAACATCTAAGAGGTGTTCAACTAGGGCACTGGTCAGGTCACATGACTATATAAACCTAATGCAGGCCCTCGCATCAGAACTTCTAAAGGTGTTTATGTTTGTACGTCTGATAATTATCCAGGGCGAGGAGTTTTTTTCTTTTTTTTGTAATAAATGAGGGCAGTCTCAATTAAATTGGATAGATGCATGTGTGGCAATTACAGTTCAGGTGTGTGCAGTGGATACAACAAAAATAATTAGAGTGGACGAGCAAGATGGTCTGTTGATGTTTGTATTAAATTATTGTCTTAAGAAAACAACCAGAGCCCTATGTGAAGTGGAGTTTATTCAAAAGTCAAAGATCTCATTGTGCTCTGTGATGTTTAGTTACTAATTACCATTAGCCATAAACAGACAGGTCTAATGGACTCCCAGTAGAGGCAAGGCTTTGTTATGTCCATTTCAAGCTTTATCCTCATTACAGTGTGCGATGATTTCACAGCCAGAACTTTGAGTTTATTTCTGACTGGGAAAAAAAAAGTTTTGTTATGATAAAGGAAGTATTGTGTGTATTTTTAGTTTGTGACAGGAGATCAGTCATTTATCAGGAAGGTTATTTTCTTATGTGACATAGATTTTCTAAGCACAATAGTGTTTCAGGGGAATAATTCAACATGGACTATGCACATATCCTTTACAGATGTGCTGCAGTGGAATCTACAGTGTATTGCTGCTAAAACAAAGTAATGAATGAATCAACAATCACACCAGAACATTGTGTAATTTTATTCATAATACTTGTAATGTCCTACCTAGGTCCAGTCCTAGCAGAGGGAAGTATAACCCAAAAAACATGATCCAATGCAAGCCACAGGAAACACTAAAGAGATGCAAAACTATAGGATGTTCATAGGGCACACAATATAAAGCTAACAAAACATAGCGGAAAATTCCTCTCTGTGAGGTCAAAAGACAGCAGTCTTAAATTTTTGAGTATACTCAACTCAAAATGGAAAAAAGTATGGATAGTATGCGAAAATTGAGTAGGCAAAAGTATCCGGATGACGTACTCAAATCGGTCAAGATTTTGAGTATCCGACTGTGGACACTTGCCCGCACTCATTATCAGTAAGAATGGGTGCAGACGGCTGTGGTGCCAGTGGGTCGGCGACGGTCGACCTGGGAGCTTTGAACAGATGTAAGTAATAAGTTGCCTTTTACACATTGTGAAATTTCATTTATAATACCTGTTATGTCCCACCCAAGTCTAGTCCTAGCCACAGGAAACACCTAAAGAGATACAAAACTATTGGATGTCCCTCTATTAAGAAATCCAGATCAGATGAGCCTAGTCCTGCAATCAGAGGGCTCACCTGCCAGATTGAAGACAGCATTACATTAGAGCAAAACATAGAGTCATATCATACTTTGTGTAAAAGACAAAGGAGAATTTGTAGGCAATGCTTTAATTCTTTCACTTAAAGTAAATTTTTTCTACATGAACTTAGGCCCAAAAGATTATGGCACTTTAAATGTTCTTCTGGAACAAAAGAAAGGACCAGAGATATGAGCCAGATGTCCTTTTTACACATATCTGATTAATAAAAAAAAATTGTTGCTCAAGCAAAATAAGGAACCAGTAAACTGACTTGATAATGCCAGTGTAAAAAATGTGCATACACTGCCCTCTCATTGGATTATCTATTTATTTATTTACTCAAGGAGGGTTTCATTTGTTGTTTGGATTCACCCAATATCACAAGGCTTTTTGCTCTGTTACATATTTTGCTTGTCACATTGAGCAAATTTTACCTTTAAATACCCCAGCTGAGTTTGCAGTTTTACACTTATTCCATATACCAAAAGCATTTGTAAATTTATTGTGTAAACTTTTCTCTTTAGCCAAAGATCTTTCCAGATAATCATTATAATCTAAGCTTCTGTGAGGAACCTTCAGTTTGTGACAGCTCCTGAGGACAAGAACATCTGTACTGCTTTTGCCCTGTAGACTTAAATGTTGTGTTACTTGACTTAAAAATTCTAACTCTGCTCTTTTTCAACAGTTGAATGAAACACTAATCAACAAACTTATCTATGAAACATGTGAAAAAGACATGCAGTTACTCACTTGGTCTTACGCCCACCTTTAGCCAGTGATTTTAAAAATTAAAGAGAACTATACGGTTTCTGTACTGTTTGACGCACCCATTTTGTTTCTTTTAGGTCAAAATAAAACATGATTATTGTTTCAGTCTGTGATAAAAACTCCTCACAGAAGCAGTAGGAAGAAGAAAGGGTTAAGATAGGGTTATTTTCACCTTCAATGGTAACAGTACTGTTTAATGTAGATCCTTACACCTCAAAGATTGAGTTATTAATATTTCTGTAGCAGATTAAGCCTCTCTGACACTCATCCTCCACTAATATGCAGCTTCACTGCCTGTATTTGTCCTGAGAAGAGTTGCGTGACCTTGTTGGATCTCACTCCGTTACACCACCCTTGATTAAATACAGGCCTCACACTTTTACACTGTCAGATTATACTATTTAGATCCCAATTAAATTCACAGCTAGGAAATTGGATCATAAACTCTTTAAAGGATCGTTAACAATCATTAGACGGGATAATGGCATGGCAATCAAAATATGCTAGAAAAAAAGAAACTTCCAAAGTCTTTTAGTGACTTTGTTGTTTTTGGACATTTTCCAAGCTGATTAATGTAGAAGTGATTGATTTACAGTTGTAATTAGCTGTCTTCTGCATAGATGCATAATAATTGTATATCTCCTTGCTTGTTTTTAAAGTATTAATTGGTTTCATTAACAAAATCAGTTAATTGAATAACAATTAACAAAGTTGGTGATGGCATCAACACGGTGCGTGCGAACTCCCTTGTGTTTTCCCTTTGATGATAATGAAACCACCTTTTTATCAGATTGGAATTTTGTGTGTTGGACTATGTAATGACTAATATGATGTTGGGCTTATTAGTTTATTCAAGTGGCTTACTGAGGCGTTAAGCTGGTACTGCACACATTGTGTTTAACAGGTAGGCACCATATGTTGCCTTAATCAGACATTGGAATCACATTTGGTTGTTAAATTGTCTTCTAATAAAAGCAGGTAGTAAAACAACTTGAGCTAATTCAATTCCAGGCCAGTTTGGGTGAAGGGAACAGCTGTTCGTGTTTGTTGAATTGTTTTAACATTCCCTCTGTTGTTTTCTCTCCCTTTTTTAAAGGTTTCACTCCAACAGCCTGTTTGTTCGACAACTTTTCTTGTAGAAAATAGAGATGGAGGGTGGACGAGCTGTCCACTTTGCTTAAAAGAAGACAATACCAAGCATATTGTAGTGACAGCTTGCATTGTGCATGTGTGTGTGTGTTTGTGTGCATAAGAGAGGGAGAGGGAAAGGAAGGAGGCAAGACAGAGAAAGCATGAGTGTGTGTATGTTAGAAAAACAGAAAAATAGAGACAGTGTGTGAGTTTGTGAGTGTGTGAGCATGTGTGTTACAGTGACAGCTTGTATTCTGCGTGATTAATGATGTGCTGTGTGACTTGATAAGTGCTTCGGAGGACCAACGCTTGTTTCAATTAGACCTTGTGAAGGTCGCGACGCCGCGCCGGCCTCTCATTATCATATCCATAATCAATCCACATTATCATAGGAGAATGTGCAATGGATGTGTGATATCTTGGTCATACACACACACACACACATAGACTCCTAATCACATACCAAAACACAATGACGTACTCTCTCACTCACAAGTGCACACATACACACGCACACACACACTCACACACCCTTCACTCCGAGTTGATTTGAATCATAACAGTGGCTGTCGGAACGGATTGTCTGTTCAGATTAAGTGTGTGTTTCAGAGGAATTAAGCATCGCTGATGGTGGTGGCATTTCAGATCCCCTCCGCAGACACAAATGCCAAAACATCATCCTGTCACCCCCTCTCTTTCTCTGTCACACAATCCCATATACCAACAAACACTCACACACACACACTTAACCAGGACCCTGGGGCATTTTTAATAGAGGCGAAGTGATTCGTATGTTTTTACTCCTCTAATGAGAACAGATTGAGTGGTATTTACACTTCATCGGCTGATCCAACCACCTACACATTCGCCTCATGCTTGGGCTGCTCACTGGCCAAAACAGACATGTGGAAAGGAGCAGAGCTTGGCTTTCAAACAGTGACACAACATGAACATTTTATTTGTCTCTTTGGCTTCAAACATAACAACAACAAAAAATATTAACTGTTAAAACAGCCTATTTGAGGATATTGGTGTCTTTGTCTTTGGAGAAGGTAACTTAAACCTGATATTTATATCTAAGTTTTTCTCAAAAAACATTCAAACAGCAAAATAAGCAGTGTAACAACAAGAGAAAGAAAAGGTTGAGATAAAAAGTTTGCACCGAGCTGCAGCAATTACAGGAATAAAGTAGGTATAAAAATTTAATTAACCGAAAGAGGAGAGTAATATTCAGTGAAGAGGGAATCTTCCCAGGCGGTCAAGATAGATTGGCTGGCAAAGTGTGAGGATGAAAAACTTAAAGTGCTTAAAAGAACATACATAGAATTGCACTTCTAATATAATATCAGTTTTACAAAGGATGAATAAAAAAGGACACGGGGAGTAAAGGTATCTTCTTTATCATAGGCAGTCTTCTTTCTTTTCCGAACAAAATTAAAACCTGTTCCTTGACAGTTGAACCAAAGAAAGCAAGTTCTCAAAGTGTTAAAAGAAGGTGACATTTTTTTGTATGCAAATATGAAACAGAAGTTTGTTTGCTGGTTTTACGGTCTGTTAGTGGGGTCACACATACACAACTTTGCCATTAGTTGAGAGAGTGACATTGCCAACAAAAATTCACAAGAGTTTGGTAAAAGTTCAGACCAAGTGAGAGGACACAATGTTGTATTAACTTTTCCTTTGCACAAAATGGAAGTGACAGTTATTTGCCACTGTTGTATTTCCCACCTGTGTGACCATGCTAACACCATCTGTCAGTATCTGCTCAAGTTGCTAGCCCTGAGTGGAAATGAAAGCTAGACTGAATATTCATTACAACAACTTCCAGTTCAATGATTCCATGTCAAAATGAGCATTATCAAATATCCACAATAGGCTTCTTCCCATAGGAGGACAGCCAGTTTTGCCACTGATATTTTGGCCTTTCAATTTTTTTGGTTCCAACAACATCATTCTTTCTTTTCAGAGGGGACATCTGCAATTTAATTCTTCCAATGATGAACTCCAACTCTAAATAGTGTGTAACTTTTATTTTGACAAGAAAATTTCTCCAGAGTGCTTGAAATGAAGCATGTTGAGACAAAACCTCTGTCTTCTAGTACTCTTTTAGACTTTGATGTGCAAAATCGGTGAAGTCCCCCCCCTCTGAACACAAAACGTTTGACTTTGTTTCTTTCTTCTGCTCTGAATGGTACACCGTGTTTTTATACTTCAGTAACTGGAGGGATTTTGCATTAAGTATCGGGTCATTGTTTCATTTCATGGGAGTTTAAGCACAATAGCTGCTGTAGGAATTAAACCTGTGACCTTCCTGTTGTGAGACAAAGTCACTTCCCACCAGGGCATCCTGCAACCCACTGCTAACAGGCTTCTCTTGAAACTGTGCTGCTTACCAGACCATGCACGGATGAAAAATTGAAAAAAAAAATCGTGGATCTAAAGTCATAAAATAATTTCGTTACCTGGATCATTACTGTTTGGGTTATTTGTGGCAGCTTTTGGTGGATAACTGGGCTCAAAAAATGTGGGTAAATCTCATATCAAACAGTGTAGAAAACCCACAATGGTTGCAAAGCAAAAGCCTGGAGGTTTAAAACGGAACATTTCAACATGTACTGAACCCTCTGATGTGAAATTTAACTATAAAACTCAGTTCTGTTTAACACTGATGGCTTCATCGGTGTGTTTTTCTACAGATGGAGAAAGAGTGTCGTGACATTTCTTTTTGGCAGGGAAAAGGCCATACTCAGCAGGAGTTATCAAAGGCAAAAAGTAAAAAGTTCGAGTTAGCTATCTCTCTCTCTCTTGCTCCCTCTCTCTCTCTTCCCCTGGAGATACTCATGTTAAGCATAATTAAGCAGATTTGATTAGCATCAAGCCTGGCTTCCTCTCTTGACTTTTAATGAATGTAAATCTACCATCTACATCCTAAAGATTAATTTCTGCCAATTAAAAAACACAAGAGGGCTTATTGGGGAGAGGGGGGGGCTGTGAGGAAAAGAGTGTTAAAGTCCTTTGAGTTGGAGTACAGTCGGAGTTTTATCCTCTTCCCCCTTGTCTTATGGTGAGATGGTCTCTGGAGATCTGTGTCTCTCTCTCCCTCACGACCAAGATCATTATCAGCACAATGTTCCGTGAAAGCCACTTTGAAAGGACTGCAAGCTCCATATGTAAATGATGGTAGTGTGTGTATGTGTGTGTGTGTGTGTATGTGTGTGTGTGAATTGGATGAGGAAGCAGTACAGCGAACAGGTAAAAGGGTCGATTTGTCAAACCAAGGTTATTGCCCCCCCTTTACAGTATGAGCTTTGGTTTAATTCCACTATCTTACTGGTTTAGGATCCTTTTTGTTCCAAATCAGATTCAGATTTTTGTCAGTTTTGAGACCATGATGGTGTGTTGTACAAATGGCATCAAAGAAAGATAAACAAATGTCACCTGATGGGTGTTAAGAACATCAAAATATGCTTCTAGGGGACACATTTTGGAGGGCTTAAATCAAATTTCGACGGACAGAAACTTCGGAAGGTACTTTTTCCTGATTTCATTGACTGTCTTCAAGCTCTCATATTAAGTTATCCCATATTTAATTCTTGTTAAAATATAAACATTGATTTAAATTTGCTTTTGGTGACTTTTGAGTTGAACATTCACCTCTTTTTAAACCAATATAGTTTGATATTGCACCCAGAAAAAATACTTTATTTGAATCCTCTTTTGATCGTGTTTTAATAAATTTCTACACAATTTACATTTAACCAACTGTCTATATCAACAGATGTGTAGATGTGAAGGATATACGCTCCAGCAATCATATCATAAATGTTTGAAATGATGGCACAATTACACAAGAGTTAGTTGTGGGCAGATTACAGACAGATTGAGTGCCACAGAAACACTAAGCTCCATCACAAGCATTAATATGAAAGTGTCTTCTGGTTAGGCGTTCATAAATAGGCTTATCCAAAGTTTATGTGGGCTAATCTTTGCTCTCTCTCTCTCTCTCCCTGACTGTGTGAACATGTCTCTCACTCTCTAAGAATAAACCATGGCTCCTCCTCTTTATGATAATGTGACAGTAGCATCTCCAGCTCGGAGACAAACCTCCTCTCATTCTGACTCAACTATGTGATCTGTTTTTCTACACACAGACCCTGTTTTCTATCCTCTCCTCATTTATCCCCCCTCTCCTCTTCAGTACACTCAATGCGTAGTACCCTTCCGCAAAACCAACGGCGTTTGTTCGGCGAAGTTACTTTCAGAAACAGTTTGCTCTAAAGTTAACTTTTTTTCGGTCTAATTCCGGGACATGACTACCATGGCAACTCCGGCAGCTCCTGCTCTGCTCTCCGCCGCTCCACTCGGTCACCACCCGGCTCCCAGCTCCGTCTCCCCGGCCACCAACTCTCCGCCACCTGCAGCCACCTCCGCTGCTTCCTCCCCGGCTCCTCCGGTAGCTCACCCCGCGCTGCTTCAGCAGTTCCGGGCGGACCTTCTGCTCTCAAACGGGACTCAGTTGAAGCCCGGAGGAGCTCCGCTGACCAGCAACACTAAGCCCGTGTACGCCACCCCGTCGCCCGTGGAGAGTACGCCGCAGAACAATGAGTGCAAACTGGTGGAGGTGAAAGGTGCCAAGCTGGCCTCGTTCACGGTGAAAGACACGGAGCTCATCTGTCTGCCACAGGCTTTTGATGTTTTTCTCAAGCACCTGGTCGGCGGGCTCCACACCGTCTACACCAAGCTGAAGCGGCTGGACATTTCGCCGGTGGTGTGCAACGTGGAGCAAGTCCGGGTGCTGCGGGGGCTCGGAGCCATCCAGCCCGGGGTGAACCGGTGCAAACTCATCTCCAGGCAGGACTTCGAGACGCTCTACAACGACTGTACGAACGCAAGGTGAGCGGGGCATGGATGATAAGGTGATAGAAACTCTGTGACCCGTTGGTAGAGCTTTTGATACGGGGTTACCTTTCTGAGTTTCAGGGGGGCGGGTGCAGCAGGTGGGGTTATATCAACCCAGGTAAGAGTTCTGATTTTCGACTATGATGTTGTACATCACTGTAAAAGAATAACAGTCTAAATTGTTATGCCACCAAATTTATGATTCATTATTTGCTGATTTGGGAGCAAGCTTTTTAATCAATATCTGTGGGCTATGAAATTACAAGCTTAACATCTCAGAGGAAGCGTTAATACTAAGTGTTGGTAAGGTGGGTAACATAGATGGACACATTAGAAAAAGACATTAATGAATGAAAAACTGAAATTGATAAGAAATAGATAAAGTTAAAAAAATATCCCACTCTTGATTTGCTTTTAGCCATTGTTTGAGGTCTTAAGTGTTGTGCTAAAGGCTGTGCAGGTGCAAAATTATTCCAGGTCTTGTCACTAGCCAGAACATGAGTGACATTCTTTCAAATGAAAGCTCGAAAGTGCTCAAGAATATAAGTTAAAACAGCTGAAATTAAAAAATGTTCTTGAAAAAATAGAAGATTTTGCTCCTGTTTGAGTCCATCTCTCATTTGATGTTGACTGCCTGAGTGTCCAGTTAACCCCTCTTTTATTTGGCACATTCATACAGCAAGGCCTGTCTGTCACCAATTAGCATTTTAATGGTTGATAAACCGTGATGGTGATGATGGCGATAATGAATTTTAGTAATCTCAATAAAGACAAAACTCTTAAAAGTTTGTCATGTTATCATAGACTGTAATCTCCCCCCTCCTTTGCTGACACGAACACACACACACATACACACTCACTCAGTTTCACTCCTACACACGCACATGCACACATTGAATCTGACACTGTCATTCTGAGAAATTGATTCTTCACAGAAATTAATTAATTTTCATTTGGCCCCAAGCGGCAGCTTAAATCAGGACAAGCTCACTCACTCACTCACTGATCCCTTTGCTCTCTCTCTCTCTCCTTCCTTAATAACTTGCTGTCTTATCATATCAACACTCTTTAGCCCTGAGCATCAGAACAGAGGAGATGATTAAATGAATTCTCGGTATTTATGATGCGATTATGTAAATTAGCTGTTTTGCAGAACTCCGATGGTGACCAACTACATGGGTCATCAATCCAGTGCACCGCAGAGATGTTTGGATAAAGGGGCTAAATTGGCGAGGATTTGTGGTTTCCTGGAGCCTCAGTCTGCTGGCGTGCACGCCACATGCTCACAACAGCATGGGTTTGAGTCCAGAGGAGTTTGGATTAGCCTTAGTTTGGGGATTTTTTTTTTAATTGTTTGATGGTTAATCCTCGCTCCTTGGAGTAATAATGATCCAATTTACACCTGCCATTGAGAACAGATAGTTGATGCTCTAAGATGTGCACAGATTGCAAAGTACAAACTACTTTTATATGCTTCCTGGCTCTATTCTCATTTCTTAACTCTGTTTGATTTTAAATCCAGGTGTTAACATTTGAGTCAAGCTGTGACTTGTTGAGTTCGACTAAAAACACACTGAAAAGAAACAAACTATTGTGAGCCTCCAGCTCTGTGTGCGTGGATTAACACCTGCGCTTAAGCGTTCGAGGCCCTCCAGCAGAGGCAAAATCCAGATGCATCTTCTGGCAGCTTTGGGATTTCTTCTGTGTCAGGTGTTAATGGGAATGTTGTTCTACAAATACACAGCCTCCACCGTCTCTAATTATCAGCATAACACTCAAACAGCCTTTAGTTAATGAGATCTGAAAACATCACTCGTCTGAAATCTTCAAACGACTTCCGTGATTCTTTGTCTGAAGGCTTCAAATCTGCTGTGGTTGCCATAAGTATCAACCCCCTACACACAGAGACACACACACACACAGACACACATTAGAAGTTCCTCAGTAATCCCTAGTGTGGATGGGGGGAAACAAACAGTAGCAGGTAAAGAAGCAGAGCTCAACGTGGTTTTCGTTAAGGCAGGAAATCTGGCTGAGCAGAGTAAAGTTCCCAAGAACATCTGCAAGAATATGATGTTACAGCGCTGTGACAGTGTCAGTTCTCAGTGAGGGGTTTTGTTACTGATTAAGACAGCCATCACTTATTATTTTCCAGTCCAGCACAGTCGGACAGGCTGGAGGAGAAATAACAGGCCTGTCTGGTAGACTAACATGACTAATGTAATGCTTTACATGGACTCTTATAACTGTTTGCTCATCCATTTGTTCCTTTTGAAGATTAAAGCAATGGTTAGGAAAATGTCCTCTGTTTATCATTGTCTTTCCTCCTCTTCTTTGTCTCACTCTTTAGTTCCTGTTGTGAACACACACACATACACATGCACACACACACACACACACGCCCTGACCACTGACTCATCAAACCATGAAGAAGGGCCGACTTCATCCTCTGTCAAAGCCTAGTTATAATTCATGCATAGGTGGCACACAAACACACCCTCCCTCCGTCACCTCCTCACACACACTCACACAAACTCCCATGGTCACGCCTGTGTGTTTGCTGGCTTTGCTGCTAAATGACATTAGTTCCACAGAGAGAACATGGTGTGTAGGAGGCAACCTGATCCCCCGTCCCTTTCTTTCTCCCTCACAAAGAAACAGTTTCATTCTCGGTTAGAAACACACATCAAACGGCTCGCTCAGGTCACACCATGTGTGTGCGCACGGATGTGCATACATTGTAGACAAACATTGTAGGAAGTACAACAATGCCAAACTTCACGTTACTCAAACGAAATGTAATGTTGCTTGTTACAAAATCTCGTGTTACTTTTTAACAAAGTGCAAGTTGTTAAGAAAACAGAAGGTTTCTGCGTTTGTGCATCTGAACATCTTTGAGATTCACTGGCCTGAAAAGTAGCAGGAAATATCCATCTTATCAGCAGTTTTGTTTCCAAGGGTTGATTTTTCTATAGTGCTATAGAAATTACCTTCATAGCCTCTCTAGATCAAGTTTCATTAAAACGTGATCAAGTTTCAACAAAATCACAATACAAAGGATAGGATATCATGTACGTTACTATACGATATGATACAATCCCATACTTGTGTCAAGTCTTATCCTAGATCCTAGTTCTTTATTAGACTACTTTTGAACAAATTGTCCCCCCAAAATAGTAATTTTTGTTTAACATTGCAGTGACACCATGTCTGGAAATAAGTGTTGCAAATGCCTCATTATTTAACTCAATTCACTTTAATTGTAATGGGATTGAAACACAGCCTCGTCTGGTTCAACTTGTCATGGCTTGATGCTTACAAGAGTAAAAGTAAAGGGTGATTGTTTTTTGTGATTAAATTTTGATGGAGAAAAAAAACGACAGAAACTGCAGCTTCATTTCAGACCCAAGTTCAGCCGCTATTCTTTGCAGCTCTTCACAAAAGCAAAATCAAATATGAAGTAAGTTAGATTAAAGGATGAATGATAAACGAGACAGCGCAGCCTGCAGAGTGCAACAAAAGCCCGCTCTTTGTGTTTCTCTGTGGTGCACCTCTGCTGCGCAAGTTGGCAGTGTTCAGATAGTGTGTGTGTGTGTAAGTGTGTGTGTGTGTGGGAAGGTGGACTCCTCAAAGCAGAGCCCCACTGTCATGCCATAACTCACTGTCAAAGTCAGCAGCACTAGGATGAAGAGAGGGAGGAGGGCTGTTTGTGTGTGTGTGTGTAGGTGTGTGTGTTTGTGAGCGTGTATGTGTGTGTTTGGGTGGGGTGATTAGTTCAACTTTAACCTCTGCACTCTTTTGATGTTTTATAGAGAAGAAGAGCTCGATGAGATAGAGAGGGACTCCATGTCTTCCACCTTGACAGGTTTTAAGGGAGAACACACTTTTGCACACGTACACACACACGCACACACACATACACACACACAGTCTTCTTGACATCCTCTTGACCCTGGAATGTGGGAGAGGAATGCACGGCGGTATCAGTTTAGGAGATCAGATTCTTGCCATGATCAAACGTCCCGTGTGTGTCTGAAGACGTGTGTCTGTGTTGTCCTGCCTGCTTCTTTCATGACATCATCACACAGGCCTCTCTAATAACAATGGTGCATAAAGCTTTTTTTTTCAGAGAGGAAGATCACAACATCAATCTTTTCCCTTCCTCCTCTAACCAGCAGCATAAGTCTTCCTGCGTACGGCGATATGATTTATCAAACCGGACCGTGACGGCGAATACAACCCCGCGTGATAAACACAGATTGAAAGGATGGGAGCATGGGAGCTGTAAACCGCCTCTAATATATTCCAAACAAAATCTTGTTTGTGCTAGTTTTCCCCCCGTCTCTGACACACACTCACATAAACACACACTCTCACACACACAGCTGCTACCTATCAGCACCTCAGTCCCTTCAAGCCAGTAGCTGTTCCACTGTTTTGACTGTAACACTTCCTCCTCTTTCATTACTTTTCTCTTTCCTCTCTGTGTGTGTTTGCATGTGTGTGTGTTGGAGAGAGGGAAATCTGTCATCTTTGTTATGTTTTGTTTCTGTTCCACCTGCGCTAAGCTCCAGCTGCCATGTTTGGCGTTTCATGTTTCAGGTAACACACACGCCAAAGCTTGGAGGGCAGGACTTGATGTACAGAGTACCCTTTAAAAAAGTGTGTGTTTTCACGTGTGTGTGTGTGTGTGTGTGTGGCCAGAGTGTTGGCATGAGGGAGGACGTCTGGGTGAGATTTTAATTAAAGTTTGAGACAAAGAGGTCATAAGCCATACACCCCCTCCTCTTCACACACACACACACCTTGTACACACACTTACACACACACACACAATGCGCTGTTTTCTCTCTTCCCCCTCCTCTCTCTCATTCCATCCCCTCAGCTTGATGACTTTTCCATGAAAGGCTTTTTCATTAATCCTACCTCAGGGAACCGGTGCTCTCCAACCTCACACACACACACACACACACACACACACACACACACACACACACACACACAGAACACACACTTGCATGCGCAACACACACATAGACCTCCCTCCATGGGTCACTTTGATGTATCAACGCACTTGCAGACTAAACACAAAATTAGGTTCCACTTCTTTATGCCTCTTAAAATGCAACATATACAAACACACCCACCCACCACAACACACACACACACACAAACACACACACACACAGGCCATTAATTAGTGAGTTCAAATAAACAGTAGTAAGGGAAAGGGAAGTGGCTGCAGTAAAAAACAACCACAGTCTTTGGTCTTTTTATTTTTTAACCCCCCCTCCCCTCCACCCGACACGCACTTTTGTTCACTTCTGTATTTGTGTGTGTGTGTGCATTTCCGTTTGTGTGTTGATTTGAGGTGTTTCGACATTGTCCGTGTTGCTTTACCTTCAAACCTGCGTCCTAAAAATACGTTTCCTGCTTTTGTCAAGCACAGTATGCAGTTCTATATGCACTACAAAAAAACGATATTGTGTGTGATGTGAATGCACCCCCCACCCTCTAGAAAGAACAACACACACTCCCGTGCATGCACACCCGCACCCAGCTTACACCCAGATACTCCCAACTTCATCCCTCTTGCACATTCCTGCCGTCTGTCTATCTGTGCGTCATGTTGTGTGTGTGAATACCAGTATGTCTACCTGAGTGTGTGTCTCTCTCACGGGCTATCAATGTGCCAGCGTGTATGTGCATGTGTGTGTGCGTGCGTGTGTGTGTGTGATATCTGATGTCAGCTGTCACATCCCAGTCGGTCTGGGCCCATAATAAGAGACAATAATAACAACTCATTAAAACCGAGGGCAGGAACTGTGGAGCTCATCGGCTCATCAAATTAACCTTTGAACACTTCATATACACACACACACACACACTCCACACTCACACTCACACTCACGCACACACACTAGGTACCTGTTTTTCTCCCACAGTTAGTGACTACACAATCTTTCTCTCTGTCTTTTTGTCTCCCTCCATCTTCCCCCCCTTTCTCAGCCAGTGGGTGTGTCAACAGGGGATTGGTCCTTTCTGCTGGGTAATTGATGAATTATATGCAATATGCAAATGAGGCGCCATTAATCTCCTGACTGACAGCTTCGTTTATGGGGCCTTAATGACGGCTGGATTAGATTCTAATTAAAATCTGCTCAAAGACACCCCACGCTAGGAAACTGCAGCTAGTCTATCTCTCCCTGCTCTCTTTTTTTTGTTTTTTTACTCTTTCTCAACATCTCCTCACCTTCCTCTTCATCTCTCTTTCCGTCTTTATTACTTAACTCTCATCCTCCTCTTTCCCATCCGCTATGTCTCTTGATGTCACGCACGTTTCACGCAAACATATGCACGGGCACATGTGCGCACCACCCCACAGACTCATGTTATCCAATGTCAGCCTGGTTTGAAAAGGAGATGAGCCGCGCTGGTTGTCATTAAGCCTGATGTGGCCCGTGTCATTTCCCCTGTCAGGACATTCACACCGTTTAGTCAGAGCCAAAGTGATGTCTGACAGCTTTTCACATACTTCCTGCAGGATTGATTGAGCATGCCCGGCTCCATCAAACCATGTGAATCTGCTCGTAGTCACAGCTTTTACTGAGGGAATCTGTGACACGGCGGGAAAAAGTGGAATGAATGACCAAATAGGGAAAGGATGGGAGAGGAAGGAAGGGAAGGAGGCGAGCAAACACATTTAATAAGCAGACAAATGAATGAGTAAGCTGAACAGTAATGAGGTGCTTTATTGATGCCATAGGGAAACTTGTTTTTTGCTTGCTCGTATCCACGGGGAGGTCAGATTTGCAGCACGGCAGCCTTCCTGGAAGCGCTCAGGTTTCAGTGTTTTCAGCTTGTTGACGCTTCAGCAGGATCAGAGGTTTACAGACTGAAGGACACAGTTCCTCAAATCAGGCCACCCATCTCAGTCTCAGCATGAAAAACAGCTACAGAGGGAGTGAGGTATTAAACTGTCTAATGGCTAATGTTAACTTGTGCTTTCTGCCCTGCAGTTCGAGGCCCGGACGACCGCCCAAGAGGCTGCAGAGCGTGACGGAGGGTGGGACTCACCACATGTTGTCCCACAGTGGTCTGATGCATGCTGGGATCATGCCTCCTGCAGGTGACCACCCAGGCCTAACCATGCACATACAGCACAAACTATGTATTCATGAATCAAAACAGATTAAAAATAATATCACATGAGTGCACAGAGGACCCAAACAGCCATCAATCCAGGAAGAATTTTTGACATCATGTAAAATAATAACGGTGCTTTAAGTGGTCAGAGGACAAACAAAGTGTGAAATCAGTTATCAGTTATTATTATTTCCGAAAATGGACAAGGAATACACATTCATTTTTATTTGAATATTTTTTTTACAATCTTATTTATGTTATCATCTATTTTAAACCCATTTTTTATTATTCCTCTCTACAGGCATTGTTTGACAGACAGGATGAAAAGACTATTATTCACATTGTCATCGTCAAATCACAGCAGGGGTTTTTAAAGTCCTTTTCAACATTTTTGCTCAACATCGACAACGAATAAAGAGCTGCTTGTTTCAGGTACCTGTGCTCAGCTCTCAATTTGAACTTAAAAAAGCGTCTCAGGCAAAGATCGAAACAAAAGTTACCAGTTTTTCATATCAATTACAATTTTGTTTCGTAAACTGAAGTCCCAGCAAAACCTGACTGAACCCTTACCAGCTGGAAAAAGTTGCTCCAGTTCTACAAAGAAACGAAGTCTAATAAAGAAACAACACTTCTGACTGTGGGGGTTTAATGATAGAAAGATAATTATTAAGTGACCCGAAGCCTGTCGATGTCAAACCAGATGGCATTTTAACAACATAATACCCAAATGAAAAGAAAGTGATGTATTACAAAACGTCTCTCTGTTTTTGGACAGCACTTCAAAAAAAGCTAAGAGTCACTAAAATTGTTGTAATATTGTCAAAATAGGCTCTGCAAAAGTTTCATGGAACAAAGTGGAAGACATATACAGTATGTTGTCCACTTTAAATGATTATTCTAATCAAAGTATGAATTAGAGGTCGACTAATCACAGTTTTTTTTAATGGCCGTTATGTAATGACACGTTGTGATTTTACAAAATACAATTTAATAATACTAACAAATAAAAAACTAAATTACTTAAATAATAATTGGCTTAGTGAAATTTAGTCTTTTGGATTTCTGTCTCACACTGAAATTGTTAAGAAAGAAAAATGTCAAAATGTAAATTTTTAGGTTGAAATAAAAAAGAAAGTCACACAAAGATTCATTATCACATGCACATTAAAATCTTATATACGAAGATATCTTAGCCAGTAAACATGTTTGAATTGGATTTTAAATAAATCAAGATTTGGAGTTTTGCTAACCATTTCATGTCCGCATTATTCTTCACATCATAACAGAATATGAAACACCATCTATTGACTTTATAGATTAAATACACTGTAATTTGGTGGTGAAAAAAGGCCTTTCCAAGTGGAAAAGGTTAGGGTGATATCGGCTTTCAGAGGGCCGATACCGATATGATGCCGATTATATCAGCAATATCGCTCAAACCCCGAGTTATTCAGCTCTTTTATCTCACACAAAGCTTTTTGTCATGAGCTGTCAATAAAAATCTTTTGAGCTGAAGTACACCTTAATGATATGAATACTGCTGCACCAAAGCTGTCATCAGTATCACCACTATTGTAATGTAGTGTAATGCTGAAGAACAGGAACGATGTTAGTCCCGTTCACATGCCAGCCTACCCTGCGTCAAGGATTTATCGAGCGAGTCCCCCCTGACTCTTAGAATCCACCTCTTTTTTTTACAAGCTTTTCCAAAGGTCAAAGTTTGAAATCCTTTAAAACAGGACAGGGCTCCCAGTAAAAATACTGTTTTTCAGCTCCAGGAGGTGTTTTGGGGATGAATCAGTGTTATGTCCTCTTCTGTCCTCTCTTTTTCAGCTTTCAGAGAGTAAATTCATGACCTGACAACTAGATGATTGATCAATTAAAAGAAAGGACAGGATGCTTCTGCAGAGTAGATACAGAGAGAGGCGGTTTATATTTCCCTGCGACCAGCTTAATGACACATTTTACCCATCCTCAACATCATGAGGAGGCAGGGCTCTGGGCGTTGATTAATAAAATTACCATACACACTGCTGACACACAAGAAACAACTTACAACTTACAAGTTGCTCTTTTTCTCGGCTTATTCTTGCGCACAGTAGTCTCTTAAATTGACTGGCAATCATAATTTTCACGCCTCTGAGTCAACTTTGAAAAAAATCTCCGAACAGCAGAGGGTATTAAGACGGGGTTTTGATGTTAAAATTTCCTGTTCTTCTTGTGTAAATAACACTTTCAACCCATTAACCGTGTCTTCAACTATGAAATTAAGTTTCAGGATAATTAAATTGTTTGTAATGTGGAGGCAGGCGGGGAATAAAGGAGAATCTGTTATTTGTAAAGACTCAATCTTTTGTTTTATAATTTGACTTTGAAGAAACAGTCATAGTCAACCGCCTGCTACATAAATGCCAAAGCGCTGCTTGTTATTGTCATAAACAGTTGTGTGTGTGTGTATGTGAGCTTGTGTGAGTGAGTGTGTGTGTGTTTGTGTGTACATTAGTGTGTAGCCCACAGAAAGGGAGAAAAGTAATTGTTGGCACCTCACCGCTCTCAAAGTTGCCCTTGGCTTTGTGCTCTTCACTGCAACCTGATCTTTTCATTCCCCGCCTCAAAAGAAGCCATTTTCTGTTAGCTCCGCTTCCTCTCACTGTTCAAAGGTGCTTGAGTGTGTGTATATGTGTGTGTGTGTCTGTGTGTGCGTTTTGTGTATGCGTTTGAGTGTTCAAGAGCATCTTTCTCAGTGGGAAAAGAGTCTTTTTCCACCAAAGGAGAGGGCATGGCGGCAATGTCAGCGCCACTGATTAGAACCGGCCACATGAGAGGCAAGAAAGAGACGGAGAGAGGGAGGACATTTGAGGCGTAAAAGGCAGTGCGAATCTTTGATGTGATCCTCCTTAGTCTCCTTTCCTCGCCCTCTTGCACTCATACACACACATGCGCAACACGGTGGCTTATGTCCCGCTGTGATGCTGACATTTTGAAAAGGTAAAGTAAGGAGAGGGGAAGGGTGGAGAGAGGAGAGGAAAGAAGATGAGAAGGAGAAAAAAAAGAGCAATTTGTTGTGGTTGTCTTGTGCACGCTGACTCTTCAGCCCAGACAACCATTGTATAAGAACAATAAAACACTCAGGAGTTCAGTCTGTTTTAAATGTTTAGATATATCCAAGATCAGGAAATTAAGACTTATGGCGTGTTTGCATTTCCTTGTCAGTGTTTGTACAGTTGCAGGGCCTGTCCAAGTTTAATAATTCATTGTTTGTCAGTATTAGTGCAAGAGATATTTAATTTTCTGTGGCATGAGATAGAGTTAGAAAGGTTTCTCCTCGGGTCAAACTTCCCTCTGAGGTTCAAGAGAAATTAAAATGCAGCTCAGCTCTCTTGCAACATTTCGCCGCTCTCCGTTTCATGTCGTCTAAAAGTGCGCAACCTCTATTTGAAAGTATCTACACTTTTGATCTAATGCCTCTAATTCCTACAGATAAAGAAGTGTTTACTGCCTAAAAGGTGGAGCTGCAGCCGCCTTTCAGCGTCGTCCTGTGTGCTGTGCTGTGGGTTGTGATGTCCCTGTGTGGGAGAGATGAATGTCTTGGCTTGTTCCTATCACTGCTGATTCCCTGGCAGACTAAACGGCCGGTGCAGCGGTGCAGTCAGAATGAATGGCTGGCCTCTGTCTTCCCATGACAACCTCCAGCCTACCCACTGCTCTAATCCTCCACCGGGGCCATTGATCTGCCTCTTTATTGATCTCTTCTTCTCCTTCTTTTTTTCCTTTTCTTCCTCTTTATATCTGTCTCTCTTTTCTCTCTTAGATCTATCCGCCCTGGCCAAGAAGATCAAGCTGGAGGCGATGGCCAGTTACCACACCAACCAACATCATGGCCGACCGAACGGAGAAAACGGTGACCACAACCCCGGACTGGGTGAGTTGTTATCCTTTAGTCTATTTAAAGCAACACACCTAAATGTTTACTTACGGCCATACAACAACTCCCCTTGTTTGTCGTCTTCACATATCTTGGATGCAAAGTCAATATGAGTGTAGCAGCTGTGTTTGCAGCTGAACCAAACTGAAAAAAAAAAAGAAAAAACATGTTTATATGTTAAGAGAAATAGCAGAAATAAGTCAGTTTATAGATGAAATTAGAAATATATAAACCTGATTCAGATCATGCAAAACCTAAAGCTCCTGTGAGGAACTTTTGGTTTGTGTCGATTTTGGCACGCCCTTTGGACATAGTTGTACCCCCTATTTCTTTGTTGATTTATTCCTGTACATCCTGAAGTATTGTAATCTCATCCTGCTCTCTTTCAACAATCCAAGAATCTTTGACCATGAAATTGTTTAAAAAAAAAAAACAGCTGTCTTGAGGCAGTCTATCACTTTATCTGACACCTACCCGCTGCCAGTCTTTCAGAGAACAAAAATAACCACATAGAAATAGTCCATCCACACACTAATGTTATTAATGACTTTTGTAGGTCCTCAATGGGTATCGATAATCATTTCATTCGGTTTTATGACCAACTTAAAACTCCCCACTGGAGCTTTAAGTATCTATGTAGTTCAAAGACACTGTTTTTCAACATTTATGAAATAGACTGAAATTCACATTGACACCTTTTTATGATATATAAAACCAAATAAAACCATTACCGACAATTTAATACCTGATACTACTGAAAGGGGGCCAAGCAGCTGAAGAACCAGCCCTGTTTTTAAACTTAACACATGAAACATGAACACTAAGTGAAATATTTCACTGGCAGAAATAGAGAGATTATTAACTTTTTGATTTAAAGACACGTCTTGAGCATACAGACTGCAAACATGCAAACTGAAAGAATCACAATCAGAATGTCCTTTATTGTCATCATACTAAAAGTACAATATTAGAGAGCTTCTCCTTTTCCAGTGCAATAGACAAGTAAAAATAAGGTAGTAAAAGTACAAATAGTTGTAAGAAAGAAGGTAGTATATATACAAGACAAGAATTCTACAGGGTATTAAAATAAAACATATGTATAAGAATAAAATAGAAAGATAAAAAGCACCTCACAGGAGCTTTTAGTCTAGTTTTCTATCTTTTAAGGTTGTGATAACAGCTCCTCAAAAGTGCAGATTGTACCCAGTTTTGGGTTTGCTGGCAGAGCTGTGGGATTCAAAGAGATTAAAGGAATATTTCCTGAAAAAAAAAACAACAACTCGGTCATCTGTTCTGTAGCCTTGAAGACATGCCTTCATCATCAGTCCACATTAGTCATCCCATCAAGAGAGCATAGACTCAAATAAGCTCCATTACTCACACTCAACATGGCATATTGTGTCACTGAGTAACATTTGATGAGGATTTACAGGAAGAGTGTGCGTTTCATTTATAGTGAAGTCACTTTGTGCCTGGAAAGCACCGAATCGCCTCATTTTGAACCGAGTCTGTTTGGTTTCTTGTACGAACTTTTGGTTATATGTTATTAAAACTGCTGTAAAAATTGCACCTGATCCCTGGCTTTTGCAGCGGTGGAGAGGGGCCAGCAAACGTGGAGCGGCAGCATACGTGAGCGAGCGTGCAGGGATGATAGAGAGATGAATAAGATGAGAGGCTGAAGCCAAATCAATAGTCTTCTCTCTAATTCACTATCCTGAATGCAAACGACAAATGCCGGACAATCGATGGCGGAACAGACACACGCACGAGCATGCATGCGGGCTTCAACACACAAACACACACACAAGCACACACACACACACAAACCAAACCGGACTTGCCGCCCCCACTGTTATCGACAGGTTAAAGCGACATCAGTGTGTTTAGACAGATGACAGGGCTTATGGAGCGTCTGTGTGGAATACGCTATCAACCTGGGACACACACACATACACACACACTCACACACATTCACTCTTTTGTGGCACATGTGACAAGAGTTCAGCCACATGGATGAAAATGAAGAAATTATCCATGTGTTTTTCAGGGATTTAAAGGAGAAAAAGATGAAACCAACATATGTCCGAGTCCCTTTTCTCCTCTTTTTGGCTTTTGTTTTTGTGTGTTTGTGTGCGTGAAGTAAATCCACGCCTGTAAACAACCTCAGTCTTTAGCATTGTTTACCATTGTATACACTGGGTTACGACTGCCAGCATCTGTGTGCAGTTAGGTGGCATGGTAACCACGAGCCATTATAAACCTGTAAAGCTTAATCACTGTTAATGATAGAGTCAAGTGGAAACACACACACTCTCACACACACATACACACACACACACACACACAAACAAACAAACACGCGTTCACACAACCAGAAAAGCACATACATAGACACAATGTGTTTTTTCCATACCGCCACCCACGGCCTTATGGGAAGGATAGGCCCCTGCCAGAGCTTTAACCACTACAAAGGCAATCTCAGATTACACACATGCACACACTCACAAATGCTGAGTGTGACACCTCACGGGCCGGGGAAGAGCGGAGAGCAGCCATTTCTGCATTTAACAAGATCTTCTGGGAAATTTACAGTAACTGTTTGTTTACAGTAATGGTTTGTTTGGATAAACATAAGAGAGGCACTTTGACTTTTGATGTTTTTTAATGAAACATAAGAGAGAGTGATGGGAGGGTAGAGCAGAGGGGGAAAACAGAGTTAAGAAGACGCAGGGAATAGGAGGAAAAAATGAAATTTAAAAGTGGGGGGTGGGGGGGTCGGAGCAGGTTGAAAAGGGGGGGGGTGTGACAAAAGTAGAGCGCTGGCTGGCTGGTTTCTAACCCAGGCTTGATATTTGGACTTGGCTGCTGGTTGATTGTCGGAGCATCTGGTTATTTAGCTCCATTCAGACTGATCTTTTGTTTGGATTGGTTTCTGCTCTGGGCAAGTGAGAGACTAATCTGCCAAATACACAAAGCACCGCACATATGTCCAGCGAGGCTTGACTCATAAAGTCAACGCCTCACTCTTTATTTCTGAGTTTGCCTTTTTATTCTCTTTCTTCCACTCTCCCTTTCTTTCTTTCTTCTCTTTACTTCCATTATTTGTTTTATTTCACCTCTCCTTTTCGGATAGCCTTTTTTTGTTTCTATGTACTCGTTCTATTATTTGTGACAATTGTGTGGAATACAGTCCAAGATTTTTCCCTTTGTGTTTATAATTACCCAGCGTGCATTGCTGGCCCAGCACCAGGACTGCCATCAGCTTCTTTTGTTCCACTTCCTCCCTGTGTTTCTTTTGTTTTTGTTTTTCCTTTTATTAAATGATAAATATTTATGTCATTTTCTCCCCCCACCCCCCCAAACAGGATTGTTTGTTTCATGAATAGAGAGACTGCAACAACCCACCAGGGTGCTGTTGGGTGGAAGGATTTTCTTTAAAGATAGTGGATGCTCGTCTTAAAGAGAGGAGTGTGAACAACAGATTGGCCCGGATAATAAGACTTTGGTTTGAACCGCTGAAAATTTGTTGGACTATTGTCAAGAAAGAAAAGTTGGCCAGTTTGTCTTTTTTCCACAGAGGCTGAAATTGTGCTTTTGTAGGTGACACGGAAATCATTTGGAAAGTCTAAACAACATTTCCAGGCCATCTTTGTGTTGTAATGAGCAGGAGAAGTGTTTCCTGCTCCTGTCATCTCCCACTGTCCTCCTGTGCGTCTGCTTTTCTACTCTTAAACAGCTCTAAACCCCTGACATGCACAAGAACACAGTATTTGGTTTACTAGCAGAGCAGTCATCAAAGTAAATCTAATATCACAGAGGAATGATGTGACTGTATTTTTAGACACAACAGTGTAAGCTTTTAGTTGAAATCACAGGAGTGACTATGAGGTGGAGGCTACAGTGAGAGAAAAGAGAATAGGTACAATAAAGCAGCCTCTGTTATTGAGTTTTGTGTAGAAAATTTTCAAAAAGAGCATAAATGAAATCAAGTAAAATAGAAATATCAGCAAAAAATTGCATGAGATATGACAAAAAATGAATTCAAGTACATATTATTAAAAATGTTTAAATAAATACATATCTGTGCTCACACATGTATGTCTGAACAAGCCTGTAGAAACTGTGCAGAGGAATTTAAAGTGTTTTCATGCAGCAGCAGACGATTCTCACGGTTCTGGTCTACACCTGTGATTCCTGATCACTTTCCTTTTCTATTGTACTTTATTTCTTATCCTCCAGTCCTGGATCAGTTGCCCTTCATGATGATGTCACATCCCCTGATTCCTGCCAGCCTGGCGCCTGCCTCCGTTTCCATGGCGATGGGCCAGATGAACCGACTGAGCACGCTGGCCAGCATGGCCAACGTGGCGCAGCTCCACGCCAAGCCCCCTGCCAGGGCTCCCACCTCCGTCATTAAGGTGAACTCAGAGGCCCGTCAACCCGGTGCATCAAACCAATAGCCAGTAATCTTCCATGAACAGGAGACACTCAGGAACTACTTGCAGCATGAAATCTGAGTTTTAGAGAGACATAGATATAAATTCATAGACATGATGATACAAATTTAAATAATTTGAAGAAAACAGACTTGATAAAACCAAATTATACACTAAAGTCTTTATATTCCCTCTATCTCAAATTCTTTAAGATTTTTTTTATTTTTTAATCATGAAAGTGCAGAATAAGATTTTTAACTGTATCCTTTTTCTTCTAAATTTCTTGGCAATAGACATGCCCGGTTGAATGTTGATGGAAACAAAAGATCTGGATAACCATCCAAATTTTTTATGTAGATCTATGGAAAGTTTAATTTTAAGATATTCTTTATACATACAGAAACTTCTGAGCAAAGTGAGTCATTTTGCCCGAGACTTTCCTATGTTCAGCCCCCTCCTCCCCCCTTTTTTTCAGTCTTACTACAGAAAGTCTGGATGATCTATTTCCAGAATTTTCTTATTGTGTCGGGCCTCACACAGAGTTACATCACAGCATGTCCTCATCAGTTGCAGGAAGTACCGTGTCCTGTCATAATCTTAACGATGCAAACCATTGTTTTAAAAACTCTGGGCTTGGTCCCAAAGGTAGTTTACGAGGCTTTTTGAAATGAGCGAAAAAATTTTCCAGTAAACACCAAAGAATGCCATTATATTAGCCTTCGCAAGGATGTCATTTTGTGTGATTGGGGAGTAAAAAATAGAGCCACATCTGTTTTTATTTATTTAATATAAAGTTATAATGACTTAAACATGTGAAGTCAAATCACCGTGAAGATAATTTAAAAGTTACTGTTTTAAATGGAACTTGTAAGCTACGGCTAAATTGTACCTTTGCTACCAGTTCAATAAAGGCAGCAAGCTACCAAAGCTAAAACATCAGCACATATTTTACATCTTGTGAACAGAAAATATGGACTTTCTGAGTGAATCAAAGCCAAAGGTACAGCTGAATCTACCTGTTACATGTCTGTGTTTTAATGTATATTTAAATTTGTTATCTCTCCTAATAAAATGGTCCAGTAACAGTTGTATTCAGGCATAGTCAAGACAAAAAGACTTGATAGCTGTAGCTTTGATAATGAGATCAGCAGTCTGGTTTTAAAGGCACTTAAATGTGATTCATCCAGTTCTGGGGTTGGTTGCTGATCAGCATCCTTGATGGGTATTACGCTTACCATTAATAATTCCCTCAAACAATCAGGTTAAAAAAAGAAAACTTAACTGTTGCTTTAAAGTGAATAAACAAAATGAAAATCATTTTAATGACCTACATCGTACAAAAGAGACTCTATTTCGTGTACATTCTCAATTTGACATTCACTGAAGATTTTCCATGATTTTGCTTATTGAGAACAATACTTTTGAATAAATGTATAAGATTTTATTTTTCATTGTTTGTTAGGAGCGAGTGCGTGACAGCCCCTCTCCTTCTCCCTCACTGGAGGAAGCTCAGATGTCGTCCAATCACAGCAGCAGTGTTTCAAGTTCGCCATCTCGCACAGAGCACATTGCAGAAACCACACGTGTGTATTCAAAAACATACAATAACGAATGTCACCTGTGATGGACGTTTGGTTTTTGAGAAAGAGATTTATTCTGATATTTTTGGTTCCAGACTCTCTGGATGATGGCGTGTCATCAGGTCACAGTCTGCTGGGACATTCCCCCAATGTGGTGCAGGCAGCCAGAGAGACAGATGTGACCACACTGGATTACAGCAAGGAGAACAAGAGGGGCCACAGTGACAGAGGTGAGATGCATTATGATGTTTGAGTCAGCCTTGAAAATACTTGAACTTCCAACACATTCAAAGACATTCAAGTCATTTGCCACCTCTTATTTAGATGTCTATAATCTGGATTCAAGGCTATGTCAGTTTTGCGTTAGAGGTCAGGTTCTTGCAGTTTTCTGGGATTTCTAGTCACACCAAATTAATGACTATTAATGAGTAATGATTATTTCTCTGACAAATCAATTCCGTTTAAATAAAGTCCATCAATTAAGTACAAGAGTTTTAGTTTTTTAATCAAATTCAATTTAATCAGAATTAGATTTAAACAACTTGATTGGTCTCTCTAGGAGCAATTTGCAGCTGGTTAGAACAACAACAATTAAACACAGCGACATTCAGATAATAAATCATACACAAGCCTCTATACATCCAGTCATCATTTACTCATGGCAGCTGTGTGTCTGTTTATTTAACGCTGTTTTAAAAAAGAAAGGCTTGCCTAATGGCTTAACAAGAAAGAAATATCTCAGTAACAGGTCGATAACGATTCACAGTCTCACCCTCTCTCTCCTCTTCCTCGCTGTCGGTGGCCCCCCCGGCTCCCCACCGCGCGCAAAGACAAATAATTCTACAAAACAGGGCTCCATTAGACCAGGAAGCAGTGTTACATTAGTGAGCCATTTGCCGGGCCGCGGCCTAACGAGCCAGGCGGCCTCCCGTGCTCTCAGCTGGACCTCATCTGCATAACGACCGCCTCCCTGTCGTTAGGGCCTGCGTTGCCACGGCGCTGCAACGTCAGTTGTTTGGTTCTCTCTGTCAGGGAGGTTTGCATTAGCTTAATGAGGACTGCTCAAGGACAAACAGTCAGCAGAAATCTACAGCAAGAGAGAGAGAGAGTGAAAGAGAGAGGGAGTTTGTATGTGTGTGCACACGCCTGTGTAAATATATTCTAATACTGAATCACATTATTCAGTAATCGAATCTAGAAATCACAAAGGCAGTTCAGGTAAGGCTTCAGATGCTGTCAGGTGTCTGTGAACATATTGACAAAGCAGTGATGGCAGCGCAATGTGAATGCCATGCATCACACATCGCATTTAAGTAATTGATCCACAATTGATTTTGCTGCATGCAAATTAAACACAAATGCGTTTGCTGGATAGCCAGCTTTTGTATTTGACCTACAACATCACAGGAGAGGTTTATTGTGGATTGAAGAGAGTTTCAAAGAGCACTCCGGCGCTGTCACTCTGTCAATCCATCGCATGATAATCTCAGAGTGTGTGTGCGCGTGTGTGCGCAATTTTTGGCTGTGTGTGCTGTTTCAGTGGTCTTTGAACAACGTATCCATGCAGCAAAGATCAGAGGCCATCCCTGACACCTCTCTCCCATTAACCAAACATCAGCAGAATTTTATTCTCTCTCTGTCTCTCTCTTTTCTCTCCCTCCCTCCCTCCCGTCCTCTTCCGCTGACTGGCAGTCTTCACGTGGTGAAGTTCATTAGCCCTTGGGACGGGTGGGAGAGGAATAAGAGAGATGAAGTTGGGAGAAAAGAGAAAAACAGACAGTGACCTTGGTTAGGGAGATGGGTAAATGATCAAACGAGCTGGCAGCCGTGCGCATGTGTGTGTGTATTTATGCCAAACGTGTGTGTGAGTGTGAGGTAAAGTAGGCGTAAAACAGTAACTCAATAAAGGATCAGTCACATCCAAGGAGCCTGGGGAGCCCACGCTGCTGACTGCGCACTTCAGCGGCTACGAGTGTGTGTGTGTGTGTGTGTGTGTGTGTGTGTGTGCGTGTGTGAGTGTGTCTGTATGAGAGCCACGGGAGTGTAGTTGGATGCCCTCCGCTGAGCTCGCCAGCACCTGCTAATTACCTTTCTCTACAGAGCAATGCTTTTAGCAAGAAAGAGGGAGAAAAGAGAGGAGAAGGAGGGGGTGCTGCTTCTCATCTGTGAAACACCTTGAATGTGACAGTTGCCAAGACGTGAGGCCGAGAAGGAGAAGGGGAGGGTGGGTGGATTTGGAACAGAAGATGCTGTGGTCAGCTAAGTGGAGAAAACACTGTCATTTGTCACAGACGGAGAAAAGTGCCAGATATCACATCGCACGTTCACACTCGTCTCTGCTCCAATAACCGGCGAACTCCCAGGATGTCTCCGTCCTCAGTGGCTCGGATGACAGTGGAGCGAGCAAGTGCCTGATGTGGGAAAAAAAAAATGCAGAAAACGGCTAATCTTCTTCTCCCCCACTGTCACGAATCGGGAACACGCAGTTCTCAGGTTTACAAACAGATGGTCATCCATAATGCAGCTTCTTAGCTGTTTTTACGGGAGATGTCAAGCTGTGATGCATTATCAATAGGCAGAGTGCCATCTAATAAAGACTAACCACATTTTCAAAAGCCCAAAGCAGGACTTTGGCGTATGTGTACCCACTCACACGGTAATTAGTTTACACACCTTTATACTATCAGGCTTGATGTGTTTACAAGAAACGAAGGAAATACATTAGTAGGTCATTAATACAAGGATCTGAATTCAACCTCATGTGTTTATTTTATAATATTCATCTATTTTTAGGTTTGGACAAATGCAACATATGAATTTTTGGAGAAAATGTAACTAACAGGAAAGCGTTAGCATGTTTGGTCTGGTGGTGGAAACTGCATGAGAGCATATCTGTGTATCTGTCTGTGATGAAGTTGATTGCACTTGGCGTAGTTTGGCAAAAACATCTGTCATATGCATGCAGTGTGTGTGGCTGAGGCTCAGAGGTAGAGTCGGTCGACTCGCAATCGGAAAGTTTGCCAAAGTGTCTTTTGGCAAGACAGCGGGATCCTCAATTGCTCCTGGTGACTAAATCAGCTGTGTGTGAATGTGTATCAGTATAGTATTTAGGTCCCTGACTGTCACATCCTCTACCATCAGCATATGAATGTGGTGTGGAGGGGTGAATGTGATTATTTAGAGTGGTCAGAAAAGTGCTGCCTTACTGCAAATTCTTTTACTGTTTACCAATTTGCTACAAAACAGTGTATAAAAGCAAATCTGCAAAATGAATAAACCAAAACAATGAGGATGAAGTTTGAGCTTTTTAGAAATAAGTTACTGTTTGACATCTTTAAGACTTGGTAAGAAACTGTCAAAGTTAAGACGCAGCATGAAAACATCTGCAGTTTCCTGGTTTCATTAGCTGTTTTAGGATCTGACTAATACTACATGTTTTGATTACTATCAACTAATTCTAATTTAGCAAACAATGCATTAGTCCATGTCTTTGTACTTGACTGTTTCATAACCCTCCGCCCAAGACAGGCCACAAATAGATTTATTCTTTGCAGCTTGAGTTTGTATTTCTAAGCAGCTGCTACTGAAACAGAATCAAACTGGGTGTTTGTTTGGGGCTGTTTGCACTGCTTAGTATTTATAACACTAGCATATTGTCTTTACACTACTTTGCACTTGCTGAGAGTCATACAAAAATACACACCCAGAGAAACTCTCGGCTCATTGATGTGTTTGTCGGCTGTGACTGAAGTGTGCGGCACAGAGGAATCAGAGCTTTTTCTACCCAGAAGAATATTGACCTTACCGACTAGACTTCAAACTGTCTCTCCCCCTCCAGACACGAGCTCCATGGCCACTCACACAAGCAGGGAGAGCTGTGATAGACAAGTCTACCAGAAACCCCCGTCAGGCAGGGAGGGCTGTGAGAGGGTGTCTTACCCCGCGGGACAGAAGCTCCCAGCAGGTCTCCACCACGCTCCCTTTATCTTCCCGGAAGGCTTGTCCTCCATAGAGACCCTGCTCACGAACATCCAGGTGAGGCTCTGCCGGGGCTTTATTATTATTATTATGCTCTAAGATGAATAGGAAGGGAGATGAACCACTCTTTGGGATTTCCTGAAATGGTAAATAGCAGAGCAGGCAGACATTTAGGATGTGGAATAATTGGGAAGGGCGTGTGCTGACCTGCTTCTCAGATTTTACATGTCTTTGTTATGGTGGAGTCACATTAAAAGCTCTCTGTGTCTAGTTTTCAATGAGAATAAAAACATGTTTTAACCTCACCTGACCTGCATGAGATGGCAGCTGTGTTTTAGCATGTAGCTCAAGATTAGTAGGCAAGTATTTTACTAAGAAAAATACTCTTTAATAGTTTTCTTTTCCTCCTGCCTGACTAAATCTGAGAATTATACTGCAGAGTAAAGTCTTACACTCAAATAATGCCTGGAGGAGCTTAAATCTTTGTGACCTTTTACAGTGAGGGGCTCATCTTTTGTATTTACTCTGGCTGATTTGTAAATATCACAAACTTTGAAGTTAAAAAACACAACCCCTTTGTTAAAGTGCCATAAAAACACAAATATTTACATCAGATTAGGAGATTAGCTAAAGTGAGGGTTCTCTCTGGTGGTTGAAAAAGACAGAAGTCTCCCATGCTTTACGTTCAGTGTGTAACCTGTTGATGTGTGCCTGTGTGTCTCCAAGCAGGGTCTGCTGAGGGTTGCCATAGAGAACGCCCGGGCGCAGGAGAAGCAGGACCAGCTGGAGAGGACGGAGCTGAAGATGGAGCTGGTCCGTGAGAGGGAGCTCAGAGAGACACTGGAGAGGCAGCTCAGCATGGAGCAGAAAAACAGAGGTAGGTGGTCACAAAGAGATGAAAACAGCAGAATTAACCCCCGGCTGTCAGTGCTAATTTTAGATAGTTTTACCTGGAAGTGATTCTGATTCCTGCAAACGTATTCATTAAAGAGTTTAACATCTAAACTGTGATAATTCTGCGAAATAAGGTTCTTTATATTCACTTCCAAGTGGACAAAACACCCAAAACTTGAGAAATTAAAAGATGGAGACATATCTCCAAAGATCATCATTTTATTTGTTGTTTTTACATAAATCTACACTCTCAGTCCCCCTCCACAAATGTCAGGGGGTTTCTAAAATTCCAACCATCCAAAAACATTAAAAAAAACTTATGACTCAATTCCGTGAAGTGAAAAGTTATTTGAAAAACAGAGTTTTTATTAATTTCCTGGAAAGTGGGACAGCCAGTCACGTGGTTTTGTTGACCTGTTAGTAGAGCAGGAAAATGAGCTTTGGATCATCTCACATGCAGTGATGCTTTGTGTTTTTCATAAACAGGCCAAACATCCTTGAATTCCATGCAGAGTTAAGTTTATTTAAAGGATAAGTAAAAAAGAGTGCATGAAATACACTCTAAGCCTGAAATCCCTTAAATCTCAAATCTCCTGGTATTAAGATCCGGGAAGTTCAGGAAGCAGGGGGGACCACACAGATATATATTAAACAACAACAACAGAAACATACAGAGCCAAATATGAAATATCCAAACATCTGAATTATTGGATTTTGAAACACACATCTTTTTCTATGTTCCCTCTTTCTTCTCCTCTTTTTAGTTCTGATCCAGAAGCGCCTGAAGAAGGAGAAGAGGAATAAGAGGAGGCTACAGGAGGCTCTGGAGGAGGAGGTCAAACTGCGCGATCAGGCGGAGCACAGCCTGCTACACACTGCCAGCACGCACACAGGTACACACACAGCAACTTGTCAGACCTTCTGTAATTAACTTAATCTTGTTTTGACTCACAATATAGTGTAATTCACAGTTTCATAATAAATGTCACCAAGACTTTGATGCAACACAGCCTGAACTGTTCATTTGCCTCTGATTATTAAGTGCCTTTGTTAATTAATGACTTAACTGCAGGTCATCAATCATCAGCAGTCCCTCCTCACACAGAATCCGTGACCCAGGACGGGGATGGGAGCAAACAAGATGACAACAGGCTGGACTCCAAGGCGACAGTACAAGGTACACAGAACCTGCACTGCTTCAAGGGTTGTTTTTGTGCAATTATTAGACAGAAAATGTTGCTGCCAAAAAGCCTGCCTCTTTAACAGACACATAATCTTATTATGGAGTTGTATCTCAAAATTGTTTTCAGGGATCTTTGCCAAACATTTAAGTTACGTTTTATATTATGTTTTCCTCCAAAGGACTGTATGTGAATATTTAATCTCTCAGTTGTGGATGTAGTTAATCAAAACTATAGATAGATTTGACTAAAAGTGTGGAAAAGGGTACTTGTTATAGAACTGTACCTTTTTTTTGCAGGAATATTGTGCTTTTATTATGTTTTATTATGAGGCAAATACGTAATAAATAAAAATAAAAACCAATTATAAACCCAGTGAGAGGGATGTATTTAGTTCTTTTCAGCCGGGCTGAGACAACAGATTCTATTTTTTCACCTTCTTGCTGCTGCTGATGCTTAACTGACCAGCCTACTGGAAGGCTTTTCAGAGATTTCACAGGGAGTCCGCTCCTGAGAAATTGAGCAAAATTAAATGAAGCGTGAGGAAGTTCACCAAGGCTACCCTTCTAATGGAGACAGGCGTTTTAATATATTTATTTCCCCAACATTATTGTCTTCAGATTAATGAAAAAATCCCACATGTAATGTCTCGAACAGACAGAAAAAGAAATGGCCGTGATCTTTAGCCCGGCCTCATCAAAAGAGTGCATGGTTTCCAGCCCACCTCATGCCAGGACCGCGGCAGCAGACAGTGTGCTTGTTCAAAGGCAGTTTTTAATTGAATGTCAGTGAAGCAAGAAGAGAACTGGCCACTAATTAACGGCTGTCTTAATTGTCCTCGTGACGAGTTTGTTTGGACATCATTTGCATAATTAACACGCAGTAATAAATCATTTAAAGGGGAATTGTCTGTCAGACAGCAGGGCAGGATGTGGTTCTTTTGTGCCAGGAAGTTTTATCGCCAAAAACAGGGATCAAGGGCCGAAAAATACTTTCAACTGAGCCTTACTTAATAATGATCTTTTATTAATGATCTTTGCTCGAGGTTGTGGGGACCATGTTTAATATTGATATCAATGTTTTAATTGTGGAACAGCACTCTTTTTTTTTCTCGTCCTGCACAAAGAACCAGACTGTTTATAATGGAACCGGTTTAAATAGTTTCATTGTGTTGAATAAACATGAATCCTTTGTGGATTTCAGAGGGCAGAGTTTTCCTGCAGACCACAGGGATGTACTGAAGACCAGCAGGAAGGATGGGTGGACAAAAGGAAGAAAAAGTGACAAAGAGTACACCTTTTTATGAAAGATGATCGCTCCTTTGCAGCTGTGGCATCTCAAAAAGGACTTTCCCCACTTTTCAAGGGTGACATTTGAACATTTCCATTGTTCTCCTTGTTTAATTTATTACATCCATCTCAAAATCTCAGCCATAGTGGGAACAGCTCTTTATTCTGATGATGTTGTTTGACAATGTATTTCTTTCAATCAAGGTTTTTAGATCCTAGGAGACGACAACCATAGTTGTTTTTTGTCAGTGCTGTTTATCTGGAAACAAGTGAAAATCTTAACTTGTAACAGAGTCGTGTACATAAATATAGTCATCATTTCTGTTTTTATTATTATGAAGAAAATAATGGCATGTTGTACAGTCAGTAAATGACTTGTATTGTGTATGTTATGCAGTAGTGCAGTTTGACAATACAAACAATACAAATCCTTTTTATCAAATTGTCTCAGCTTCTCTCTTTATTTGCCAATCCTTCAGTGGATCGTTTATTTAATTGTTCTCCACACAAATTATCATTTTTATAGGTACATCCCACCTCTCTGACACTGATACCTCAGTCAAGTTTTCCTGCCTAAATTAACCCCTTAGGGTAAATTTTGTGTATTTATGTGAGTGAGTTGACAGAAGATGAGGAGGTTAATATGTATATGAAAAGTGTGAGGACTGATGTGACATTGATTCCTGCTCCATTTCCAGAAACGTACACCTAAGTATTGACACACACTCCCAGGGAGGGGGGTGAGGAGCAGGGTCACATGTGAGCTGTCCTTTAGTGAAACATGATGACGATGCACTTGCTTTGTTTGTCTGTCTTCAGCTGCACTCATCTTTTATCAGATCTCCTAATTCAAAAACGTGCCAGTTTACCAATTTTGGATGAATGTGTGTTTGAAAAAAAAAAATTTAACACAACTTTTCAAAAGACATAGAAAGTTCCACTGTCAAAGTAAAATATCTAATTAAGCTTCTTTTTCTTTTTTTTTTTTTTTTTGCCAGGAGGTTTTTACCAACAACAACAATAGTGGTTGTGGGAGGCCATTTTTGACATTCCTTTTAACACATTTATTGTGAATCAGCACTTCTTACCTTGTTTTTTTTTTTATTACTATTTGGGTTTGTGCCCTGCAAATGTCTTCTTACATATAAATCAATTGTCACTCTCCTTATATTTATTGAAATAAGGACCATATCAGCCAATCAGAAGCAGAAAGACAATTGGAAACTAGACAGTTTTGCCAAAAGGTTGAGAGATGAATGTGTAACAACTTATTAAAGCATTAAAAGCCCTGCTAATTGTTTGCTTATTAATTCACTTAAAGACATAATAGGGATCACTAAATGGAAAGTATTATTAAGTTTTCCAAAGTCCTATGTAATGTATTTCAGAATGTTCCAAAACTCAGAAATAAAAGGTCTTTATGCCAGGCTTGATTTTGTATCCATGTCTAAATATGCAGTGTGCCATTTCCTGGACACAGGCAGATAAGCTGTGATGCAGGACTAAAACAATACCTCCCTTACCCACAGTTCTTCCTGAATACAAAGTGCCTGACAACTGAATAGCAATGATTCACGTAAATGAATGTGTGAATGAGTCATCAGCTTTTCAGATGACCACCTCAGAGGCTGTCTTGACTAAAAAGGTTTGTGACTTCATTCAGCGCCGCTCTTCTGTTTCAAACACACACACGAGGACACACACACTCACGCACACACAAATCCCTCACAATTCACTGAGTGGCATTGTCCTGCCGAGAGATGTGTAATGGAAAAGATAAATGGAGGATAAAGCTAAGGTGACAGGACCGAGCATGCATGTGTGTATGTGTATTTGCATGTGTGTGTTTGTGCCCGCATGTGTGTAGTGCACAACAGACCAGCAAACCATCTGCTCATCTCCTCTTAATGAACAAAGCAAACAGCAGGAGTCAAGGCTGTCTCCAAATCTGGAGTCTCTTTATTGGTAAGCACACACAAACACACACATCCACACATCCACAAACACACATCACTGCGCTGTTTAATCTGATTATCTTTGATTGAGAACAGGGGCAAAGCAACCTTTTTAGACCTCACTCCTACATCAGTGACAGAGAAGGTCTGAAACACAATTAGCAAGCTGTTCCTGAGCTCTGCTTTGCAGTCACATCTGACCACAGGATGCCAAATAGACCTAATGGGTGGGAACTAACCAATGGGAACTAACACACCACTGCTTCTATGGATGAGGGGGAAATGCAACACTATTAGACAGCTGTTCGCCATATCTTTTCAAATGTACTTGGACGTAACATAAGCATTGGATCAATTGCCTCAGGAGCAATCACAGCCGGGCATGACGGTAGGCTTTATACACACGGTTTGATGTGAATAAAAGTGGCAGCCTGTGGTGTAAGACAAAGCAGGGCCTCTACATAGGAAGTCTGGACCTTGACAAGATATGACACTGCCTGCATAAGAGCAGAGGACCATAAGAAAAAGTCATTAATGTGGACTTTGTGCAGCCACATCCTGCTCAGGGCCTCATGGATAATTAACGCTGTTACCACTGTGACAGTGGGCTGACCACATGGCTTCAACATGAGGAACACACCCTGACTGCTGTTTTAATGTATGTTGAACCCATAAACACATAAAACACATATAATATTCAGAGATAATCATTATTAATGGGAGGACTACATATCAAATATTATTGGTGAAGTACTCCAGGGCCTTCAAATACCCTCTGAGCTGCATGAGAAAACAGCAGGGTGGCATCATGGGTACGGAGACTGCCCTTCACCTGCTGAAATGCCTTGGAGAAAGACACTAAATCCAACCTGCAGGGGTGCTGCGGCAGTTTGATCAGTGGTTAAAAACACAAGAGTCTGGACTTCTCAGTAGTCACTTGACAGATTATGTCTTTGTTAACCTCACCTCAGTTCCACCTCGATGCAGTACTGTATGGCTTTCTGGGGCAATGATATATCTGCTAAATGGTCCATGGTGTATTCTAGTGAAGTGAGTTTGGTAACACTTTATTTGACGCCTATCTCTATAACGCATTATAAATATGTGTATAATGCATTAAAATCAAATTATAGCACTGTATAACTATAGTTATAAACACTCATAAATGATTAAAATGCTTTATAGCAACAATCATAACATATATAAAGCATTTTAACATGACTTACAGATAGGCGTCAAATAAATATTCCATATTCAATATTCCATATTTTTATTTTTTGATCTTTCTTTTTTTGCTATTTATCTTTAAGACAGATAGTTTATGTGTTTTTGTTTTGGGCCTATTTGTTTGAAAAGCTATATATATTTATATATGTATATATATATATATATATATATATATATATATATATATATATATATATATATATATTTAATTATTTTCATATTTTCCATTTTTGTAAATAATAATAATAATAATAAAAATAATAATACATGTTTTCTACAGCAGCATGAGCAGCTGTGGTTAAAATGTATCACTCCAAATCTTGTTTTTATTGTTATATAAATAATGAATATGAAGTGCTTTAAATTAATCTAAACTGATTTTGTTCATGAAGCTCTTGATAAAGAATTGAAAAATAATGTGTTCGTAATTAAGTTGTACTCTAAACAGCATTTGTACAACAACGCATTGTGAAGGTGCGCAGATAAGGTAAGTAAACCAGTAAAAAGTCATATTTAACTTTTAACTTGGAACAACAGCGTCCTCTGCAGGTCACTTCTGTTCTCGGTACAGGGAATTGCGAAACGACACCTTTTGGGTTCCTTCAGCTTCCGTAGCGGTTGCTTCCCAGGGTTTCTTCTCTTTACAGTCACAGCATGGACCCTCTCCTCAACTTCATTTCGGTGTTTTAGCGTCGGTTTCGAGTTGCCTTGGACTCAGCTGGCTTCGAGGGAATTCCACAACTTATTCAGACACCATGTTTACCACCACCGGGTCCCGGGGCCTGTGTAGGTATCTCGTATAGACCGTTAAACGACAGTCCTGTACCCGCTAACGCCACTCATTATAGTGTCAACGGGGTTAGCCTGCGCGGCTAACGGATATTAGCATTACGCTGTCATTCATTTACTAGAGGCAGTATTCATCATATTCAGCTACTTTTTGTCTCTTTGAAACCTTCAGTTTGTTTCCCTTTTGGTTGGTTGCCTTGACTGATGAATACATTTATGTTTTGAAAAGAAAAATGAATATTTAGCGAGATATGTGTCTGTTCCTGCTGTATTTTAACTTTCTCTGCCTTAGTCTAAACAGCCGATAAACACGAAGCTGCTGAGTGTAGAAGGCTGTGGTTTTATATCATGGTCGTAAAGTTGTGTCTCTATGTGAGTGTGATTGTTGTGTGTTCGGCACAGACAAGGCTCCTCTGTCGAAAGGCCTCCTGCTGGTCCTCAATGGGCTGACTGTGATGCTGACCCTGCTGCCACAGTACCAGGAACTATTTGAATACAACCTACAGGCTGTCATAAAGCAGCACCAGGTGTGTCTCCTCTATCTGTATCTGTCTGTGTGTTTGAGAGTGTGCCAGGCAGAGAAATGGCTAGACTAAACAAGCTCACATCATCTCTTCACAGTTAGGCTGGGAGTATGTTATGAACCATTATTGTTTTCAGCATAATGAAGGGGAAATTTCCGTTTAGAGGGTTATTCGGGCGTAAAATTAAGTTAGAGCGATGAATGTTGCAGACCGCTTGCTTCTCTAGTAATACCAACTAAAGTAATGACCACACCATAGCAATACACAGCAGTCTGAGGAGCATAAACAAACCTCAACCAAAAAGCCACTCTATAGCCACAAATAATGCTCAGAACAGCACCTAACTTCATCAACAGTACATATAGGGTCCCAGCCATAACACTAGCAACCAAACATCTTTTTAAATTTGCCTAATTTCTTTAGCAAAGAGACTAAACACAACTCACCTACTCTCTTCCAGTAGCCGCTTGTTTGTAGTGAGACCTCAGGCTAGTCAATAGCGGACTTCTGAGGGGGGACGCAGCTCAAGAAAGAACATTTATGATCATTTCTTTATCATTTCGTTGAAGTAATAATCACCATATCAATCATTTTGCACTGCAGACACGGTAGTTCTTCTGCCTTAGTGTCTTGGTCTGAATATCCCTTTTAACAGGACAAGATATAATTTTCTTTGACCCAATCAATCAAGAACCAGATCATTCAGGAACTTGGGACACTCAAGCAGACACGCACCCATATATTTTACCTACATATGATATTCTTGTCACGATTAGTTCTGGTTGTAAGCCAAACCACAACATGCCATGCTGTTTTTACCCACACTGACCAGTTGAACTTATTTCCATGTTTGGTTAGTGCTTTTATAACACTGGGGTTGCCAGCTATAAATGTCTGAGGTTACTGTGGTGCAAATTTAAAACCAAACTATTCTGAGATAATTAGACTAATAAGTTATGGACTCAAGTAAATAAATGGAAAGTACTCATTATCTCAAGACAGTATTAGAATTTATAGAGGCATGCCCACTTCAAGAGTTTGTACGTTACAGCCATCTAGCAACATTTTCAACCACATCCAATGCATACATTCTGTTATAGTGTTGACTTAATGATTAAATTCATAACAAGACCAGACATTTGTTGAACAGTAAAGACCCTTGACAAGAGACTGAATGCAAAAAAGAAACATACAGGGATAGAAGTCTCAGGTTATGGATCAAGGAAAAGAGTATAACTGGAGTATAATGAAGCTTGTTCATGCCTGAAACCGCAGACCACTAACATGTGGTGTCACCAGTTATCACCAGAATGCTGTTAAAGTTAGTTATTATTCTGTAGTCATAATGATGTATGGTGTATAATATAACTTTGCTCCTCCTCTTGTAGATATGGAGGCTGCTGTTGGGCAGGCTTGTCTGTCTAGATGTGAAGGATGCCTTCTGTAGCAGCCTGCTCATCTACAACTTCAGAATCTTTGAGAGGAGGTTTGGCACCAGGAAGTTTGCAGTAAGTAACAAAACGCCTTGTGTACTTTGTGTTTTTGATTAACTTAATGCCTCAAAATGTAGACTTCATGTATTGTGATAAATGAGAATTTTGAATTCAGTTGTGTTTTTAAACTTGTGGTTGATTTCTTTTATCAGTTACAAAATAATTCAACTCTTAATCATCAAGGGGAGTTAGTATGAGATCCAGCTATTTGGCCATTCCTCCGTCTTAGGAGAGAGGTTACACAGCTTCCTCATTTGGCACAAAAGTATTGGTACTTAATTTGCACTATATTTGTATCTGAGATTTGACTCTGACTATGTGCATGATGTGTTTTTTATTTTTATTTTGTAAAAGCAGTTGTCTTAATTTTTGACGTATACATAACCATTTTGTTTGTTGCTCTTCTTGACTGTAGTCCTTTCTCATGGGCACGTGGTGTCTCTCTGCGCTAATGGACTTCCTGTTGGCCCAGGCCTTTCAGTTTCTTTTTGAGTATGAGGTGGAGGAACTGCCTGCCGGACTGTGAGTAGTTTTGTCAGAAAAAGTTCCCCCACACGCTGTCTTGCTGTATGCTGGTGTAATAATTAAATCACACAACATTTCTGGTATTACAGACCTTCATCAGGTTTGATGGCAGCATCAAAACTTTTCCATACAAAGATATATACAATGACAAAAACTGCCTCAATTCTTCAGCACCCAATCAGAGACCCACTAAGACTGATGATCACCTGAATCTGTTAAATTCATCATAAGCCAGAAAAGAGTTCAGAAAGTCATACAAAATCCCGTTAATGAGGAATCTTGATATGATCTCATACCCTACATATTGACTCAAGAGCCTCATCATCTATTATCCTAAATGTACTGCACTTTGTACTCCAGTCCTCATCAGCCCTGATTTCATCTTTTGACGTTACGATATTCAAAGAAAGAATCCCAAGTGTGATAAAATAAAAGTGTTTATCCTTTAGAGCGGGATGGTACTCATCACAGTGTTTACACACTGATATAGAGAGGGAGCTTTGTCCAAGAGTCACATGACTAGTATGCATTTCCAAGCAGAGTGCAGCAGTATATCTAGAAAGTCTCTGTTATGGAAACTTGCAAATAGCTCATCATTTAGTACCAGCAGGCAAGTCCTTTCACCCTGACACAAAGCTTAAAAGTGTTATTGAGTTGTACGAGCTGCAATCCACTATGAGTGAATGTGAGGGCGGCTCCACAAACAATGAGCCAACCGCAGATTGATATACATACAGTTTGTAGTGTTTGATGAGCATTCCAGGTCTACAGAGATGTGTTGGCCATCACTAGGACTTGGTAGTCTCAGTTTGCCATCAGTTTGAGGGGAAAAAAAGCACGTGTTAGTGTCAACAGTTGAGCGAAATAAGAAAAATATCTCTGATCAGCAGAAATTTGAATGAATGTGCTATAAAAGTTCTTTGAATTATTTCCATCTCCTCTTGTTCTTCACACCCTCTGTAATTCTCTCTCTTTTCACCTCACAGGCTCGCTCCAGTCTTTTCCCTGTTTGTGCCTTTCTACCTGTTGATCCCCAGGATGCCTGTCACCCAGGTCCTGGGCCACATCCCTATCACCAACAAGTCTCTGGTCTACATAGTAGGCTTGCAGGTAAACCTATATTGTAATAATTTTGAAAGTCAAATATGTGTTTTTATAGTTTTTTTTTTTTAGTGTTTAAATTCTTGAGAATACTCCTGGGAGAGTAATATGTTACAACAAGCCTAACTGCCATTATCTCTGTCTTTTGTGGCACAGCTGTTGACTTCCAGCCCCTTCATGTGGCTTCTTGCACTCAGTGGACTGGTGAGAGGCCAAAATCTCATTTGCTTGTTTTCTTTGTTTCGTTTTTTTTTTTTTTTTTTTTTAAATTAAGTGTTGTTGTTTTTTTCTGTTGGTACTTGTATTTATTGTTTTGTTTATGGACCTTAAGTTTGTCAATAAAGTATCTATCTTTCTGTCTTTTTAAACTTTGCTGCTGAGTCCGAAAACTCAGCTTGAAACCCATGTTTCTTGGTGAATCAACACAAAGAGCAAAAAATTGTAAAGTAGTAAGAGTTTGTTGTCACGTTTCTGCAGGTGAACGCTGTAACCCAACATTTAATGATTCGGTGGACATGTTAAAGTGTTGCTTCTTCCAAGTTTGGCTTAACTTCTTTTCTTAATATGAATCTATTTGTCTTCCAGATCTCAGGTGGACTTTACCACTCCAACTTTCTCTGCCTACAGAGGCTCCTCTTTGTTCCTGTCTGGGTGTCTCGTGTTGGCAGATATATTCTGGAGCCACTTTTTTCAAGTGAGTACTGGTGTTAATAAACTCTGTGAAAATCTGTCGCCCAGTTCGAGTGTCACAGTTGAGATGGAGTTTGTGTCCCTGTCTAACTGAGTTGTTGGTATTGAAAGCGATGGCGTAAAGCTAATGACCTTTGTGCTCATCAGGCTCTGAACCAAGCAATGAAACACCCCTGGGGATGGGTGCCACTCTAGACATCCAGAGGCAGCAAAGGATGGACATGCTGGACCAACAGCTGCTTCTGGCACAATACAACGAGGCCAGGAGGAACGCCAGACAACAGCCGCAGGTACATGTGCACACACACACACAGTCACACAGATTTGCTACACTAATGCACGGATTGAACTCCACAAGCTCTACAAACATGGCATTTCAAGATCCTGCCTGTTTGTGTGCGTAGCCTGGGTTGTTACAGTGGACCAGGTTGTTTCCCTCACTGAGACACAGAGGACAGAACCGACCCCCAATGCAGCCCCGCCCCCAGGCTCAGACACACCCATCGACACAGCCCCCTCTATCAGACAACTCTCCTGTCGCAGAGGAGCAGGTGGGTGTTTACCACTTTTTCTTTTTTCTGTGTGTTTTATTTGTTTTTTGTCCTTGGTTTACTCTAGGAAATTACAGATATTTTTGGATATTTCTTCCCGGATAACTCAGAAACAGCAAGGTTGCCATGTCCCCCAGTTTTCTATCTGCATCAGGTGACATTGAAGCGTCACATGGACGCTTCTTTGCAACATTTTTACTGTATGTGTTGCACACCTATTATTTCTTCTTGTCGTGACGAGGCATAGAGCATTTGTCGCATTTGAACTTTAGAAATACCCAGTAAAGGGAGCTGATGTTGTCAGCTTCCTGGCTGTCATCTGCAGCAATGACAGCTGGGGGCGGAGACATTCAACTCGGCCCACACTGCAGTTTGTTCAAGGAAACAACCCCGCGACTACTCCACCCTGTCTGAGATTTCAGTATTGTTCCAGCGTGAAACATGGTGAGGACTTTAGAGCACTGGAAACACATTCCAGCACTTGATTATAACTATTTGGGAAAAACAGCTTTTAATGGTGACACACTTCACATTTAAGGTGTTACTGTGTAGCTATAACAACACATTTGGCACTGATAGAAATGCTGCTGATCTGATAGACCAGCTTTTGTTTGCCAAAACTTGATTTCCCTTCTCACCCACGCCTTACTTTATGCAGGACAGCCTTATGTAATATCCCCAGTTGGTGCTGCTTTAACTGATGTCTCTCAACCGACGCTTTATTTGTCCCACAGGTTGAACGGTTGGTGGAAATGGGCTTTTCCAGGATTGATGCCCTGGAGGCGCTGAGAGCTTCAAATAACGATATCAACATGGCAACCAACTTCCTCTTGCAACACTGAGACTGAGAGCTCAGTGAGAGAGCAGAGCCAAATGAAGACGGAGGAAGAAAGCAGGACGAGCAACTGAAGCACAGGAGCAAAAAAGAAAGACGATAAGTAATGGAGAAAAGGAGAGAAGAGAAACAATATGTGTACAGATAATCATAAGGTGCTATCACTGCTCCCTGAAGCAGTGTTGGGCTGACCTGACCTGACTGAAGCGCATGGCGGGCCTATTAATGAAGAGATATGAAAAAGCACAAATGGATGAGATTTGTGTCCTAGCTTTGGGATGGATGTCAATGTGTGAGACAGGCGTCACCGCTTGAGGCAGATAAGTGACGCAGAAACCAAACAGGTCAGAGCTTTCTTAAAAACTGGTAAGTGATCAAAGTGATGCTGAAGCATACCAACCAGCTGCAGTCTTAAAATACAAATACAAAGTTATGATGGAGTTGAATCAAATCCAAAACCGCGTACTGCCGTTCTACTTCCAAAGTGGAAGTATAACCAGCTAAATATCCAGCCACTCAGACCCTGATAGCAGGTTAACTGGTCAGAGATGATAACCTCACAGATCGAGACAAGAATGTACGAGTCTTTGAAAACTAGAGTTTAGAAAGCATCACCTAATCTGCTCTCCTTTAAGTCTTATTTTTAAATGTGACTGACAGAGTTTGAGCAGATCTGGTTTTTGAGTTTTTCAAAAGAGACAAAAGCAGTGATAACAGAAACGCAACACATGCTGTAGCTCATACGACGGTAAAGAATCTGAATAATACAACCTACTAAATCATCTCTTTTCCACCACAGTTAGTTCTTGGTGTTGGTATTGTTCCATTGAAGTAACAGAGCTCAGACTTTAACCGCTCGAGATGTTTTCAAAGACTATTCAGCACTAATGACGGCTAACATGGGAGCCAAATTTCTTCAGAGCTGACCGGTTTGGCCTGTCCGTAAGTACTTTGTTGAGTTCGAAGGGCTACCTCAGGGTCTGCGAGGCAACTTTTGTCAAGAACTGAGTCAAATCGACAGCCACACAGTCACAGATGCACTGTAGCCCTTTCGGGGAGACCATGTTTCACAAGCCTCGTGTGCTCCATCAGTTTTCGCTCTCACTTGCATATGCACACACTCCTCAAGGTTTATTTATTCAGTCTCCTCTCTGCCAGAACTTGTGGCTGAATCATAGCAAGACTTCAAAAAGACTGGAGATATTTATTATGCAATATCGTAAGAGAAGTTTATCGAGACTATGCACTGCATAGCATTTACTGTGTGTGTGTATAAATTGTGCAAACATCATGTGCAAAAGAAGCAAAATTGCAGCCACTGTGTATTGATGTCAAAGACAGACGCTAGTTTTATATTTTGTGCAGAAAAATGTTGATAATTTATGACCACTGAGATGAGTCTGTCATTTGTGTGTATGTATTTTTTAGGGTGATATAATAGTATATGGGTGTAATGAGGGAGTTGTTGCATGGACAACTTTCCATTGAACTGTAAAGAATCTTATTTGGTCTGTTGAATAAATCAACTTGCTGGCTCAATACTGGGTGTGACGGAGGCTGCTTATATTGGAAAAACATAACTTCTTCGAAAAACAGTGATAAACTCTTTTACCCACTTTATTCAGCCAATGTAATTTAGGTATTTAAAAACTGATTGAAGGTGTGACACAAAGGTTCATATTCAAAACATCCTGGGATGACTTGGAGGGATACTGTCCTTTTTTCTGAGGTGGGGTGATACCTTAACTAATACTGTCAAATTAACCATCTCTTTGCTCTGTTCTTACAATCCCCAAATCAAAGCGAAAGCGAAAACCAGGAATGAAAAATTAAAAGTTCACTTTTGCACTTTTCAGCTTATCGACTTGAACCAAAAAGAGAGAAGAAAAAACTGATGGGAAGATTTGGCCTTTTCCCCTAATGGTCTTTTTTTTACTTTTGCAGGTCCACTAGAATTGTAAGTATTCCTCTTACTTTGTTTCACAGCTAGTTTTTTGATAGTTTTGATGTAATAATTCTAGATAATACCACTGTGGAGTTTATCCTGGCAGCATCACAAGTTTACATAGATCACTACTACTTTTCAGCACATGGTGGCACTCTTAAACCAGAACAAGAGAGATGGTAAAAGTAAAGCTTGTGAAATCTAGACAAATATATTCATCTATTACGGTCAATTTAACAGAAGTCTGACAGATGATATATGAGTGAAAGTTCAACAAGTTTTGGGGATGAAAAGGGCCCATTAGTTGTGAAACAAAGACTTGTCTTGTTTAAACGTTATCATCTTTCAGAGAGTTTATAACTGCTGTTTTAACTTTTTTACCAAGAAGCAGCTAGCTCTGTTTTAAGTATTTAGTATTTACTTCTTGTTTCCAAGATTTGTCAGACAGAAATCTGTTAAATTCTGCTCTTTTTCCTGGCATTTTTTCCACTTTCTCTCATGGCCAGATTAAGGCTCTTGTAAAGGATTTGTGTATTGGCTTTTTAGGCTTTTTATGGTAAAATTAATCACAGTAAATAAAAAGAACTCAAGTGTTTTAACATTACAATACAAACTAACTGTAAAGGCAGGATATTGTCATTGAGCATCCAGCAGCTTTAATTCCAATTTCATAAACACAACAAATGCTTAAATAAATCTAAGTTTGAAGACAAAAAATAATCAAAATTTACTCTGTTAGCTTTGAAAAACTTTAAACAGCTTAATTTTCTGTGACCTCAGAATAAAGCACCTGTTAATATTATATGGTCTTCTGTCACTAGATGGAGACATTGAGTTAAGTCTGTGGTTGTTGTTATTGCTAGGCGCCCTCTGCCACACCCACCAGCTCTGATTATTCCACTGAGCAGACAGCTCCAGCAGACAGTCTCGCTCCAGGGTAGCTGAATATCAGTGTAGAGAAATTGTGCACATCTATCCACAAGTCGAAGAATTTCAAAAGCATATGGTTTGCCGACTTATTCCATGACACACACACAGGAGCTGACAAAATGGCACATCAAGCAGCCTATATTTTCCATCTCGTATACGCTGCTCTTGAGATCTCCTCTGAACTCCCACAGTCACTCAGGAAACATGCTTTTTTACTAAAAGGTCTCTTGGGTTCACACTGACACAGTTCCATCCAACCTCAGCTGATGCAGGACTCAGTCAAGCAGGACAACTTTTAATGGCTGCTGAATTGAAAAGCCGCTTAAACCAGGGTGATTAATATCTGTGCGTCTCTTTGTATTTTGGTGTTTAATTAAAGACACTGATTAAAACATTAAAAAAAAACCTTCACAGACAACCAACCTCATTAGGGAGACTCTTTTGTGAAACGTCCGCTTAATGTGCAGCATTAATCACTCTTTGTTTTGGGGTTATGATTCTGAGTTTTAGAGCCTTGAGAGGGCATTTTACTCCCTTTTATTGCGAAGTAAGGGTAGATATTATATTGGATGGGTCTATAGCCGGTGAAAATGAGCAAGCGTTGCTTTTATATATAAATCATGTGCTGAAATGTTGTTTAAACGGGAGCATCAAAAGCAGTAAAATAATGGTGATTTATGTTTTTAGGTGGTTTCTCCTTGTCTGGCAGAGAGGCAATTATTGTTACAGTACAGTCCATTGTAGCCTTGAAACCTCAGCAGTTGTGTCAGGCTATTTCTCATTTCAGGTCAGCCATCTGCGGCTCTATTAACTAAGACATACTGTACTATATATCATAAAATACCTACTGTATGAGAACAGAGATGTCTTTTTGCCTGTTTCTATAGAGCTGAAGTGGTTTTGCAAAGGTGGTGACCTGTACCTTGTGCACACGAGTTGCTATTTTTTGCACTCAAGTTAACTGACTTGTGCACACAGGATATTTAATTGTATGCATAAGACAACGAGTGTGCACTCGTGGTAGTAGATGCAAGCAAGCGTCTATGTATTTGACAAGAGTTTTTGTTGTCGAGGGGATAACACAGTGTAAGCTGTTTATTTTGAAACAATTTTAATTTTAACCCCCTCTAAAAAGTCAAATACCCATTAAAAGCTTGGATTTTGGTGTGGTACCAAGGGTGGCCTATCAGAAGAAAGGTCAGTGCCCCCCTAACTGCCCCTTTGGACACGCACTTGGCCGTCTGGATTGTTGTATTACTTTTTAAAGTTATAAATAAAACATCAACTATAACAACTCTATGTTTGTAGTCAAAGAGATGAACTATGCTTTTTCCATCTTAAATGGTGTACTTAAAAGGTGTGTGGGATTTAGATACTCTCCAACAAAGCCTGAAAGCTAAACTCACATTGTCTAATGCTTCACTGTAACTTCTTATTTACACACAGACCTGAGATTAGTATTTATCCCCTATCTCTCAACCAGAAAGCCCCTCAGTTTGATTCAGAAACCATCAGACAATTCTTTTAAAGCAGTATCAAATCATCATAGTTTACTTGCAAACATTTTTTACACATCTAGATAACATGGTGCAACATTAGTAATATTTTCAGTCATGTTGGTGGTGTCCTGGCAGATTTAAGTCTGATATTCCCTCTCCTTTCACTTCTCTCTCTAGCTACGCAGCTGCTAAATACTTGTGTTGTGTACCGTGTTTGCCAGCTAGTTGCTAATTTTGTCCCTCTATTATTTGGTGTGAGGCAGGTAGTGTTCAGAGTGAGAACTTCATGAGTAAACCAAACTAGAAAAGAAAAACCAAAACAAAATTTTGAAGATGTTGAATTGCTATAAAGAGCTCAGAGAAACTACATAGGGGAGAGTTATTTATCTCAACAGTTGACCCCTTTGCTATATCCCACATATTTGATCCATTACAACAAAAAATTGTCAATTGCATTGATTTATGCAGTTTTAAGGTGGCAAATCACACACCCTGTACTTGCTATAGTCCAAGTTTGATTCCAACTTGCAGCCATGTAATGCACATCACACCTTTTCTCCCAGTTTCCTTCTTTTCCACTTTCATATCCTCTCAATAAAAAGCATTAAGAGCCCAAAATAAATGTAGAAACAAAATTTAATATGTAGTTGACTAATCCCTGTATTTTCTCACTGGCCACTTTGCTCTGACATCATACGCTGAGCTGAAACCTCAAATGCGGAACTAATTTTTTCCTCATGTTTTCCTACTGTCCCTGAAATCCTCTCCTTTCTAAGCAGTATTAAGAGCTTTGGGCAAAACAGACCTGAAAATAGTCCAGATTTGACCATGGCTCAAAAAAAAGGGTTTTAAGACCCCTGGAGTGCTCACACTTTATGTTAGGTTCAAAACATTGATGTTCAGACAATAACCAACATTAGCATTAAACCTTTCCAAGCTTAAGTTTCATGTCAATTAATGGAAGCCATAGAGTTATCAAATTATTAGTGAGGAATCAAAGGTGAGGTAGGCAGGATCTGAGAAAGTGCCAGTTTTGGGGAGAAATGTTGAATGTAAACACTACCCCTCCCAACCAGTTTTCCCCTCAGCTCCTCCTCTCCCCTCCGTCTCTGCTCCACTAAGCCCAACCCACAAACAAATGCTAAATTCAGATATAATGCAGATAAATACATGGATAATCACAAATTGAGCCCAGTTAACATGAAAGTAAAAAGCATTGGTGCTACTGTAGATGCCAACAGACTACCAGAAAACACAATGTTTGCAGGACTTCTAAAACTAGCATAAAGTGACATAGTCCAGGACTTGAGGTGAAGAATTTAGCGGCGGTACAACACGCAGCAGCAAGTTGCTGATCAAACAGGAATCATCATAATTATTGCCATTTGTCCAAATCACCCACAACCCTGTAGACAGCAGCACTGAACAGTCAAGCCTTTCATGCCAGGTGTGATATCATACAAGAATGGCTGTTTTGCAGAGATAATCGGTAAAACTCTTTTCATCTCCTTAAATGTCCTCTTCTCATGTCAGCGTCTGTAAATATTTACATTTGTAATATGTTTTCGTGTGAGTGAACTACTTGCTAATACTAAGCTGCTGGCCGGCATGTATCACATCAAACAGCCAGAGGCCAGCACCAGCTCCATCCTCTTCTCAGTTATATCCCCTCACCAGCTCTGTTGCCATGGTGAGTACATGCCGTTTTTGTGTGGTTGCCATGGGGACCCCATATCACAGCCTTCCTCCTGCTCTCATCATGTTTTCTGCATGATCATTTGTATGCCTCCTGTACACTAATGCTTCAGAAAAACAGAGAAACATTAGCAGCTCAGGGGAGCGCCCTCTGGGAGTGCTTTCTGTAGAAACACGCCGAGGTATTCCTAATTCGCTTTCAGGGTATGGCAAAAAAAAAAAAAAATACAAAAACATCATCATGGCTGTCTCACAGTGACAGAGCATGTTTGACTGAAAAAGAGCAGATGTATGAGAACTGTTCAGAACAAAGTCATCTCTTTATCTTCCACACATGTGAGCAAATAGCTACGAGAGGAAAGAATGCCTAACGCCTCCCACTGTTATGGTAATAATATCCAAGCTAATGCGCTTTGAGATAATGACATCATTTGTTTGCTTGATTCCCTCTAACAATCACAGTCTGTCTGTGCCTTTCACACTCACAGGAAATTGTGTTTTTGTATGCATGTGTGTCCGCCTACATGTGTCTACTTGTGTGTTCACTGTTCACCACTCAGGCTAATGTTTGCGTCTAATTCCCAGGCTGGAGAACGAGCGGTAGAAGCCACTGATGTTAGTCATTTTCAAAAGGGAGCCGTGTTGTTAATAGGCCACAAAAATGCACCTGCCTTCAGGCCATTCAGAGGTTTGGCATTTCACTTCCATTGTGTGCTTGCTCCTGTATGCCATTTGTGGTCTGTTGAGTCTGTGCTTGCTTCAGTTACGTCAAAAGAAGAGCAATCTTCTTTAATCATTAGGGCTTGTAGGGCTTCACGCCAGGCTTTGTGTGTTTGCTCAACCTGTTTTTCATCCTCCAGCAACGGCGGCAGCTAGTGGATAGAGTTTTGTTTCTCTTTTTTGCCCCTATTGTTCGTTGACATCTTTCATCAGATCCTCGTTAGGACTTGCCCGTGCCACTTATCAGAAAAACCACAATCCCACAAGATTCTCATCTCGGAAACAGTCACATGCACCCCAACTGCTCCAAAAATAAAGCCCGCTCTCTCCTCCACCTCTCCATGTCAGGTGTGAAGTGAGGTAAGCAGCTGTCATTCTTGGCCATCCAATCCCAAGCACATGCACGTCCTTGTGTCTGAAAATTATGAATGCTTTAGGAGTAGTTATCCTTCCACGCAAACGGCATTTTGATGTTGAGTCAAAGCATCAAAGCTGCTATTTTACCCTCTCTTTGTCCTGCTGTGACACTGGGAGATTTATTTTAGTCAACGCCCTGAGAAAAAGCCCCATATTTATGTCAGATTTAAAGCTCCTGTGAGGAACTTTCAGGTTGTGTCGTCTTTTGTGACCCCTGTGAAGGAAGAAGGATGACTTGGGTCTTGGTTGATTTTGTCTTGTACATGTGTAACAGGGTTTTATGACAAAAAAATCACGTCTGTATTTACTTTAAACACCCAACTTGCGATTCAAAATGACTCTGTAGTTTGGGAAATGTTTTGAACACTATTTTGGGAGTATGCTTTTAACCACCTTATCTGACACTTGGACTGCTGCTGTGGCTTCAGGCATGAAAACAACCTTATAGAATGATAAATCCACCCTCAAATGCTTTTCTAATTTAATGTCTGGAGGTCAAATCAAGGCATCAGGAATAATTTCACAATGTTTCATCACTGGTTCACAAACCTCCTCATGAAAGCTTTTAAGAAAGCAAAATAAAAAGTGGTTTGTTTGGTGTTAGCCTGGACAAGGACAGTATAATTTGACCTCTATGCTCTATTCTCACCCTATTTTCAGCTTTCTCTCTCAGATAAATTAAGCTTTGACCCCACCATAGACCGCTAACATAAATTTCCAGATAGAGGACAAGAGTAGAAACAGCTCTTTCACTCTGTTCTTTCTCCATTAACTGTACTTTACTATTTTCTTGCCCTGTGTTGCAATGAGTACACTCTGAGGAATCTCAGTGCCCTCTAACCTTTAATGAGGTTCACTTCCTCTGTAATTGTACACACTTACGGTATGGCATGAACGCGTGCTAAGTTTATTTTTATGCATCTGTGCACTGTATGAAACTATTCGTGTGTGTGAGTGTGCTTGCCTGTGCGCGTGTGTGTTTGGTGGCATAAACACAGAGCTACCATTCAGACTTCTAGTTAAGGTGGGAGTGTTAAGCCGATGAAAGCTTTCCCTTCCGCCGTTCCTCTCATTGAACTTCACGGACACACGCACACGTTCCAGCAGATCCATTACATCCGGTCCTAAACCAACTTCACTAAACAGTTACGACATTGTCCTGACTGTTGAAGTGTCCAGCTGTTAGGACATCCATCATGCGGGGCTTGAAGCTGATTCTGGTTGTCTTTCTGCACCGCAGACGCAACACGCAGCAGAAAGGGTTCTCCTTGACTCGACAACCATGAGAGAGGCCTCTTCAGCAGACCCCTTTCTTTCGACACTCTCCTCTGCTCTCTGCATAGTCATGGCCTTACCCTACCTGTTTTCATGCAGCATCAGTCCTTCTAGGTAGTGCTAATTGGGCATCCTGTTTTCAATTCATATGCTCTCCTTCCTGTTCCAGTCGTTTCAGCCTCCGAGCACATCAGCCAGTTCAGCAGCCTGCTGGTCTGACCATGGGTTCTGTAAAGAGAATTAAATCTTGAATAAATGGCAGCAAATGGATGAAAACACAATATTTGATTTGAACAATTAAAAAAAAAAAGAATTATTTTGATTTAAAGGGGCCATGGCATGAAAAACTGACTTTGTTAACGGTAGGGGGGTGCATATCAGGGATAAAAAACCGCTACAATCCCACCGAAGTTCGAAAAAATTCCATCCGGTCGTTTTTTTTAGTTATCTCTGTATTTAGGAACTGTGTGCTCAGAACTGCCGTTCTGAAAACTCCACTGACATGACGTCATGTCAGTTCTGGCGGGTTGATGGTACTGCCCATGGAGCCGCCCACTGCCCTGCCCAAAAAATTATAAAAACGGCGCCATTATTCCCGGCCGCCCGCCCACGTAGCTCCGGTTAGAACCATGGCGGAAGTACGGTCTGAAAAAGAGGCAGCGTTTGCTCTGTTGTTGGCTGTATAAACGAGCACAAAACTCTTTTGAAAACTCCCTCGTCGGAGGAGTTGAGGACTCAAAGGGTGGATTTTATTTATAATGGGAACGTACCCGCGGCAACATATCTGTACGTATGTGCGCACCATTTCTCTTCGGACTGTTTTATCAACAAGGGACAGTTTAACGCTGGATTTGCTAGATGTCTGAAGATAAAGAATGGATCCGTACCAACTATCCGTGATCCTACTACAAACATGACATCTGTAAGTGTGAACGTTTTATTTTAACTTACTGTTTAGCCTAAATTCCCCCGGTGCCTCAGCACGGCCACCACGCTTTGATAAACACACCGGATCCGCGCCGGTTTACCGGATCCTCCCGTATTTTAGCCGCTCGCTTCTTCCTCGACAACTCCGCCGGCGGGGGACAAAATCCCCCTCCGGAGCAGCATGTAGCCTTAGCATTTAGCCGTGCGGTGACGCGCCTCTTTTGGCTCAAATACGGGATATCCTGGCTAACGCTGGACGGTCGGCCATCTAATTTATTAGCAAAGGCTTCAGAGAAGTTTTAGAGCACCAAAATCTTACATTGTAGCAGAGCTCTGGTTGTAATTTTTTCTACAATTATATCTTCCCCCTTAAGCGTGACCCTCCTGGCGGCTTTGAATAATACATAGGATGTGTCGACTAGGTCGCTTCAAGTCGCGTTTGGTCTGAACGCGGCTAAGAGTTTCTTCCGGAGCCTCTCCCTCTGGGTCAGACTCTGGCTCAAATAGGTAGGGTTGTACGAGCGATCTTCTTGCAGCCATGACCGAGCCAGTGTAAACATTAGCACATGGCTATCGGAGCACAGCCACAGCCCCTTCCAGAGAGATGGGTGTAAAGTGGACGTGGCTTAGGTACAGCTCATTTCAATAAAGAGACATGGCCCAAATCGGAGGATTTTGAGCGGAGCTGTTTTTAGCTGATAAAAAGAGCACTAAAATAATAATTGATCCAAATGGAATTTTGGCCGAAGGACGTCACAGACATGCTTTTAACACACCAGGGGACTATTTTAAGTTGTGTGAAATTGGCATGCCATGGGACGTTTACAATTGGAATATTGCCATATGGATACTTAATAATGGCTCTGATCTTAAGAGTTCAGGATTATTATGTATCACCTGCTTATAAAGATGGGCAGTGAATTGCAATGTATGTACGAGTAGGACATGCAACATTAACAATTCAATATAGTCCTCTCTAAAAGAGCTCTGGGAACCCCTGAGGAACATTTCTTTTTTTTTCTTTTCTTTTGGTCCAGGTAAGAAACCTTTGACTCTGGTTCAGAAAAGGCTTGTAATGCACCTAATTTAACCCTTTCCCTGAAGACACCAGTCCACGGTGGCTCCTGATGCGCTGACACCAGCCTTACTTTACTTCTTCTGCTCTCTTGAGGGATGGCTGAGGTCATCCTGCAGAGTCGATTATATCCCTTTTCCTACCACACTTATACCATCTCATTAATAAGCTTTAATACAGCCACTCTTCTCAGGAATGATACTCTCGAGCTTATCCCCCCCTATGGAGGGTGTCAATAATCAGCTTTTGGACAACTGTAAAGTCATCAGTCTCTCAAATGATGGTGGCTGCCTGTCTTGAATTCAGTTGAGAGATACATGGTATTTCTAGTGTTTAAATTGTAATTTTTTCTCAACCTGAAACAGAAAATAATCTAATGTTATGGGAATTTTGAGTTTAAGTAAAAGATAAAAGGGAGATAGAGTAACATTAAACAAGTCTGAAAATGAATAATGGACTAAACATGAACAAATCAGAACTTATCCTCTGTCGTTTTGGATGTAGATGGATAAGAGGAAAAAAATAGGAAATACAGAACATACACAGGAAGGATGTGCTTTGAGAATAGTGTTTTCTACATTCATAATAATATTAATCTTAAATATGCATCTATTTCAGAATATTCTTGGTTTCCTTTCACGTCCATATCATGGAAAAATGGTCAGACACTTTGATCACGGTGCTGCTGAAAGCTAACAGAGGAGCTCACAGTGTTCTTTTAGTCATGTTTAAACACAAAGAGACCCCCAACCCCCCTCCCCTTCCCTTTTTAGTCAGTGCTGATTCACAACGGTCTGGAACCAGCCAGCACTGGAAGCTTGTCTCCATGGAGACAAGGGTGGGAAGGAGAGTGATGATGTTGCTGGCAGAACAGCAGTCCCGAATCATCCATGTGTTTCAGTGTGTGTTTGTGTGGGTATACAGGAGACAAACAAGGAAGGGAGATATTTTCTTCCTCCAAAGTGGGTAATTTGGTTGTCTAACACTGTATGCAATATAGCTTTTATCCAGTCAGGGGGGAGCTACTTCATCTGTCAAAAGCTGATGCAAGAAAAACCTTGCTCCTATTGATAAGTAACGTCATGCTCAGCATTGACTGATGGTACAGGTTGTGACAAGCAGAGAGTGCAACTGATTTGTTTGGTCACGCATATTCTCACAGACTCAGATTATAGATAGCAGCACAGGGAAACAAAGCAACATCTTGCTCTGTAGCTGAAATATCAAAATGGCCCTATCTTGGCCCTATCTTTACCTGGCTTTGAATTTTAAAGGGCAACAAAATGATTTGACAGGTAATATTGATGATCATATGAAAATGCTTTATGTTCACACACAGAGTAGTCTGGGCTGCCACCCACCTGACTAGAATTAATCTGAAAGATTTGGATGCTGGGTTGATGAGAGGTGTTAATGGTAATTTTTGAGGGGGTGGATGTGGACAGGGAGTAGAGGATTGATTTTGTCATTGTTTGAGGATGAGATGTGCGTTTATGAGACAATTAAATTGCACTCAGTTGGAGATAGAGATATTGATGGTGTAAATGCCACATGCTATTATTGTGAAACGACTGTTTTTCAGTGTTTGAATGCATATAATTATGTCTCTACAGAATAGAAGACAAGACAAAAGCTAATGGGTATGTTACAGCAAATGGGCCACAATAGGTCTTCTTCAGCAAAAAAATGTCAAGGGACATTTAAGTTGGCTTTAATTTTACATTTGTATTACAAGGCTAAGGAGAAAATGCAAATCTGGGGCCAATTCTCCTCGGCATGTTCGCATGGCTGGTACAAACAAGGTATCTGATAGACTGTTGTGACAGTTCAAATGCTGCCTAATATCCACTTTGTTTCTTTCTTTTGAAAAAAGTGAATTACATTTTTCTTCACATAAGCAAAGCTAAGACAATTTCAATAGGACTCCATAGTAACCATACTAAATTGATACAAAAATGAGATATTGTTTATTAAAACCAAATAAGTTTGACCATTCTTTAAATAGTTTTGGCAGATTTAGGACAACCTAAAACTGTGCTTGGCAATAGCTTTGTGAGTTTTCAAAGGGGTGGACTCAAAAGACGGGAAACAGGCTGACAGACTATCCTAAGCCATAGCTAGCTTGCTGTCGACGCGCCTTACTTCGTGCTGTGATAAAACGGATTTTAACAGAGTTTAAGGGGACCCGGATAAGAGCACAGTGAGGCTGGGCTACTCTGTAACAATGTTTACATGGGCATAATTTATTGATCCGCTGAAAATTTTTAGGGATCGAATAATCTGAATCCACTGTTTATATGGGTGCAAGATCAAATAATCCGATCATGACACATGGACCAAGCTTTATTCAGATTAGAAGCATTTGGACATGCGCAGAGTTGTCTGATTTCGCTAAAACAACCGCAGAAGACGAGTTGTATTTATGCCTCTGCTGTCAACAAACCAACAAAAGCGGTAGTGGATCACTCCATCCAATTCAGGAGTTTTCCCTCTGTTAAATGTTGTCACTAAATGGCGCCCTTGCATACTTATTTTACTGTTCTGACAAAGATTGCACTGTGCGTGCAGATGTGACATCATTACGCTGTATGTACGCCTATTTATGTTACCGGAGGCGCAGACACGGTACCTGCAGTTGTGTTTTATGCCAGAATGTTAATAATGAAACCTCCTGTACTGGCCTCAATAAATAAGCCAAAGGCTAAAGAGTGAAGATCGAGTCAGGTAATAGAGTCATGTTCTGAATAACTGTTTACATGGACGCGTTTCGGAATAACGATCAGCATAAACCACCCCTCTTGATCGGAATACAATTTTTTCCAATTGAGCCGAATTGGATCAGAATCTTCCGATTGACATGTTTACATGACGCATTTTTATTCCGATCAGGCATTTATTCCGATTATTTAGGCTCTTGTAAACGCAGCTATTGTAAGTTCTGGAGATGTTTTTATCAACAAAGGACATGGACTGCAAAGTGTGGATGGGAGCAGGTTCCTCACCTCGTCTTTTAAGGTAATGTTCAGTCTATTTTAATTATCATTTGTGAACAATCTTAATGATAATCATGTTATCAATGACCACATATACAGTTAGTAGTCAGCAGATTTTAATATAACTCATTACAGCTTAACCCCACTTGAAGAATAGATTACATTTTATAGAATAGATTGATGACACAAGTGATTTCTTCTTACAAAAGCAAGGACTTGAAGTGTGTTGCACCTTGGTTGTTGTGTTTGTCAGAGTGAGCATGCGTAGATGGCTTGGCACAGCAAAAGAACTCCTTTGCTAAAGGGCAATGGGAGGAGATAACATAGCAGAATACATTATGATGATATTAACAAAGGCAACAATGACTGACATGTTGAGCTGGAGGGGTAACAGACTTACAGCGTAATCAGATTTCTCATCACATCACTTCAGACATGGTCATATATTCCCAGGACCTCAGGGGAAACCACATGTCATTTAAATGAATACAGCAAGGCAAGCCTAATATTTACAACATCCAAACAGGTGTAATATAAAGCCAGAGGGCGTAATGATTGTGTTTGTGTTGGAGAGTGGCATCATATTTCTAATACACAATTCACATTGAAAATAGAGATTTATTTATTGTGCACTGTGCCACTTTTGGTCTTCCATTATTCCTCTCATCACCTAGCTCAGGAGTCCCGACTTTGGTTTCAATCGCTCTGCCCTTCTGAGAAAAAGGAGCTCTCTCACTCCAGCTCTCCATCTTGTAGGGATACCATCCTGACAGTAAT